AGAGAATCTCAGGTGCCGGTGCTGACAAACAAAAGGGGAACGGCTGCCAACCAAGGCAAGCGATAGAGCACAGGTCAGAGCTCCAAGAGCTCATTGTTTATGTTACTTTCGATAGAGCAGCTTCTCCAAAAAACTGGTGCCTCAAGTTGGATCACAATAATTCAGACCCTGGCAACTTCGAAACCAGAGTTCAGTAGTACCTCGGATTACATATGCTTCAGGTTACAGACGGACCTCCGGAACAAATTAAGTACTTAACCCGAGGTAAGAACGGACCTCCGGAACGAATTAAGGACTTAACCCGAGATACTACTGTACTGCAAGGTACTCTGTGTGGGGCTTTCGCTTGCACTTGGCCCCAGAAACTGCAGCCAGTGCAGAATGCTGCAGCACAGTTGCTGACAGGAGTGGCACTGTGCCAGTGGGCAAATGGGTGGGTTCCCGTCCTGTCCCTTAACCGTCTGGTAGTTAGAAAGACAAAAGCCAGAGCTGAGGTGTGTGGGAGCTAGAAGCTAGAAGCAGGCTGGGCAGCTGAGAGACAGAGCCATGCCTGATTTCTGCTGCAGCTGTGGGAGAAGCAAGACCCTCTGGGGGTATTAATGCCGTGAGCGCCTCTGTCGTAGGCTCAGGTTGTATATACAGTGGTACCTCTGGTTACGTATTTAATTCATTCTGGAGGTTCGTTCTTAACCTGAAACTGTTCTTAACTTGAAGCACCACTTTAGCTAATGGGGCTGCTGTACCGCCGCCGCCACAGCGCGATTTCTGTTCTCATCCTGAAGCAAAGTTCTTATCCCGAGGTACTATTTCTGGGTTAGTGGAGTCTGTAACCTGAAGCGTATGTAACCCGAGGTACCACTATACGTCTAAGTAAACCATACATCCTAGAGACACCACAGTCTCTGCTGTCCCTCATTCTGAGGAAACTGAACCTGGGAATCTTGCACCACTCAGGAGATTAGGATGGTGTGCAACATTATTTATGTAAGTATTTATATATTATATAGCATTAATAGCTCTCTGAGTAGCTTCTGAAAATCACTTCTAAGATAGCCAGTGAAATGGGAAATAGGGTTGCCAGGTCAGCAGCATCCCTGACCTTGAGATTTCAGGATCCAAACCTGAGACCTAGGTGTGGCCTCTGGTGATGTCACAGGGGAGGGCCCTGGAGACGGAGGTTAATTGGGAGAGGGAATGGGAGAAGGGAGGACACCTCCCTAGAGATAATTTGCAGCCAGCACCTACCAGGTTGAAGCTTATAAGCAGCATGCAGTCTTAATATATTTTTTTCTTATTATTAAAGGCACTCTTGCCCACCCAGATATTCAAATCCTCTGTACCCCCACCCCCGCCGCCACCTGAAGGACATCAGGCAAACCTGGAGACTTCAAGTCAGCCTTAGAGATCTCACAGCCCGAATGGGAAGCCAAGAACCATGTCCCACGAGGCCAGCTAATGTAATTCTTACCTGCCCCTCTGAGGTCAAGTCCTCCCAGATCGGATTCCCACCTGGATTGCAGGACTCCTTGGCTGGCAGAGTTGTTCATCACATAATTAAACTGCAAAGTCCTTAAGGACAACTCCAAATCATCTCCAAATTAGCTGGAATCTTGTCCTGAGAAACCCCCCTTGAAAGGAGCAACCCTGGAAAGCTGGTGAGGGGAGGGGAACAGTCTCAAGGGCAGCCCTTGAGCAGAGTCCTTGAGTTTGCTTTCATTTCTCTTGCTTGTTTTCTGCTTCCAGAGCCATCCCAGAAGAGTGACCCGGCAGCAGCAGCGGCAACAGCAACAAACACCGGTGGTGGCTGAGGGGGTGAGGAATCCAGAAAAACGCTGCAGCAACAAAAGCTGCAGTGTTCACTCACAGAAAAGCCGACGGGGCCTTTTTCTGCCTACACCGCAGAATTCCCAGAGAACAAGGCCCCGGTGGCCAGAGGCTCTGAGGTTGGGCCAGCTTCCCTCTAAAAGCCTATGCCCATCCAAAATTTAGAATCGCTGCACTGAGCGAGAAGGTCTGAGCGCATCTGAAGGAGAAGCGAAGGCGCAAGGCACCTTGATGAGTGCTTTTGCTTTAAAAGGAAACACAAGCAAATTTCTAGTCCTTATTGTTTTCAGTGTGGCAGTGTATAGCACGCCATCTGACATTTCTCAGGTGAAAATAGGGCCACATTTGTAGTAGAGAGCCAGGGTTATAAAGCTCACTGGGTGACCTTGGTGGCCAGTCACTGCCTCTCAGCCTAACCTACCTCACAAGGTTGTTGTGGGGATTAAATGAGGAGGGGAAGAAGAAACACATATGCCATTTCGAGCTACTTGTGGGTGGGAAATAGATGCAATCTACAACTTCAGCATAGGAGCCAACTGCTAGCCAACTCAAAATATTTGAGGGGACCAGACCCCTCCCCCCGATAATGGGCATTGCCATTCAAATGGTGTGCTCGCACCATGTCATGTGATTATGTGGGGTGGGGCTTACCTGCTCCCCCCAATATTTTATTCAATTTGGCACCCCTGCAGTCCTCTCATAATATCACTGCCCAACCTCCCTTATACATTGGTAAGGTGCTAGTCCTCCACGTTGATGCTGTCCCTTGTTACCTTGCAATTGTCTGCCTCCCACCCATTTCTGTGCTGCAGGAATGTTCATTTCAGTAAATATATATATGAATGAATGAAATATATACCTGGCCTGCCATCCATTTTCAACAGTTCGGACCATGCTATTAAAAATCATAATAACCTCAGCCTGTGCATTTACACAACTCTCAGCAAATCGACGGCAAAAACGTTTTGCCAGCCTCAATAAATAAAAAGAAAACACTTTGACCATGCACAGTTTCACCTTTGAAAGAAGCTCAATTCATTGTTCTTTTTGCTCACTTTCTGCTTTGGGGGCAGCCCCCAACTCCCAGCCTAACACAACACACATAAGTCTTGTGAACATATTGAAGGGTGTGTAAAATGGCTGCAAAGGGGGACACTGCTCTTTTGGAGCTCTTGGCACTGCTTGGGTCTGCACCATCTAAAAATTGCTTCTTCCTTCATTTTTGGATTATCAAACATTTTTGGGGTATGGCATTTCCACTCTCCAGGAAATACATCTGTTTTCCAAGGAGCTAAAAATTCGCCTTTTTGCCCAACTGCTGGAAAGCAGGAAAATATTTTCCGAACTGATGAAAATGTGTGTGCTGTGCAACGTGCACCTGCCCTTTTTTAATATCTGGAGGGCTGCTCCATGGAAGAAAGAGCAAGCTTGTTTTCTGGATGGAAGAAAGAGCAAGCTTGTTTTCTGGATGGAAGAGAATTGCGCCAGCAGTGAAATCTTGAGTGAATTGCTGCTCTGAGACCACAAGCCCACCACACTCTGCTTGTGCCAGAAGCAGGCAGGGCGGTGTGTGTGTGTGTGTGTGTGTGTGTGTGTGTGTGTGTGTGTGTGCGTGTGTGTGTGTGTGTGTGTGTGTGTGTGTGTGTGGCATCCCCAAGACTTCCTCACTCTTGCTGGAGTAACAGGAGAATGTTGAAGGATGTCTCCATCCTAATGTCTTGGGCCGTTGCACCCTCTTGTGCCTGTACACAGTCCCTGCAGTCCTCCAAGCCTCCCTTTCCCCACCTTCACCAAACCCTTTTCCAGTCCTGCTGGAACAAAAGAACAAAATCTTGTCAGAAAGAGACCCCGGGGTTGTGACGGTGAAGAGGAGGGACCTGTGTGCGAAAGAAAACAAAAAACAGCGAGAACAATTGGGAAAGGGGCCCGAAACAGGGGTGGCCCATCTGGGAGTCCGACTGTAGGTGGCGCCAGAGCTAAGACAGGTGCAGCCAATTAATCAATTCTACTTTACCCCATCTTTGTGGTGTGTTATAAGAGCAACACTGAAACTGAGGAGCAGCAGCAGGCAGGCAGTGCCACACCCCACACCTCGAACTGGGCTGACACATGGTGGATGGAGCAAGCTTGTTTTCTCCCTGCTCCAGAGGGAAAGACCCATGGATTCAAGTTACAAGAAAGGAAATTCCGACTAAACATCAGGAAGAACTTTTGGATGGCAAGAACTGTTTGGCAGTAGAATAGACTCCCGAGAGGTGGTGGACTCTTCTCCCTTGGAGGTTTTTAAGCAGAGGTTGGACGGCCATCTTGTCATGTATGATCTATTTCAGCCTTTCTCAACCTTGGGTCCCCATGTTTTTTGGCCTACAACTCCCATCATCCCTGACCACTGGTCCTGTGAGCTAGTGATCATGGGAGTTGTAGGCCAAAAACATCTGGGTACCCAAGGTTGAGAACCACTGAATTCTAGTGGGAAATCCTGCATTGCAGGGGGTTGGACTAGATGAGCTTCGGGGTCCCTTTCCAGCTCTACAATTAAATGTTTCCATGATTCTAAGAAGGTGGCTGAAGTTGGTGGGGCAGTGCCCTGTTTGCTCTAAAGGACCAGCCTCCACTGGACTGAAGACACAACTGCCTCACTTGGAATACTATGTAAGAGGGAGGCAGTGTGGTGTAGTGGTTAGACTAGGACCTGGGAGAGACCAGGGTTCAAATCCTCATGAAACTCACTGGGTGTGACCTTGAGCCAATCACTGCCTCTCAGCCTAAACTACCTTCTAGGGTTGTTGTGGGGATTAAATTGGGGGGGGGGGGGACAACCGCGTACGACACCTGAAACTCCTTGGAGAAAAGAGCAGGATAGAAACGCAAAGAATAAAAAATAAATCAAGTTCTCATTTGCTGTGCCTCAAAAAGGTATATTGCAGATTCAGGGGGAAATGACCAAGGGCTTGGAGCAACCCTCTTAGGAAAAAGGGTTACAACATTTGGGACTCTTTGTTTAGCTTAGTTCTTTTTAAAAACTCATTCATTGGTGCAGCAACCCCTAGTGGACAAAAACACACCCAGCTCCCAGCTCCCTTCCAGCCCCTCATTGTGCAATCACACCCACCACAAAACCAGCATCCTCTTATCGAGGATGAAAAGAGATTTTTAAGGAAGGAGAAATACAAGACTGGAGCAAACTTGGTTTATTTTAAAAAAATAAGATATATATAACACAAAAACAAATGCCACACAAATAGAACACTAGCTGGAGACTTTTGAGCATGAAATGTCAAAGGAGGGTGAATCACTGCTACCTTGACAACCCACCTACCTTGATCCTGGGGGGTCAATCCTGCCCCTCCTGAGTCTTGATACTTTTCAGAACTAGCTTCCTTCAACATCCCTCATAAACCAGGCTATTCTCCTTTAAAGCAACATTTCTAAAGGGAATCCCTCCATCTTTTCCTCCTTTTAAATGCAGTAGAAAACTTATCTCCCAAGGGTTAGGGGAAGAGCCATAAACCGAGTGGCAGAACACCTGCCTTGCATGCAGAAGGCCCCAGGTTCCATCCCTGAAGGCATCTCCAGGTGGGGCTGTGAGAGACTCCTGCCTGAAACCTTGGGACAGCTGCCGCCGATCAGTGTAGACAATACTGAGTCAAAGGAACACTGGTCTGGCTCAATATAAGGCAGCTCCTTCTGTTCTTATTTAAATCAATCCAGTGAGGACTAGAATCTTGCATTTAGTTTTAGGAGGAAAGTTCTAGCTCAGCCGGCAGAGCAAAAGGTCCCAGGTTCAATCCCTCACCTCTCCAGGCAGAGCTGGGAATGCCCCTGTCTGAAACTCTGGAGACCCGTCTCTGCCAACCAGTGTGGACAATACTGAACTGGATGAACCAATGGCCTGACTCAGTATAAGGCAGCTTCTTGTGCATAATCCTATTTTGTCATTTACACCAAGAGTCAGCTTAACTGGGAAGGAAGCACCACCCAGTGGTCACGCACATGCACTGCAGGCAGAAGGTCTCTGGTTCAGTCCTTCGCATCGCCACTTAAGATATTGGTTTACTCGCAGGCAATGAGTAAAGCAGCTCCCTCTCTGCCAGGAGAGCCAGTCAGTGGTCAGCGGTGGCTAGTTGGACCAAGAGGAAGCCCAATTCCTAGGCTCCATCACTTTCCTCCCCCCACCTCCACACCAGAAGCATCTTATTGCATTGACCTCAACACTTCTAAGTCAGACATAGATGACCGAACAATAAGTCTAGTGGTTGAGACTTGGCTTGAGTTAATCCTTGCCTAACTCAGCTACATCCAATACAGTTTTCTTCAGCTATAGGACCCATCTCAAGAGGACTGTCAACTGCCCCATTCACATCAGTCAGGTCATTACTTGGGTCTGAGTTGACTGGCTCGGCTTTACCCAGCACAGATGTCAACTGGACCCAGAAGAAGGCCTGCCGGTTGTGATCTGAAGGCCACTCCAGGTAAGTCTTTGTGCTCAGCATCTTCCGTAACCTGCAGAATTTGTTGGGCAACGCCTGCAGGTCAATGGCTTCCTTCACCACCAGCACGACGTCCTCGAAGCTAAGGCCCACGGCCCGCTGGTGGGCAAAGTAGAGCTCATAATTGCACCAGTCGCTGTCAACAAAGCTGCGCGAGAGGACGAAGATGACCTTGCGGCTGTTCTCGATGTTGTCGATGATGTTGTCGATGATCCATCGCCCCGGCGTGAAGTCGCGCTCGTGGATGCAGACGCGGTACGGCGGGCGGGAAGCCTCCAGCCTCTGCAGGAGCTCTCGCCTCACCCATTCGGCGTCGGAGCAGCTGTAGGAAATGAAGGCATGGTAGGCAAACTGCCGCGACAGCTGGGAGCGGCCGGCTCGGTACTTGGAGCGGACGATCAGGAACGTGGCCTTGAGATACCACGGAACATCAAACCTCCAGCACAGAACCATGCAGGCAATCAGCACCGCAGCTGTGATGGAGACTGCAATGGCCACCACCACTGTGACGTCACACTCTGTCACCCTCGGGACGTAAGCCGCCACCGCAGTGTCCAACAAGAATTCAGGGTGGTAACAGGTCCATCCAGCCGGCCAGTCCAGCAGCCTGAGTTTTCCGTTCCTCAGTGTCTCTTGAACAAAGCTGTAGAGATCACAGATGCAGTGATAAGGGTTGTTGCCCGCCTTCAGTTGAGCAAGACGAGGCATGTTGACAAAGGATCCTTTGTTGATGACGCCAAAAGAGTTGCCATCCAACTCCAGAACCCTCAAGTTTGGGCATCTCCACTCTGTAGGGATGAATTTGATCTTGTTCCCACTCAGCAGTAGCTCCTGGAGGTCAACAGCGACCTCGAAGTAGCCCATATCTAGCCGTTCCAGCTGGGAATACGATAAGTCCAGAAAGCGCAAAGTAGTGGGGAGACACTGGAAGATTTCCGTGGTAACTGCATTGTAAGGGAGGGCCAGCCAAACCAGACTGGGAGTCCATGTACAGGGGGACAGACCTGAGCCCCCAATGTGATTGTGGGTCAGGTCTAGTTTGGCGAGTCGGGACCAACTGAAGGTCAACTTTGCAAGAGTGCTCAGGTGGACTAGTAAGTTGTAGCTGAGGTCAAGCTGTTCCAGCTTGGGCAGAGTGCCCTGGTACTGGCAGGCCTCGTTGTAGACGTAGCCATCTTGCAAGCGGTTGTTGGAGACGTTCAAAGCCACCACGTTCCTCATCTCCTTCCAGGCGTCGCAAGGCACCATGTTGAAGTTGACGTTGATGATGGAGAGGTACGTCACGCCCGCAAACCACATGAAGGTCCAGTCGAAACGCAGGACGTCCGGGTTGCTGATGTCCGCCAGAACCAACCGCCGCAGGGTGAGGTTGGCCATGCCAACTTCCGGCGCCTTCCACTTGGGCGACCGCGCAAAATCGATAGCTATGAAGGACAGGTCTTGCACACGAGACCTCCGGACGTTCAGCAGGATCAGACGCAGCAGGTTCTCGTTGAATTTCCCCCGGCGGAAGACCAGCTCTGTGGCCTCCACCCCAGCCAAGTCGTGGAAGAGGTCTGTAGAGCCTGTGTAGTACGTGAACTCAAAGAGGTTGCGGAAATGGAGGTATCGCAGAGGCCTTCCCCTCAAGTCCCGCAGCAGCAGCGGCAAGACCTCTGTGTGTCCGTCCAGCGACATGTCGCACCACAAGTCGGTGGTGTTGAGTTTGGAAAAGGCCCCCTGTTGATACTCCTGCAAACTGGCTGCCGTTTTCAGAGCAAACTTTTTCAACGGGGTGTCTTTCAGAGGAAGGAAGTCCTGGCTTCCCACCATGTGGACAGCAGAGCCCCCCATGGAGAGGGTTTCAAGGTTTTTCAAAGTGCCGAACACGCCGTCCAACGCCGAGCGGGGATAAAAGTTGTTTGACATTTCCAGCACCTTCAGATTCCTCAGCGGTTTCAGCGCCTGAGACGGGATCTCCCTCAGCGAGTTGTTGAAGAGTTTGAGCTGCTCCAAGAGCACGTTGGAGGCGAAGGAATCGTCAGCGATAGACATGATGTTGTTGAAATCCAGATTGAGGCTTTTCAGCTGAGTCAAGGCGGAGAAATCCCCGCGGGTGACCTGCTGAATCTTATTGTAAGATAGGTCCAATGATTCCAGAGTGCCTGGGAGATCCCTAGGGACTCGGAGCAGGTTCTGACCTCGGCAAGTAGCCGCCTTGAGGGAGATCTGGCAAAGAGATGCCTTGGGAGGTTTCGCATGAGCCAGGATCGCCAAATGCAACGCCAGGACGGTGATGAGCGGCAGTTCCATGCCACTTCACATCTTTACTGTCAACCTGAGTGGAGAAGGAAAATGAAAACCAAGACAGTAAATCAAAACTCTTCTCTATTTTGCTAACACACTCTTTAATTCCCCCCACACTGAATTAAATTTAATTCCTGGAAGTAACAAAGCAGCTGTCTCCCTTAACACAGCCTTCCTGAAACTAGTGCCTCACAGATATTGTTATGCTACAGCTCCCATCATCCCTGACCACTGTCCATACTGGTTAGGGCTAATGACAGCTGGGAATCCAAAACTTCTGAAGGACGGCAGGTACGGGGTGTAGCAGGAACCCCCCCCCAATCATTCCGTTTGTACAAACTTCACACACACTCACACTCACACACTACATACACTACACTTCTGTTATAAATTCATAGAAAATCAACCATACATCGGATTTGCACTGTTCCACTTTTATTTTACTCCATGAAGGAAGGACTACAAAATGGGGAAAGGTTTGATACAGGCCACCATAATCCCTTGAGCATAGCAGCACATCCACAGGAGCCCTGCCCAGTTGCTATGCCAACCCTGATGGTCTCAGACAGAAGACCATCAACAACACAACTGACTGCATACACACGAGTGGATTCAACACGGACTATAACAAAAGAACAGTGATTGGATTCCCCCTCAGGGGGCAGGAAACTGCAACTACCTTTTGTCTTCTGAAAATGACTCATGGGGAAGGGGAGAAGGGAACCAGCCAGGTGACAGGACACTCAGGTTACCACCACCCCCCCTCCCTCAACCCCTCCTTTCTGTGATGTATGAATGTTTCTGGGGGTGGGCTTGATCTACAGGGTGGGAATTTCAAAAGTTTTTATAAGGTCTTGCACACCATTTTTCTCTGTCTTTTCCTCTCTCCTGCAAGTGAGGGGAGCACCCTGTTGCAACAGTTCAATAAAGGCCAAGCCTACAGGCTGCTGATTTGCTCCAATTTACTCTGGTTGGTGTCTTTACTTTTTGTCCAAGGGAGCCCTCGGATTTTTCCGGTAACAGTTGAAGGCTGCCTTCACCCACTGGAGTGGATGATACTCATACATTAGTGCTGGGTAAAGTCAAATTGATCCCAGCCCATTAAATGTTTTGGTCTAGCAGTAGCCGTCCAGCTATCCATTGCTTCCAGATTTAAAACAGAACAGTCTCATGCTTTACTGAGTTTCAAACTGTGTCTTGGGAAAGCCAGAGAGCTCATTGGAAGCTGATCAGAAGTTCCTTGATGTGCAAATCAGACAAGGCCCTTCCTATAAACTACCACCCTTCCATTTCGTGGAGAGCAGCTGGGGAGTCTAGTGATAAGATCGCCCATTAAATTAGTTGGTTTTTGTTCCCTCAAAGGAGAGGGGATTAAAAAAACCAGGCAAATTTCCTTACTTTCCCCCCTTTCATTGGAATATCACCAATTTTGCTGTGAAAGAAGAGGGGGGACTCGTAAGTTTACCAGCAATGCCGTACACACAAAATGAACTAAAACTAATTCCTTAGACATACAGAATAGAAGCCAAATTCCAGAAGCTTGGCATAACTTTGTTATACACTTTCATTCGATTGCCTTTCTTGGAACGTCTAAAACGACAACTAACAGCCTCCATTTTTTGTTGTTTTCTTAACAACTACTAAACTCTGTATTCCTTGCGTGGGTATGTTTAGTTACATGAAATTAAACATCAATTTTGTTTTTGTTTTTTTAAAACTGAGTTCTTAAGGGCACTGCTTTCTTCTTGTTTATTCTGTGAACTGACTCAGCCTCCAGCTAGAGACAAGAATGGACCTTTGGTCTGCTCCAGCTAAGCAGTGTCAAATGGGATGGCACATGGTGGATAAAAGCAAATGCACCCTAGAGTGAGGGCTCCAAGCTGTGGTGCTAGCATGCAGCTTGCCAGGATGCTCAACTGCAAAGACAGAGGCACACAGACCAGCATATCTAACACCATTTCATGCATCGGTCTTGCTTTTTTAAACCCTTTTTTAAAAGGCAGCATATACATTTGCTTATTTATAATGATTTTTATCAAAAACCCACTTTATTTTATTCCTTAAGCCCACAAAACATTTTAAAGAAGAATTGCAAAGTCTGCACCAAGAAGGTCGGGGGGAAGTGGTGTGTTTGTGACACCGCAGTCACTGGCCAATCACCCCCTCACCAAAGCTCCAACAGTTTGTGCTTGCAACCATTTCCTGTGAAGGAGGACTGGTTGTTAACTACTCTGGGAATTTTAGCTCTGGCTGGAGAATCTGTGGTGGTGATGGGGAATTCCTAACTACTCTCATCACCCTTAAGAAGCTACAGCTCCCAGGATCTTTTGGAGGAAGCAATGAGAGTTTAAAATGCTTTAAATATATGGTGTAAGTGAGGCTTTATTGAAAGCCAAGGTCATTTTAAAAAAGTCCTTCGCCTCAGGACAGATATGCCCTCCCTCTTCTCTTTCTTGCTTTACTTTTGAGTCCTGTCACTCATTTTCTCTTTTGGAATACTTAAGGATCCTCTTTTCACTCAAGATGTGCATTTACTGTACAAGTTGATGCCTGCTTGTATTGTAACTTGGCCGTCTGAATCAGCATCCAGACACACCGTCACTTTCATTTCATGTACTAAACCAACCTTTCTTTATTCCTTTTGCATGTGAACTTCTCGTGAACGTAAGAGTGAACACACATTCATTACAAAACACACTTTAACTCCAGAAAAAGGTCCTCTTTTACCTCCTGGATTTCTGCCCATTACACAGCCAGTAAAAGCAAGCACACCCAGGAGTCACTGCTGGTAAAAAGCAGTCATGGGTTAATGATATATCAGCCATTAGCCCATGACTAGTTTGTGTAATGTGTGTGTAATGGGCAGAAATCCAGGGGAGCTCACTGCCTCAGAACCCCCTGCTGTTATTTATCAGATATACAGGGGCTGGTTTTAGATTAACTGGCTGGTGAGGGAAGGTACTCTGCATGTGCTCAGAGGCACCATTATATCACACACAACTGAGCTTCGTAGCAGTTACTGAAACAGGGCCGTGTTCTCGTTCCAAATCTCTTTGGCATATTTTTATTCCTGTTGCTCTCCTGTGTCTTCAGGGTGACAGAAGACAGTACAGTGGTACCTCGGGTTACAAACGCTTCGGGTTACATACGCTTCAGGTTACAGACTCCGCTAACCCAGAAATAGTGCTTCAGGTTAAGAACTTTGCTTCAGGATGAGAAGAGAAATCGTGCTCCGACGGTGCGGCAGCAGCAGGAGGCCCCATTAGCTAAAGTGGTGCTTCAGGTTAAGAACAGTTTCAGGTTAAGAACGGACCTCCAGAACGAATTAAGTACTTAACCCGAGGTACCACTGTACATAGTTCCATTCAAAGAGCAACGGGGGGGGGGGGCTGTTGAGCCCGGCACATCTCCACCCCAAAAGATGTTTGCACATGACGCAGCCTTGACAGCGCACTCTGAGAAAGCTCTAGAGTCTCATCAACTATTTTGCCCAATCCTGCATGGAGTTCAGCCTCACTATCTGCCTGACGAAGGCCAACATCCCCTGTCAGGACGTCGCCGGCACTCCACACATCAGCCCTGGTGACCACACACTTGAGGTGGTAGCCAGTTTTGTCTACCTGGGCTCCTTTGTAACCAGCAACCTTTCCAACAACGCTGTGCTGGACAAGCATATTGGGCAAGGCAGCTACGGCAATGGCTCCCCTCTCCAAAAGGGTATGGGAGAAGGGGATGCTAATAATGGCCAATGCCAAGCCTACACACCAAGCATGCTGCTTTATGGAAGTGAATTGTGGGCACCTGCCAGGAGCGACAGACACCTCAATGCCTTCCATATGCTCTGCATCGGGAAGATTTTGGGCAGGACAGATTCTCAAACAAAGACGTCCTCTCCCAAGCACACATTCCCAGCATGTTTGCACTCCTGTCTCAGAGATGTCTCTGCCGATCTCGGTCATGCACACAGAATGGAAGATGGATCTCCAAGGAGGCGCTTTACAAGGAGTTGGCTTCAGGTGCCTGACCCGTTGGCAGACCAGCTTTGCACTACAAAAGATGTCTGCAACTGCGACTGAAGGCTGACAACATCAACCCAGCTGTGTAGGAATCCCTTGCAGACGGCAGCAGCTGGAGACGGACATTCAGGTCTTGTAACCACAGCAGTGACCAGAGGAGGAACTGCTGGGAGGAGAGCAGAGAGAAGAAAACGCCGTGGCGCATCTGCAGCAGCACAACCGGACGTCTTTATTTGCCCATTTGCAATAAAACATGTCTCATATCAGTCTCTGCAGTCACAGCAAGAGCTGTAGCTCTCCAATGATTTGACTTCCCCCCAAAGCCATTATCTCCAGAGACAGAAGGGTGCCGTATCTCAACGCATAAAACACTCCCCATGAAAAGCAATGTCACTCTCCAGCATAGCTGTCAACGCTTCCGTTTCTTAAGGGAAATTCCCTTATTCCTAATAGGATTCCTTGCAAGAAAAGGGGGAAGTTGACAGCTATGCTCTCCAGAGTGGCAGAGAGAGAGAAGTCCTGCCAGGCATCTTGCAATGCAAGCCAACCTAGACGGCATTTCAGCGGGTAAACTCTACAGCCTTGCAGTGTAGGCCAATAATCACAATTGCAGGTGGGAAAGGGCTAGGCAGGGGGAGAGAGAGGCTCGCTATCTGGAGAAGTGATTAGGAACACTCTGCCTTGCAGAGAGTCAGGCCACTGGTCCACCTTGCCAACTCGGACTGGCAGCAGCCTTGCAGGGCTTAAGGCAGAAGTCTCGCCTAGCCCTGCCGGGAGAAGAATTGAACCCGAGGCCCTCTGCTTGCAAGACCGGTGCTCTCCCCCTGAGCTGCAGCCCTTCACAGGATCGCTTAGCCCGAGACTTAGTCGCTCCCCCCTCTCTGGAAGATGACAATAATAACAGGCAGGCATGGACAGTCACGCCTGGAAAACCACAAATCCCAGCGCAAGGCAGCCTTCTAAAACCAAGGATTAGCAATACATATAAAGCTTCCTTTTTGAGTCAGGTGTTTGCGGGACGGACAAACACACAAACCCACCGCCACGCGGAAGAAGTGAGCAGATTCCTTTACCTCGGCTGCCGCGTACGCAGATCCAAAGCACAAAACAGGCGGCAGCCTCCTAGTCCTCTGTGATCACCCCACTCGGTCCGACCGCGCAGCCACATCGCGCGCTACAGCTGCCAAGCGAGCACACGCCTTCCTTTAAACCCAGCAAAAAGGAGGGGCGTGGCTTCTTAAAGGGACAGCTCCCCATTGGCATGTTATTCCGCCAGCCAGCGGTGGGCGGGGCTTTATCTGTTACCTCCCCCCGCCCCCCAACCCGGCTCATGCGAGGCTTTTTTTGGGGGGGAGTGCAGGATGCTGATCTCTTCTTCAAAGAGTGGCATATATATCAGCCAGGCAGGGGTGCCAACTTGACTAAAGTATTGGGGGGGGGTTGCAGGTAAGCCCCGCCCCTCATAATTGATCACATGACGCGGTGCACAAACATTATTTGAATGGGAATTCCCCTCAGCTTGGCGGCGGGGTGCTTCTATGTATACAGTCCCCTCCCCACTACTGTGACTGCTACATTTAAAGCAACCCCCCCCCCCCGCAAAAAAGAATATTGGGAACTGTAGTTTAAGTCTTCTGGGAATTGTAGCTCTGTGAGAGGTAGGCATCAGTTTGCAGGATTCTTGCTGGAGGGAGGAATATGTTTAAATGTGGGTCATGCAAATCGCTGCTCTGAATTATGCTTTTTATAGGGTCGGGGGTCCCTGGGGATGAGCTTATGGAACCAGACTCCAAACCTTGATTTTTTTTCAAATGGGGCGTTGGGCCTTTTTCTATCTGTTGCAAAACTTTGGTGAGGTTTGCCAAGGCTTAAGTTAAGAGAGTTCTGCCAAGTAATAACCAAAAAATGAGGTGGTCTCTGTGGGCGTTACAGTATATTGCACCCAGAAGCAACCACAAGCCAGCTCCTTTCCACTAGCTGCCATCTTCTGCCTTGCTGCCTCCTGTTGCTGCACCTTCAACAACATCTTTAGCTTGTGGGTATTAGAAGATGGTTGTGCGTTTTTATTTGCATACCATAAAAAAGCTTCATTTCTGCAGATCAAGCTGCTGTTTCAAGGCAGGCCAGTCCGGTTTGGAGGGTTTGTTCGCTGTTTTCCTAGCCAGCTGGCACCCTCAGCTCCCGCATCTAGGAATGCAGAGAGGAGTGGCTGTTTCAGGTCTGGTGTGTCTCTTTAGATCTGAAGCCCTTAAGTTATACTCAAGGCAAAGGCTTGAAAGATCAAAAAACCCCACAAACACTGTTTAAGAATTAGGTTTCTCTTAGAAACAGGAGTCTCTTAGAACTTCCTCTGACAATAAATAGATCGTTTTTTGGTCTTTGAGACCATGCAGATATTTAAAACAGCGTTTGCATGTGGAGCAGTTGCAAGAATAGCACATTTCACGCCTGGGGTCATTAGGAAAGGAATGGAAAATACAACTGCCAAACTGTTTAAACTAAACAGCATAAGTCGTGCAAGAGATCAGCTGCGAACCACCTAAGGGTGCTGTTATACACAATCAATGATGTAGCTGCATTTGGAATAATGTGGGCAGTTCTGGTTGCCTCACCTCAAAAAGGATATTGTAGAAATGGAAAGTGTTCAGAAAATGGGATTAAACGATGAAGGGGATGAAGCGGTGCCTCTCCTATGAAGAAAGAGCGCAGCGCAGAAAAGGCGAGGGGGCAGGGCAGAAGTGTGCAAAATTATGCATGGGATCAAAACATGGTGTTATGCACTAAGCTTGGATCCTAGAACAATAGGCAAGTAGGATCCTAGAATGCAACAACTGATTGGCCTGCAGGAAAAGACCAATCAGGCTCCAGGAGGGAAGCAGAATCAGCCAATCAGACGGGACTTATTGTATAAATAATGTACAGTCATACCTCATGTTACGTCCACTTCATGTTACGTTCTTTCAGGTTACGTCCCGTGGCGACCCGGAAGTACCGGAAAGGGTTACTTCCGGGTTTCGCTGCATGCGCAGACGCGCAAAATGACGTCACATGCATGCGCAGAAGTGGCGAATCGCAACCCGTGCGTGCGCAGACAGGCCGCTGCAGGTTGTGTTCTTTTCATGTTGCGAACAGGCCTCCAGAACGGACCCCATTCGCAACCAGAGGTACCACTGTATATAAAAGCCTGAGGTCTGGGGGGCAATTCAATCACTGTTTTACAAGCTGCAATAAATAGCATGAAATCACTACAGGACTCCGAGTATATTTCACATGGAGAGCAGGAAGAAGATTTGCCGAAGAGCGTATGTTATATGCCAACTTTCACTCACGCCATAATCTACAGTGATAAACCATAGGAAAAGTTCAGAGAAAAGTGTTTCCCCTCTTTCAGTGGAAAATTGTGGGCGTCCAATGAAGCTGAATGTTGGCAGGTTCAGGACGAGGGGGAAAGGAAGGACTTCTTCCTGCGGCACATACCGGTAGTTAAACTGTGGAACTCACTTCCTCAGGAGGCAGTAATGGCCACCAACCTAGAGAGCTTTAAACAAGGATTGGACACATTCATGGAGGAGAAGGCGGCTACCAGTGGCTAACAGCCACCATGGCTACCCTCTGCCTTTACTGTCAGAGGCAGAAATGCTTCTGAACACCAGTTGCTGGAAACCACAGGCAGGGAGAGGGTTCTTGTGCTCGACTCCTGATCATGGGTTTCCCATTGGGGCATCTGGTTGGCTACTGTGAGAACAGGATGCTGGACTTGATGGGCCACTGGCCTGATCCAGCAGGGCAATTGTTATGTTCTGATGGTGCCCTCCAGATGTTTTGAACTATAACTCCCAGTGGCTCCAGCTAGTCCCTTGCGGGAACCAGGCTGGCAGAGGCTGACTTAAAACACCACAGGAGACGGGGAGATATAAAACATCATGATGCTGAGGAATATTTTCCAACACACACACCACTCATCTTCCATCCTCATTCCCAGGAGCCAAACCTGGGCTTCAAACCTGGCCTGGTTCCAGCAGGAACAGCGTTTTATTTCCATCACCCCAAGGTACTCAAAGAGCCAAGGAATCTACCTTGAGTGTCAGAACAAGGCCAAAATCCACATCTTTATTAGGCCCAGCCAAAATGTTACATGAGAACAAGGAAGCTTTAGAATTCTTCTGCAAAGAGGCAGATAGAGACTTTTACCACATGTGGTGGACTTGTGATAAAGTTAAGAACTTTTGGGAGTTACGGTAATTTATAATGAACTCAAGAAAATATTTAAATATACCTTTCCCAAAACACCAGAAGCCTTTTTGTTGGGTTTGATGGGGAAGGAAATTAAGAAAGTGGACCAAAGACTCTTTATGTACGCCACAGCAGTGGCAAGAAACATGCTTGCCCAAACTGGAAATTGCAAGAAGTTCCTGCTATTGCGGAGTGGCAGACGAAAATGATGAGTTATGCGAAGTTAGCCAAACTGACGGAAGAATTCGGGATCAGGACGATCAGAGGTTTCAAGAAAATTGGAGTAAATTTATGGTGTATATAAAGGATAACTGTAAAACTTTAAAAACACTGGCAGGATTGAAATAGCTCCTACAATGTATGGCAGATATAAGATTAAATAAATAGAATATGCAATATAAGAAAATAAGGGATACTTGATGAAGGGACGGAGGGAAGTCGCAAGCTTGGCAGAGCTAAAAGTATCTATGTGATGTATTGTATTGTAAAAGTATGTATAAGGAAAATAATAAAAATTTATAAAATAAAAATAAAAATAAAATTCTCCAGAACTCTTCATCAGGCCGGATGATGAGGGGAGAGGGCTCTTGTCTCACGTTCCCATTGCTTGCGGGTTTCCCATGGGGGCATCAGGTTGGATGAGAACAGGGGGCTGGATTATATGGGTCAAAGGCCTGATCCAGTGGCCTTTTCTTATGCTGTTGTGTGTGCTGTGTGACTGGTGAGGTGTGCTGACAGGCACCCAGTTTCTCCTGCCTAGGAAAAGACACCTGCAAGAGTTCTGGTATTTGTTCCCTGGGACCTGAGGTTGAGGCTCCTGCCTGCCAGTCTTGAATTTAGTGGCTTTTGGCCAGCTGGCTGAGAACTAGAGATTTGGTCTGACTCCTAATCTGGTGGCCCTGCAGCCTCTGACTGTGTACCTTGATTGCTGCTGGAGTCGGGTGAGTGGGGGTCATAGCATCCCATAGGCACCCAACATCTCCTTGGGAACAAACCCCTGGTATTGCACTGTTTGTTGTTCCCCCAAAGACACTGCCTAGGCTGTTTTGTTTCCATTTGTGCCAAACGGGGCAGCTCGGGTTGCCAAATTCTCAACCGGCTTGTGCAGCTGTGCCGCTAACAGCTGCACAATCTACAGGCATGAGCTAGCGGCATTGCTGATCTCAGTCCAGGCTGGTGCCCCACCCATTGATTTCTGCAGGCCAAAGTCCTGTGAAAGGCAGAGGAGCAGGCGAAGCTGTTGCTTTGTGGGTCAGCTGGCAACCCTCCTGGAAGCCACTCCTTTGCTATCAGCGTGCAACCGAGGCGCAAACATCTGAATGCTTGTAAATGAAGGAGTGACACTCGCTTGTATGGTGTGTCGAAGGGGTGGTACTCAGCGCAAAGTCCTGAGGCCAGGTTCTTGAGGAGTGGGTGACATTTAGGACAGCTCAGGAGACTAGTCCACATGGAGGAAATCTCTTCACTTGAGGCTAGCCTCCACACCAAGAGGAAAGAGTTGGCCTTTTCCTTCAAATTAACTTCACCAAAACTATTCCCTCAAATCTCTGCCCCTCTCAAAAATAAAATAATAAAATAAAATCCAAAGAAGAATTTAGCCCCCAGGGCAGGGAGGCGCTTTTCCAAAGCTTCTTTAGCGAGAGACACCTTCTGGCCTCAGGGTGCTTCCAATACCAGACATTTTTCTGGACCCTGAATTGCAGTCACTGATAAATGTACCGTGGGAGTGTACATTGATAAAGGTATTCAATGTGGAGCCAAGCTCCCTTGCAGGGCTGGCACAGGACATCTTTGCTACGTGAGGAGAGAACAAACTGGCACCCTCCCACCCTCATGCTGTGCTCAGAAGCCTCCTGGACTGGCAGATGGGTCTAACTTCAACGCTGATGATGGGATAGCGTCCCCCACTCCCAAGTGCTAAGGGGCTCAGGACAGGCTGCCGCTCTGCGCCCCACCATCTTCCGCAGCAACTGCCACCTGAGGTAGCCATTTCACCCTGCCTAAGGACAGGGCCGGCCTGGATAAAAGCAGAGAGCCCGTGTGGTGCAACAGCATTGGACTAGGACCTGGAAGACTAGGGTTCGAATCCCGCTCAGCCATGAAGCTCACTGGGTGACTGGGGGGGGCAGTCACTGTCCCTCAACCTAAACTACCTCACAGGATTGTTGTGGGGCGGCGGGGGCGTGGAGGAGAACTATGTTACCTTGAGCTCCTTGGGGAAAACAGTGGTATACAAATGAAATAAGCAAGTAGTGCTGAGTTTAGTTTGGCTCCTGCGGATGGTTGAACCCCTGCAGACCCAAAGAAAGAATTGCTTTAATGACATTTTGGCTGGTCCCAATACAGTGGTACCTCGGGTTAAGAACTTAATTAGTTCTGGAGGTCCGTTCTTAACCTGAAGCTGTTCTTAACCTGAGGTACCGCTCTAGCTAATGGGGCCTCCCGCTGCTGCCGCCGCGCAATTTCTTTTCTCATCCTGAAGCAAAGTTCTTAACTTGAGGTACTACTTCTGGGTTAGCGGAGTCTGTAACCTGAAGCGTATGTAACCCGAGGTACCACTGTAAATGTATTCCCCTACATTTTGGGTGGTTATCCCTGTCATGCTTGTCTCTGTCTGTCTGTCTGTCTGTCTGTCTGTCTGTCTGTCTGTCTCTCTCACACACACAGAGTGAAAGAGAGAGAGAGTTTGCTTATTGCTTGCTTGGATGACGGATGGAGAGGGATAAATCTACTGAACAGTCATCTCTGTTGCTCCACCCACTTCCTGCCTTTGGCCACACCCACTCCTGACGCACAGTCCCCACCCCGCCACTCCCCAGAAAGTTGTCCCTGAAGAAATGTGGTTCTGGGGCTGCAAAGAGTTCCCCAACTCTGTCCTACTCTGCACAAACCACATGGGTTCATGTTATGGAATTTATTTATTTCTTTGCAACCTCCCAAGGCTGTGAGGGTCACACATTCTTCCTTGGGTCAGCTGGCAACTCAACAATCAACGATTTTAATCAGCTCCTGAACAATGGAGGAAATCGATAAGAAAATTTCACAATGAGCAAGGAAGCAAGCGTGGGTTTCAGGAAGTCTAGGAAAACAAGCCAAGCGTAATACAAGGAGAAACCTGCCAACCACTGACTGCTGAAGCGGGAAAGCTCCAGAGGCAGCCTGCTTTTGCAGCATTGCATTGTTATCTGGGAGGCTGAGATGATCCTGCCAAAGGGAGACAAATCCTCATTTTTCCTCCCTGCCCCATTAGTGGTTAGAGTGCCAGTCTCCTAGTACCTGCGAGAAGAGGTTTCATGACCCCACTTGGCCATCATGAAACTCTCACACCGGGCAACCTTGAAAGCCAGTCCCTGTCTCTCAGCCTCACCTAACATGAGTCAACAGTGTGATGCACCCGCCACAGTGGGTGGCGCTGTGGTCTAAACCACTGAGCTCTTGGGCTTGCTGATTGGATGGTCAGTGGTTCGAATCCACAAAATGGGTTGAGCTCCTGTTGCTCTGTCTCAGCTCCTGCCAACCTAGCAGTTAAAAAGTACACCAGTGCAAATCAATAAATAGGTACCACTGCGGCAGGAAGGTAAACAGTATTTCCCTGCGCTTTGGTTTATGTCACGGTGTTTCCGTTGCGCCAGAAGCAGTCATACTGGTCACATGACCCAGAAAGCTGTGGACAAACGCTGGCTCCCTCGGCCTGAAAGTGAGATGAGTGCCGCTCCCCATAGTCACCTTTGACTGGACGTAATCATCCAGCGGTCCTTTACTTTTACCTTCTTTTTTATTTACCTTACAGCAGCAAAAAAAGTTCATTCTAGGCTACATCAACAGAAGTATAGTGTCCAGGTCAAAGGAAGTAATAGTAATACTCTATTCTGCCTTGCTTAGACCACATCTGGAGTACTGTGTCCCATTCCGGGCACCAGAGTTTAAAAAGGATACAGTGGTACCTCGGGTTACATACGCTTCAGGTTACATACGCTTCAGGTTACAGACTCTGCTAACCCAGAAATAGTGCTTCAGGTTAAGAACTTTGCTTCAGGATGAGAACAGAAATCGTGCTCTGGTGGCGTGGCAGCAGCAGGAGGCCCCATTAGCTAAAGTGGTGCTTCAGGTTAAGAACAGTTTCAGGTTAAGAACGGACCTCCGGAACGAATTAAGTACGTAACCAGAGGTACCACTGTATTGACAAACTGGAAGGTGCGCAGAGGAAGGTGACCAAGATGATTAAGGGTCTGGAAACCAAGCCTTGTGAGGAACGGCTGAGGGAGCTGGATATGTGCAGGCTGGAAAACTGGAGATAACCAGGTTGTCATCAAACCTCCTTGCAAATCTGATTCAAACAAATCAAGATGAACAACATGAAAATCAAGATGATTATCTGGAGGGGAATCTAGTCTTTATGGGATGTTTTTTTATTTTCTGGCCACAAGGTGGCAGCACCTCTCCTTAGTCTCTTCTCAGAGCTTGGAAAGAAGGAAGTGCCTTATTGCGAAGGCAGAATATGGGCTTGTCCACACTGGGCTTGTCCAAATGTGGGTTTGCCACGGCCTCTTTCCCCATTAATGGAGGGGGGGGGTACCACGGGGGAGCAAGGCAGTAGCTGCAGAGTGGTGCTACCTGGTCCAGCCAAGTCTGGAGGTGTATATGAGACCTTAGAAAACTAATTAAAATCAGAGCAAGGCTCTTTTGTTGCTCTAGCGGTATTATTATTATTAAGAAAGCCAGATTTGTTCTGTTTAATCGTTCTGACATTTTCAAGTTTTCATAAATCCCCTTATGAACATTTCAAATAAAATAAAATCGCAGTACAGTGGTACCTCGGGTTACATATGCTTCAGGTTACATACGCTTCAGGTTACAGACTCCGCTAACCCAGAAATATTACCTCGGGGTAAGACCTTTGCTTCAGGATGAGAACAGACATCGTGTTCCGGTAGCACAGCAGCAGCAGGAGGCCCCATTAGCTAAAGTGGTGCTTCAGGTTAAGAACAGTTTCAGGTTAAGTATAGACCTCCAGAACGAATTAAGTTCTTAACCCGAGGTACCACTGTATCTTCTTTTCCAAATATGCAGAAGTATTTGTTAAACCACAATATTTATGCATCAGTGCTGCATAATAGCCCTCTTCCAGTATCCCCACCCCCTCTCTCATCACTTTCTTACTTATCTTCTGGAAATTTGTTTCTTTTCCTTATCATTTTAAAACTTCCATAAAAAATTACATGGAAATAACAATAACAACAAAAAACAACAGCACCATAAATATTGCAACTAAGTAAAAACAACCGATTTGGCTTCCTTGCATTGCTTCTGCCCACTGCTGATGTCTTTTAAAAAATTCCTCTTTTGATGCCCTTTGCAATTTTCTCCCCAAAGCCCTGAATTGCTTCTTTCTCATAGACTGACATTTGTTCCACAGGGACTTGAAAGCTCCTTCTCTGCTTGGTGCATACGTTAGGGCAGCCAAAGGCATTGTCCACACCCAGGCATTCCTTCCAGGTATTCTGCTCTCCCGCTGGGTGCTTATTGTAGGAAGGGTGCTGCTTATCCATACAATTTCTTTCTTGCAGTCTCTGCACAATGGTCAGCATGACGTAGTGGTTAAGAGTGTCAGACTAGGAACTGGGAGACCAGTATTCAAATCCCCCCTCACTCGACAGTGAAGCTCCCTGGGTGACCTTGGGCCAGTAGTTCACTCTCAGCCTAACCCACCTCGCAGGGTCGTTGTGCGGATTAAATGACGGGGTGGGGGGAACCATGTACAGCAGCCTCCCTCCATTTCAGCTAGTTTCTTTTTCCACGGACGATCTGCTAAAAAACAAAGACTCTGTCAAAAATAACCTGTGTGCAATATCTCAGTGACCTGTTTGCAATATTCAGGCTCCGTCGAACACAGAACGCACAGTGCAGAGCTGTTCCTGGCTGTCCCTGCCACTCAAGCAGCCGCCCCTCCTCTCCGCTATATAAAATACCAGCAGGAGAGAAGGAGGGAGAGCGAAGCAGAGGCAGAGGAAGGGAAGCACTTTGCCAAGAAGCTCCTTTAGAACACCCTGCCGGCTGCGCCCTTTGAGCCCTCTGCTCGCTCTCTCCTCCAGGGGATTAAAACTCCAAATGTTGGTCAAGCTGAGGATGGCTTTCCAGCAGGCCGGAAAGATATCCGAAGGGAGCCTGCCCAAACTGGAAGCCAACATCCTCGTCATTGGAGCTGGGAAGGTGGGCAAGTCAGGTGAGTGACCCGCAAGTGCTGGCTTTGCATGCAAAGGGATTCCAGGTTCGATCCCTGTCTCATCTCCAAACAGGGCTGGGAACGACCCCACAGAGTCGCTGGGGGTTAGTCCCATCGGCTCTGATCATTGGGCCATGCTGGCTGGGGCGGCTGGGAGTTGTAGTCCAGAACATCTGGAGGGCATTGAAACGGAGAAGGATGGCGAGGAACCTTCAGCCCTTCGGATGTTGGTGAGCTGCAACTCCCATCAGCCCCAGCAAGCATGGCCAGTGGCCAGAGACTCGTCGTTGAGCAACATCTGGCAGGGGGCAGGCAAAGGCTCCCCACACAAGGTGAGGACAAGGCTGACCTATGCTCTGGCTCAGTATAGGGCAGCTTCCACAGTTTTGCTGTCAGTTTTAAACAGGCCTCAAGCTAAGGAGTTGGCTTGGATCTGGTCGGCTAAATGGTCCACATGTTTGTAAGCACATTGGGGCAGGAGTTTGGCTGCCTGTTTGCTCATGCTGCAAAGTGCCATCTTTGCTGAGGATAAAGGAGCTGGTGTCATGGAACTGTAGAGTTGGAAGGGACCCCAAGGGTCATCTAATCCAACCCCCTGCAATGGAGGAATCACGGCTAAAAAATCCCTGGCCGTCCAACTTCTCTTTGAAGGAGAGTTCAATACTTTCGGAGACAGTGCGTTCCACCATCGAACAGCTCTGACCCTTAGAAAGCTTTTGCTAATGTTGAGTCGGGATGTCCTTCCTTGTCATTTGAATCCATTGGTTTGGGTCCCACCCTCTGGAGCAACAAAAAACCCCAAGCTTGCTCCATCTTCCATGGGGCAGCCCTTCAGGTATTTGAAGGTGGCTCTCTCCTATTGCCTCCCACTCTTCTCTTAGTCATGTCACAACTATGCCGTGAGCTAGGATAGGAAACAGGGAATTGAATATCAAAGCAAGCCCCTTGGTTTCCAACCAGGGGACAAGAAGATCGACCTCCCTGCCAGGAGGAACAGCGCATTGAACACTGCAAAGGACGACTTCGTCACTGCTGTTTGTCAGCTTTTTATAAAATACCATCAACGTAAAGCCACTTTAGAGGTACAATTTGAAAACATAGTCCCCGTTGCAATCTAAATGTAGTCTGCCGGGGAGAGAAGGGGAAAGGCGAGGGCTGTCTGTGGCTTTAGCACAGCTGTAGGGCTGACAGCTGTCCACAACCTCTGGAGGGCACCAGGTTGGTAAAGGCTTCTGTATGAGTACTTTGGGCAGAGGCCTAGCCCTGTGGAAGGGACACCCTCAGAAAGTGGTGGGCTCTCCTTCAGTGGAGGTTTCTGAGCAGAGGCTGGAGCGCCAACTGTCAGAGGTTCTGCAGCTGTGACTCCTGCATTGCAGGGGGTTGGGCTAAATGGCCTTTAGGGGTCCCTTCCAACTTTACAATTTCTAGGATTCTGCAACGTGGGTGAAATGCCTACATTCTGAGTCAAGTGGGGCGTGATCACTTCAGAAGCAGCTGGGTATCGTGTCAGGAGGACCGCAAAGACGGGCCCATGGCTAAACCCACCTCTTAACTCACAATCTGTCTCCTGCGCCCATTCTCATTGCTTTACCCCTTCATGGAGCTGCAGTATTGGAAGTGGGGGGAAAGGTCATGTCAGAATGGGGCTCTGGGGAAGTAGATGGCAAAGGAAGATCCCCCCACATCAGTCTGTCTGTCTGTCTCTCTCTCTCTCTGTCTCTCTCTCTCTGTAATTGCGATGGATCTGGGATGAATCCTCACCTGGGATGTGGTGATGTCACTTCTGTCACTTCTAGTCTGACCAAAATCAAATCATTCTTGTTACGCCTATGAAGCTATGAATCCCACTTCACCTTGGGCCAGTCCCTGCCTCTTAGCCTAACCTACCTCACAGGGATGTTGTTGTGAGGGATTAAATGAGGAGGGGCAGAACCGTGTGGACCAACTCAAGCTCTTTTGAGGGCGAAGTGAACTATAAATGCAATAATGAAACCAACCAGTAAATAAAAATTTATTGCCTGTAGCAGCTGGATCAATGATGCCATCCTAATATTGCTGCTTCTTCCCACATTCTAGCTTTGACGGTTCGGTTTCTGACTCGGAGGTTTATTGGCGAATATGGGGATATTGGTAAGTGACCTTTGAGATCATCCTTCTCTGGTGTCCCTCCCCCCCAATAATCAAATCTACGAATTATTTTTACGTTAAAATTATATGCCACTTGGTTGTAATAAAAACTCAAAGGGATATGCAGAAATAATAAAGCTATTGATTCTTTTTGTAAAGCTCTCTGGGGTTTCATTGTGATCATCAAACAGCATATAAATCTTGAAAAATAAATAAATAGAATCCTTTTTGTCTTCCTTTTCCTCCCCTCCTGGTCACCCCCTCACTTTCCTTCCTTCCTTCCTTCCCTCCCTCCCTTGACCTTGTGCTATTCACCATCTCCCACCTCACAGGGTTGTTGTGGTGAGGATAAAATAGGAGTTGGGCTGGTTGAAAAACCCCTCTGAATGCTTCCTTGAGATTCTTGAAGGAAAAGTGTGAGAGATGCGTAATGATAAATAAATAACCCTTCCTCCACCCACCCACCCTATGCAAATATGGATTGTATGCAACTTTTCTAAGTAAAATTCCATTAAAATTAGTGGACCTAAGTTAATTTTTAACGGGTCACCTCTGAATAGGACTGACATTGGAGATACCACAATATGGTCCTAATCTGGATAGGGGAGGGGCTCCCGCACTTCAAGTCAGTGTGGTGTAGTGGTTAGAGTGTTAGACTAGGACCTGGGAGGGACCAGGGTTCAAATCCCCACATGGCCATGAACCTCACTGGGTGACCTTGGCCCCATCACTCACTTCACCTACCTCACAGGGTGGTTGTGAGCTTAAAATGAGGAGAAGGAAAACTATGCAAGCCAAATCACGTTCCTTGGAGCTATAAAACAAAGGACATCAATCCGCATCAATCTGGAGCAGCATTGCGGCAAGGGCTAAGGAATTAAACCACAGAGCCTAGGGCTTGCTGATCAGAAGGTCGGCGGTTCGAATCCCTGCAGCGGGGTGAGCTCCTGTTGCTCGGTCCCTGCTCCTGCCAACCTAGCAGTTTGAAAACACGTCAAAGTGCAAGTAGATAAATAGGTACTGCTCTGGCGGGAGGGTAAAAGGCGTTTCCGTGCGCTGCTCTGGTACGCCAGAAGCGGTTTAGTCATGCTGGTCACATGACCTGGAAGCTGTATGCCGGCTCCCTCGGCCAATAAAGCGAGATGAGGGTCGCAACCCGTCATCCGCGACTGGACTTAACGGTCAGGGGTCCCTTTACCATTACCTTTTACATCCCCTATACCAGGGGTCAATAAACGTTTTCAGCAGGGGGTCGGTCCACAGTCCCTCAGACCTTGTGGGGGGTCAGACTATATTTTTTTTTTGGGGGGGTAAATGAACGAATTCCTATGCCCCACAAATAACCCAGAGATACATTTTAAATAAAAGCACACATTCTGCTCATGTAAAAACACCAGGCAGGCCCCACAAATAACCCACAGAGGCATTTTAAATAAAAAGCACACATTCTGCTCATGTAAAAACACCAGGCAGGCCCCACAAATAACCCAGAGATGCATTTTAAATTAAAGGACACATTCTAAACATGTAAAAACACGCTGGTTCCTGGACCGTCCGCGAGCCGGATTTAGAAGGCAATTGGGCCGGATCTGGCCCCCGGGCCTTAGTTTGCCTACCCATGCCCTATACAATCCATACAATCTGCCCTTGAAGGCATGGCTACAGAGTTAATGCACACCCACCCTCAATTTATTATGGCCAACAGACCAGAAATAAGACCAGTTAATGTAGCCTGCGGCCTGCGCTGTTATTAACACATTTTCTCCCCACCTCTCCTCCCTTCCAGAATCAATTTACACCCACAAAGTGATAATGGCTGGCCGGGAAGCCTGCTTCAGCATCTGGGACTCCGTCTGCCCTCAGGTAAGACATCACCATGCACAATTCTCCAGGCAATTTCCACAACAGGCGAATGCCTGGCTGAAGCTGGCCTGCCAGCGGTGATGCCGCAGTTAGGGAGCTGAACTAGGAGCTGGGAGACCAGGGTTCAAATCCCCCCACTCAGCCGTGAAGCTCACAGGGCGAGACCTTGGGCCGATCACTTGCTGTCAGCCTGCCTCACAGGGGTGTTGTAGGGATAAAATGGGGAGGTGGAGAAGCATATACACTGCCTCAAGCTCCCTGGAGGAAAGCTGGGGTATATAAACGTAATAAATAACAATATGTAAATTGATAGGTTCCGTAGGAGGATTATTACTGCTGAGAGATGGGGGGTTCTTCTCATGCTCTGAAATGATGTTGTGCCATTAGTCAGAGATATACATGATGGGCAAGGAGGGAGAAGAAGCTCTTTTGGAGCCCTGAATAATTAATTTAATAATCTGAAAGTCGATTTGCTGAAGGAGCATTAGGGGCTGGTGCCAGGGTGGTGAAGCGGTTAGATCATCAAACTAGGACCTGGGAGACCAGAGTTCAAATCCACACTCAGTTATGAAGTTCACTAGGTGGCCTTGGCCCAACCAGCCTAAGGTGCTTCACAGGGGAGAGGGGGAATGATGTATACCACCTCTGAATTCCTTGGAGGAATAATAATAATAATAATAATAATAATTTATTATTTATACCCTGCCCATATGGCTGGGTCTCCCCAGCCACTCTGTGCGGCTTCCAACTGAATATTAAAAACAATACAGCATCAGACGTTAAAAACTTCCCTAAACAGGGTTGCCTTCAGATGTCTTCTAAAAGCAAGATAGTTGCTTATTGCCTTGACATCTGATGGAAGGGTGTTCCACAGGGCAGGCACCACTACTGAGAAGGCCCTCTGCCTGATTCCCTGTCGCCTCACTTCTCGCAGGGAGGGGACTGACAGAAGGCCCTTGGCGCTGGACCTCAGTATCTGGGTTGAACGACAGGGGTGGAGACGCTCCCTGAGGCCATTTAGGCTTTAACGGTCAGCACCAACACTTTGAATTGTGGTCTGAAATGTTTCAGGACTGGTGTTATATGGTCTCGGTGGCCACTCCCAGTCACCAGTCTAGCTGCTGCATTCTGGATTAATTGCATTTTCCAAGTCACCTTCAAAGGTAGCCCCACGTAGGAGTAAATAAAAGCGCCTCACTAACTCCGGCCCTCATTCAAATTTGTGCAGATGGCCAAGCTCCAGGGTTGCCTGAACGAGAAGCAGCTCCGCTGGGCCGACGGCTTCGTCATTGTCTACAGCATCAGCGACCGTGCCAGCTTCCATTTTGCCCGCCAGCAGCTCCAGAGGATCAAGCAGCTAAAGAAGAGAGGAGGCGCCGAGAAGGTCCCCGTTATCCTGGTGGGGAACAAGCGGGACTTGCAGCACCTGAGAACCGTCTCCAGTGAGGAAGGCCGCCTTCTGGCCCTCTCCACCGACGCGGGCTTCTTCGAGATCTCTGCCGCCGAGACCTACCATGGCGCCCTGGTGGTCTTCCACGAACTCCTGGACCTGGTACGGGACTCCAGGAGCGCCACCAAAAAGGCAGTGGGCATCCGGGGACTCGTACGCAGCATGTCAGCTGTCCTTGGGAGGAGAAGGACTGAATGAGCTTTGGTTGCAGGGAGCTGGGAGGAAAGAGAGGAACTAGGGAATTATGGGGGAGGAGCTCTGGTGACGGCTGCTCAGTTGGATGCGCATCCATCCCTAAGGAACATCAGGCGAAATGACCACAGAAGGATGGTGCGGAATGCTTGCACACCTTGGACCTAGAGTTATGGACAGCTATAAATGTACTTCTAGTTTACCACAGTCTCTGAGAGTAGCCGAAACAGAGGTTGGATGGCCCTTCTACCAGGGGTTCTTTAGATGTGGTTCCTGCTTTGGACTCGATAACCGCTTGGGGCCTCTTTGTGATTCTGTGATCTTGCGTCTTGGAAGCAGGAGCGATGCACACCTCCCGCACGGTGTTACCAGGGTCTGGTGCTGCGGATCAGGAACGGCATGGTGAAAATAAAGGACGAGGAAGGTGCTTTGGAGCATGTGCAGAGCACCATTTGCTTCATCGCTGAACAGCAGCAAAAGCAGACACTGTATCTCCAGAGTTAGAGGGTGGGTCTTGCGAGTCAGAGGCTGTGGCTTTTGCTCAGGAGAGGCCGGCTTACATTAATCACTCTGCAGTGGCAGGGTTCGAAAGAGCAATTACGGCATTTGTGTGAAGGCAAACCTTTTTGGAGGCTCTGCGGGGGTTGGAGAAATGATTAGGCTGATTAGGGTAGGAAATAGAGCTCAAATGGATCTCATGCCAGTTCAGTGCAAGAACACTGCTGGATTGGACCGTGGGCGCTTGCCACCCACCCAAAGCATTTTCTCTTTGACTTAAGTGCTCAGAGGTAGCTGGAGGCTTTGCCATGTTGTTTTAAATGTTATCTGCAATGCATGCTGAAAGCCACCCAGAAGGCGCCTGCTCTCGGTTGCATGCTATATAATTCCCCTTTTAAAAAGAGGGATGGAGAAGAGCTAAATAGCAAGGAGGCAAATTTCCAGTACTCTGTGTGCGTGCATGGGGATTTTTTTCCTTCTTTTTATCCCCGGAAAGAAAACTAAAATGTTTACCATTATGTCCTTGTTTATTGTATAAGTTTGTTTAAACCACTGGCTTTAGGAAGAAGACATAAGAGTAGTCCTGACCACCAAATTTGCTATTATTATTATTATTATTATTATTATTATTATTAATAGATGTTGAATATGAAGCTCTTATGGTCACGATCCAAACAGCCGCACTGCAAGTTCTTAGCCTTTACAGGATGCTTCTCAAACTACAGACACACCATCCTGCAAACTACAGACATGCCATGCTGCTTGGGCAAATGACTTTGGAACAGATGGGCATTTCTAAAGCATGATGGTGAAACATCACAGGGATCTGCTCTTCAAAGCTGGTTGGGATTGGGAGGAGAGTCCAAAGTCCCATTGAGTGTACCTATCCAAAGTAGTTACAGTATTTGGATTCTGGTTGTGCTGAGTTGCCAGCCAGCCAATTATAGGGTTGCCAACCAGCCAATATTCTGCCAAGACAAATGACCTAACCAGATTCAATCCCTAACCAGCCCGGAAGACTGGTCTGTTTCAAATTCCGCCAAATGGCTCCTCCCATCAGTTGTTCCCCCTCTGCGCCTTCCACTGGGCTCCACCTTCTCCTCTGACATAAACCTCCCGTCTCCACCCAACCACTTCTGGCCTCCTTGTGCTGAGGATGTGGCCTTGCCCAATGAGCCAGTATTTTTTAAGAGAGCAAGCATAGCTGCATTCTGCACATCAAGATTCTCCTGGGTAGCTAGCCTGATACGGTAAGCAAGGTTCTGATGTTCCATCTTGCCCTCCTTTCCTCATTGCTGTGCCCATCATTTATTTTTATTTCGAAACCACTGTGTGCACATCTGTACCATTAAGTGTACAGCTTAATGGAGAATATCAGCATGGCAGTGAAGGCTGGGACTGATGAGAGTTGTAGTCCAGAACAGGGCAGGTTGGTGAAGGCCTGGGGTGCTTAGATGATTTGTTTATTGAGCATTCAACCTGATTTGTCTGCAGGGAAATTAGATGACGATTGCTATTTACTGAGCGGTCTATTTACTCTGATTTGTTTGTGCAGAGGTTAGACGACTTTCCCAGTGCATTTCCTTATCCCGTCACCTTCCGTTTTGCAAAAAACAATTCCCATCTTTTTGTGAAAGCAGGTTTACTGCTCATGACCTCCCAATCAACTATAACTGCCCAGTTTGCCATCATCCCATCCCAAAATAGCAGCAACCCAGAAGCAGGGTGGCTTACAGCGCCCTGGAAGAGGACTGAACAGGTGGAGTCATTTTAGGCAGTGAGGATACAGCACAACATTTTGTCATGGTTTCCTTTTGTTTTCATTTATTCAAAATTTGTTTTGGGGGGATTCTTGTTTGCGTTCAAACCTATTTTGTTATTGAACTGTTCTGCTGGAATGAAACTCTTGCAGAAGAAACCTCTCACTCTGTCGTAATGTTTGGATGAGTAATAAAAAGTTTACTATTTATGATGACGGTGATGGACTGTGGTGAACTTTCTTGGTTTGTTCCCAAAAATCTCCAAGCAGTGAGAGACTCCACTCCAAAGGTTTCTGGTGCTTACTCAGGGCTCTGCTTGCTTGGAATGAAGGTCAGTCAAGATTGTGGTGTCTTTAGGATATATGGTTTTATTTACACATCTCTACAACCTGAGCATAGGACGGAGGGGCTCACGGCGTCAACACCCCAACAGATCTTGCTTCTCCTTCAGTCGCAGCTTTGGATCCAGCACAGAGCAAACAGGTCTCTGTGTCTCCAGCTTCCAGCCTGTTTTCCAGCTCGGCTCACATTCACCGCACTGGCTGTTGTTCTCCTCCCTAGCAGCTAGGTGATGGGGGGGGGGAGGAAATGGCCACCCAATAGCCTGGAGGGAATCATCACTTAGTTGCAGCTCTTGCAATCTCACTCATTCTTCATACACACACACACACACACACACACACACACACACACAGTGGTACCTCGGGTTAAGAACTTACGGGTAATTCGTTCTGGAGGTCTGTTCTTAACCTGAAACTGTTCTTAACCTGAAGCACCACTTTAGCTAATGGGGCCTCCCACTGCCGCCACACGATTTCTGTTCTCATCCTGAAGCAAAGTTCTTAACCTGAGGTACTATTTCTGGGTTAGCGGAGTCTGTAACTTGAAGCGTCTGTAACCTGAAGCGTATGTAACCCGAGGTACCACTGTGTATATATATATTCATAAAAGTTAAATACAACAAACATAACATTTCCAAACATTAAAAAAGCGGTTCTTTCGAACCTTCAGACCTTCCTTCCCTCCATGGGTTCCATTTCTATATTTTGTTCCTGCATCTTTTAATGGAATCTATCCATTATACAATCCTGGTTTCCAAAGTTCATGTTACTTTACAAGTGTCCTTGTATCCCTGCCAAAGATTTCAGCTGTTTACAGTGGTCTCTCAAATATCTTAAAAAATGATTCCAGTCTTTTAGAAATACTCGATCTTCCTGGTTTCCGATCTTTCCCGTCAGTCTTGCCATTACAGCATATTCCATCCGCTTGGTCTGTCACTCTTCTCTGGTCGATACTTTTTCTTCTTTCCATCTCTGGGCTAGGAGCATCCTTGCCGCTGTCGTTGCATACATAAACAGTCTTTTATTTTATTTTTTGGTAGTTCCATGCCTGTAATACCTAACAAAAAAGCCTCTGTATTTTAAACAAAAGTTATATATCATTTCCCAGAAAGCTTTTACCTCCCCACATGTTCACCACATATGATAAAAGGTACCCTCTTTCCTTTTACATTTCCAGCAAACATTTGAGCTGGTCCTCTACATTTTTGCAATTTTACTGGGTACAATCTCACTCATTCTTTTGGGATGCTGATGAGGACACTTAAGTGACCAGCTAAGGTTGTCCTCTTACCTATTCCTTGTCTGACTTGTTCAGCAATCTTCTCTGTTAGAGTCTAACCCTCCCTGGGTACTGGAAGGAGCTCAGGGCATCATCCAGACTGCCCCTTCCCCGCAAAAACCCCCCACATCAATCCATAGAGTCCCTGCCTGGAAGCTGCCTAAGTAATCAAGCACTGCACTGCAAATTGAAATTCCCTTTGAAACACATTTTCAGCACTATTATTCTCAAGCAGTTGGCAGAGGCAGGAAGCAAGGACGCTCTGTGAACTTTCCAAAGCACGCACACAAAGCTGCTAAGAGAGAACAGACGTCCAAGGGAGGGTGGTGCTGCTATTTGTGGATCTGAGTGGGCCTGGGTTCAAAAAACGCTGCCTGCTCTGGGGCAATGGCTCCTCCGGAGTCCACAAAGATCTGGAGAGCTTTCCCAGACACGCTTGGCAGAGGACCCAGTTCGCACAATCCATTACTGGGGTAGCAGAAGGTCACAGTGGAGCTGGAGCTCATTGAACTGGAGGCTGGACCACCTTTTGTCAGATGTTGCTGGTGCCCTCCAGATGTTGATGGACTACAACTCCCAGAAGCCCCAGGTGTACTTTTTAAAGAGCTGCTTTGGAACAGGTTTTTTACCGGGCCAGCTTCTCTTGCCTCTGCACCAGTGCAAGGGGAAAAGCAGCAAGCTGTTAAAATCAAACAGGCCTTTGGAAACTAACGCTGATCACTGGGCTGGCTGCTGACATGGCAGGCTGCATTTTAATTGCTGGTTCAAAAAGTCTTTTGATGTACAGTATTTTAACTATTATTTTTAACTAGGGTTCTTTCTTTCTTTCTTTCTTTCTTTCTTTTCTTTCTTTCTTTCTTTCGTAATGTTGTTTTCAAATGTTCGAAACTGCCACGAATCCCTGCTTGGGGAAAAAGCACGATATGAATAACCTATAATCCCCGCCACCCCTGCAACTCTAAAAGATAGATAGCTAATAATAATAATAATAATAATAATAATAATTTATTTATACCCCACCCATCTGGCTGAGTTTCCCCAGCCACTCTGGGCGGCTCCCAATCGAGTGTTAAAAACAATACAGCATTAGATATTAAAAACTTCCCTAAACAGGGCTGCCTTCAGATGTCTTTTAAAAATAAGATAGCTGCTTATTTCCTTCAGATCTGAAGGGAGGGCATTCCAGAGGGCAGGCGCCACTACCAAGAAGGCCCTCTGTCTGGTTCCCTGTAACCTCACTTCTCGCAGCGAGGGAACCGCCAGAAAGCCCTCGGCGCTGGACCTCAGTGTCCGGACTGGATGATGAGGGTAGAGACGCTCCTTCAGGTATACAGGACCGAGGCCATTTAGGGCTTTAAAGGTCAGCTTGTCACATTGCAGTGCTGTGGGAGAGAGAAAAGTTGCACTGGCTAGAATTCTTCCTCCTACACAATCCATAGTGTGTCCCTTCTTGGCACCTGATCATCTCATGAGCAGGACTGTTATATACCAGTGGACAGAGTGATCAGGACCACAAGACATTCAAGCCCTGTTTGCACACACGTCGACGGCCTTGTTGGCTGCACATTTATTTATTGCATTTCATTCTCACATTTCATCCCCATGACATTTTCATCCCTCTTGCTGCAGAGGCAAGAGAAGTTGCCCCTGACAGAATCCCCCTTCCATCAACAGCCTTCTCCTCCTCCATGAATTGCCTAATCCTCTTTCAAAGCCATCCAAGTTGGTGGCTGTCACTGCCTTCTGTCATGTGGGAGGAAATGCCGTAGTTTTAAATAAAAGTCCCAAAGGCTTTAACCATTCCTCATAGGGGAATCACTCTCTTCTATTACCTTGGTTGCCCTTTTCTGAACCTTTTTCAACTCTAGAATATCCTGTTTGAGGTGAGGAGACCAGAAATGTACACATCAGCATTCCAAATTCGCAGGGAAACCAAAATGCTTGTTTACAAAGCTATTGTACTACCAACCTTACTGTATGCTTGTGAAACATGGACCATTTATAAACGCCACCTCCAACTCCTCGAAAGATTCCATCAACGGTGACTCTGAAAAATTTTACACATCACTTGGGAAGACATGTGAACTAATACCAGTGTACTGGAAGAAGCAAAGATCACCAGTGTTGAAGCAATGATTCTTCAACATCAACTTCGTTGGACTGGTCATGTTGTGAGGATGCCCGATTATCGTCTTCCAAAGCAACTACTCTATTCCGAACTTAAAAATGGAAAGCATAATGCTGGTGCTCAACAAAAGAGGTTTAAAGACTGTCTCAAGGCAAATCTTTTAAAAATGTAGTATAAACACCAACAATTGGGAAACACTTGCCTGCGAGCGCTCCAATTGGAGAACAGTCTTTACCAAAGGTGTCATGGGCTTTGAAGACACTCAAACTCAGGATGAAAGGGAGAAACGTGCTAAGAGGAAGGCATGTTTGGCAAATCCACACCATGATTAACTCCCACCTGGGAACCAATGTCCCCACTGTGGAAGGACGTGTGGATCCAGAATTGGCCTCCACAGTCACTTACGGACTCATTGTTAAAACCGTGTTTATGGAAGACAATCTTACTTGGCTATGAGTGATCGCCAAAGAAGAAGAAGAAGAAGCCGCACTGTAGATCTGTATAATGGCACTCTTAGTTGGTTTTCAGCTGATCTTTTGCACAGCTTATGTTGAAAACTCTCAGAGGAGCTGATTGCTGCATTTGGCACCAGGGAGTACTTTTTCTCCAGGTCACACGCTAGGAAGCTTTGGTGGGTTTCTGCAGTGTGAGTTGTTGCACGAGGATTTAAGAGTGGCTTGTTTTGCAGAAACCCGCTCTCTGCTTGTGGCCTACATTTCATAGAGAGCCAGGGTGGAGTAGCGGTTAGCATGACAGACTAGGACATGGGAGACCAGCGTTCAAATCCCCACTCAGCCATGAAGCCCACCTTGGGCCAATCCCTTCCTCTCAGCTTAGCCTACCTCCCAGGATTGTTGTGGGGATTCAGTGACAAAGGGGAGAAAACATGTGCGCCAGTGGCGTGTGGTGACATTTTTCGTAGGGGAACAGGACCAGAGGCGCCAGCTTGTGAGGGCAATTGCGGGGTGATGATGACAGTAACATCACCCCTCCCTCCCCAAGCTGGGCAGAAGCTTCCTGAGCTTTGGGGAGGAGGCGCCGGGGGAACATTTAGGGGAGTAGCCTAGTCCCCCTTGTCCACTGACCGCAGCCACTGATGTGCACCGCCTTGCGGACCCTGAGGATAAAAAGGTGAGATAAAAATGCAACCCTAAGATCATAGGGGATGCAGGAAGCAGATGGATTATTGTACCTGCAGGGTATACATAAGGGAGGCTGGATTAAATGACATTTAAATCTCTTGCGATTATAAGTCACATCCTCGGCCACAGATGGTCTCCACAGACACAGTGTGAAGCTGCAAATTTGCTGGCAGCTGTCCCCAGCGACAAAATGAGTGTGATATGCTCCTGGCGGGTGATGGCGGAGGGGATGTGGAACAGCATGTGAAACTGAATGGCTGGAGTAAGGTTAAGGGGGGTGGGGGGAGCGACTGGAAGTGAGGAAATTTCCACCAGGGAAAGGAAAAGTACCCAGAAGATGGTGACACTAAAGGCCTGACAGCAGAAGACTCCCGTTATATTTTGGATGCTCACTGGAAATGCTGTTGTCGTTTTCAAAAGCTTCCCCCCCCCATTCACATCTGTGGCGATAGGATTAACAGCCCACCAAAATTCATTATTATTATTTTATATGAAAAGATCTCCATGTGCCTTTTAGAATTGTAGAGTTGGAAGGGATCCCAAGGGTCATCCAGTCCAACCCCCTGCAATGAGCTAGCCCGCTGCAGCATGAATCTATCACCAAAAGGCTCTGACATAGGGCAGATTCACACCATACATAGAAGCACATCCGACACACGCTTAACCTCCAAGGAATCTGGGAACTGTATTTTGTTAAGGGAGCCGACATCAGCCTCAGACTCTAGCACCCCTGAAACTTATAACAATACCATTTTTGTATTATGTAACACAGGAAGTGAGCCAGAAGCGGAAAGGATGGACACTTCATACTTTCATGGGACCCTGTGGCGCTTACAGACCCTCCAAGTGTCCCCATTTTCCAGGGACAGTCCTGGAATTCACAGAAGCCGTCCTGGTTATAGTGCATTACTAGAGTTAAAGCAGGATGTTGTTTGTCCTTTACATGCCACAACCATTCCCAAACGATCTCAAAACATAGTAAAACCATCAATGTAGATGAGTCCCTGGTTTCTGATTTGATCCCAGAATGTCCCGCTTTTCCTTAGGACGTCCCTATTTTCATGGGAGAAATGTTGGAGGGTATGGAGTTATGCAACCCCCCGAGCCAAGGAAATCAGTAACTTTACAACCTTTAGAATCTGCATAAGGAAGTTTTAAAAAAATGTTTAATCTTTTATTATGTTTTTATAAATGTTGGAAGCCACCCAGAGTGGCCGGTGCAACCCACTCAGATGGGTAGGGTATAAGAAAGAAAGAAAGAAAGAAAGAAAGAAAGAAAGAAAGAAAGTTGTTGAACAGGACGTCCCTATTTTCATTGGAGAAATGTTGGAGCGTATGCGCTTAGCTTAGTTGGAGCTGAAACCATCTTGTGGATTCTAATTAGTTCTTCCCATAGATCCAAAAACTGTTGGTGGGTCAAATGTCAACTTCACCCTATTCAAAGCAGGGAGTGGGGGAAGGGAATGGAGAAAAGAAGTTCGGAGCTGGTGCCGCACAATGCACAAGGCTTCACAACCCTAAAAGAAGTAAGGGAAGAGTGTCCCTGTTCTAGTGCAGAGTTCCTTGCCTTTACCACTTAGCAACCAGTGCTGTCTCTTGTGCCTCCCATGGTTAGACAACTGTGTTCTTTTCTAGGCACCTCTGGGCTGAGATTAGGGCATGCTTTGCCAAACCTGTTCGCTCCCATCAGACTCAGATGCCATGGCTGTTTTGGACTCCCATCACCCTCCAGGCAGCGGCGGTGTTGGACTCCAACTCCCAGTCTGTTCCAGTTATGACACCTTGCCCTTTTTTGAACCTTTTCCGTGATGGACAGGAATTATCTCACATCGTTGCAGACATCTCTCTCTCTCTTTCTCTCCTGCCCACACACAGAAGATCGCTGCCTGTTCCACGTGCACGGATGTCTAAGCAGAGCTTTCCCCCTCTTGCTTAAAGATACCCTCAAGAGGAAGGAAAAACAACAACCCTAATTGCCCTGTAATATAATATATAATATAATTGCCCTCTAATAACTGCAGATCAGAAGGAACCTCTTCGATGGCAGAATGTGGAAAGGAAGTGCGCCTGCACACTACGCAAGGCTCTCGTTTAATTGCACGCGGATTTGCACGTGCGTATGCACGCGCTGGAGACAAGCAGGGCCAGGCCACGGTATTTTGTGGCCTGCCGCAAAGGATGAGATAACACACATACACACTGGTTGTACAGAAGCTAAGGACTTTCCCCACACTTCCGCTAGTTCCGTGCCTAGAAAGTACAGTTCTGAGTACAATTCTCCCTGGGCAAGGATGGAGGCTGCAATCTTCTTCACCCACTCCCAACATTAACAATATTCTGTCCCCAAGAAAGGAACAGCCTTCCCAGACCCAAAGCTCCATGTGACGGGACACCTGGCAGGCGAGAGTGAGAACGAGCGATGTTCCGTGGCTCCTGCTTCCTCCTTATTGTGAGATTACTCAACGGCTAACTCAATACAAAGATCATGTTCCCTTCTTCCCTTCCAGCCCCGCCAGGCAAAAATGTTTCTTACCAGGCTCTGCGTGCCTTATTCTAACACAATTCTGTCACCCCGGGGGACCTCTTTGCAAAGGAAACTGTTCTCCCTGAGAGCAAGGGTGTCACTCTCCTGGACGGTATGCACCAAGTTAGCAGCAGCTGAGCGCAGCCGGATGTTCTCTGGAGAGCATTGCTTGACTGCATAGCAGGGAAACAATTTCAACTTTTCCCTGAAGCAAGGCACTTGAGCCTGGAGTGCAATATTGATGCTTTACGAGCCTCATAGAATCATAGAACTGCAGAGCTGGAAGCAATGGCTGCGATTTGTGGAACTGGCATTGTACGAAATTGATATTTTAGCATGGCAACACCTACACTTTGGAACACGCTGACATTGATAGCTGATTTCTGATTTTAACTTTTTGAAATGGGGTTCGTCGTATAGCTTTATGCATATATGTTATAAATTGGTCTGATATATATATTGTGAACGGCTGTGTATCAATTATTTTTTTAATAAAAAAAGAAAATAAAAGTGAATGCACAGGCGTGAAAGGCAGCTGCACAGAATGCTTGACCACAGTTTAGCGTATGGGTCGGCAAATTAAGTCCGTGGGCCGGATCAGGCCCAATTGCCTTCTGGATCCGGCCCACGGACGGTCCAGGAATCGCCGCGTGGATTGCCAGTACGTGGATCACCAGCACACATGTTCTTTTCCTCTCCGTCACACAGCAGCGCTGGCGGCGCCTCCTCCCTCCCTCCTCCTGGCTTCTCCCTGCCCTGCCTAGAGGAAGAAGGGGGCTGGGCTTTGTTGAGCTGCAGTTGGCTGAGCGCCCCTCTCGAGTGGCCGCCATTTAAAGCAACCCCTCTCCAGAGCAAGCCCTTTCACACACCTCTCACCATCCTGCCACCGCCAGCCCCTGCCATTCACAAGACACAGTTAAGCCTGCCTGGTGCTCTTGCATCACCATTATTATTTTTTCAAAATATAGTCCGGCCCCCCGCAAGGTTTGAGGGACATTGGACTGGCCCCCTGCTGAAAAAAATTGTTGACTCCTGGTTTAACGTTACGTCAAACCCCAGTCCTTGGGCAACCTGGATCAGGTCACTCTGCCTTGGGCTCTCTCAGCCGGTAAAGCCAGACTAAGGGTGGGTGACCTGTTGCTGAGAATTGTTTGTGAGGAGGGAACCACAGATGCACATTCCGGAGCACTGTATGCAAATGAAAGGGGAGGAAGGGATCAGGATGTAGTTGGCAGCAGCAGAAGCAGGAGATGTTCCTGGTTATTACAGAGCCCCCAGGGAGCAAAGCAATGGGGCAGAAAGTTTCGCTTGGCTGGGTGCCCAGAAAAGAACAAAGCCCTTATCCTTGTCATCACCCAGTTTGCGCCAGGACGCTATGCTTGGGTCTGCGTGCCACTTGCATGACATAAAAGAGAAGAGGAATTAAGGAAGGGGGCCAACCTCTCGCGTTGCCCTTTGGTTTCAGTTGGCAGGAGGGTGCCATGAGTGGAGAAGAACATGAGTGGAGCCTACAGGATGCTCCCTGGATCCCTTTTCGAAAACTGACATTACATGGGCTATTTTCCAGCTCTCATATATGGTGGCTGATCCGAGGGACACGTTACATAGTTTTGCTAGAAGATGGTCAATTTAATATCTGAATTCTTGCAGGTCTGTCAGGTGGGTGCCATCCCGACTCAGCAATTGGTCAGCTTTTATTTCGCCTGTTACGCCTAGAACTTCACCTCTCTCCACCACTATCCACCTTTGTTTCCCAGGCTCACATCCTGCAAAGACACAGGTATTTCCCCTATATCTTCCATCATGAAGACAGATACAAAAATTCATTCAGTTTCTCCATGATCTCTTTATCCTCCTTTATGACTTCTTCAACTCCCTTGGCATCCAAAAGCCCTAACGCCTCTCTAGATGGTTTCCTGCTACTATATATTAAAATAACTTCTTGTTGCTAGGATGATCTCTGCTTGAGACAACAGCAGTACGGATGGAATTTGAGAGCCTTGGCTATGCATGACCTCCCCTGTCGAAGGCAGTATGCCTCTGGTTAGCAGTTACTGGGAATCTCAAATGCTGCTCTTGTGCTCAGATCCTGCTTGTGAGCTTCCCTTGGAGGCATATAGCTGAACACTGGAGCATCTAGGATGTGGGTCTTTGGCTTGATCCAGCAGCCAGGCGCTTCTTATGTTCGCACTAAATAGATGTGTGATTAAATATATTCGGGCCAGTTAACACTTTGGTTTTCACTCAATCTGGTTTTGTAAGTTTGCACATTGCTACACGTCAATAACGTTGTTTTCCCCCCAATGAGTATTCTGGACTATTCCCCCACCTGTAAAAATTAACACCTCTATTTGGGGGGGGGGTTGCTTGTGGTGTTACTATGCTATTACATTGCTATAATATTTATTTATACCCTGCCCTTTTCCCAGACGGACTGAAGAGAAGTTTTCACTCCTGATCTAAAAAGGGAGCCACTCCTCACGGAAGCCCAAGAGGTTTGCCATTTTCCTTCCTCTCCCCAAAATCGAGGGGCCGACTCTTGAATTCAAACATCATGGTACCTGGGCAGGATCTATGGGTGGAGTCCAGGATAGGCCCAAGGGGCTAGAATTCAGGAACGCTCACCTTAAAAAGAAGGATGTGGACAAACTAGCGGGTGTTCAGAGGAGGTTGACCAAGATGATCAAGTGTCTGGAAAACAAGAATTATGAGAAATGGTTGAGGGAGTTGGGTGTGTTTAGCCTGGAGAAGAGGGGACTGAGAGCGGGTATGATAGCCATTGTCAGGGAAATGCCATCAGTACTGGAGGGAGAGCGCGAAAGCCAGGGGGATTCCAGAGGGCGTCCAGGGATCGGGAGAAGCAGCCCATCTTCTGGGGAAGAGAATCAGCGTAGCACCAGTGGAGAAGGGGGGCAGCTGGGAGAAGTGGTGAGGCGGTCCCATGACTCCTTGCCTGGGACCAGCGGGGAGAGTAGGGGTCCTCCGTTGCCCACGCCCTCCCTGTGCAGAAGGCTTCCACGCAGAGAGGGCAGGTGGAGACTAGGCGTCAAAGAACTTCTTTGCTGGAAGAAGTTTAAGAAACGCCCACTCACGGATTCTGCCAGTGATTGAGTCAGCCACGGGCGAGTGGCTGTCCGGACAGAGGAGGTTCACTTTGGCAACCCACCCAGGTGTTTGCACCCAGCCAGGAAGATAGGCACCTGCTTACGCACAAGCAACCCACTTAGGAACCATTACAGCCATCTTCAAATATCTGAAGGGCTGCCGCATGGAAGATGGAGCAAGATTGTTTTCTGCTTCTCCAGAGCATAGGACTTTGGATCAATGGATTCAAATGACAAGAAAGGAGATTCCAATAAAACATTAGGAAGACCTTTCTGACAGTAAGAGCTGTTCACCAGTGGAATGAATGGGCTACCTCAGATGGTGGTGGACTCATTGAAGGAGTTTAAATAGAGGTTGTGCTACCATCTGCCACAGATTTTTAAGGTGTGATTCCTGCATTGCAGGGGTTGGACTAGATGGCCCTTGAGGTCCCACCCAATTCTTAGAATTCTATGTAAACACACACACACACACTACCTTGTTCTTGCTTTTCTAGCAAATGATCTGAAACTTTACAAAACAAACATCCAGCCAGGCTAGTTTTTCCTTTGTCTTTTTTAAAATAGCCCCCCTGCTATGTTGTGTCATGGATAACCACTGGAGCCTGTCCAAGGGAAAGGCAGGTCCGCATTCCCAGCAGCGGTGGTGGTGTAGAGTGGGTGGGCAAAGGCACCCAAGAGGTATGCTAAGCATTCCTTCTGATCTGGTCACGCAAGCGGGCACAGGTGGATTAATAACAAGACAGTCCAGTCCTTCCAAATGCACATTCTCCAGGAGCCTGAGCTCCTGGCGGGTCTCAAGAAGCGATGTACTGCCAACATTGAAAAGAAAGTAAGGAAATTTCATCCCACTGGCTGAAACGTTTAGGTGGGTGTTTATTGTGGGATTGGGCACACGTGCAATATTTTTTGCAGCGCCCACATGATGTCATTGGCATCAATATGCCAGCTGCCCTGTTCCCTTTTAATCCAGATTTACCCGTTCTGGGGGAAATATGATAAGTACAAAGACACTTGTTTCCAACAACACGTTTGCAATATCAGAACAACAGTTTTGCAGTACAGTCTTAAGCCCCAACAGCAACTCCTCCTTATGCCGTGCCCTGTTTTCTTGTTGTTGAAGAAGAAGAGTTTGGATTTGATATCCCGCCCTTATCACTACCTGAAGGAGCCTCAAAGCGGCTAATGTTCTCCTTTCCCTTCCTCCTCACAACAAACACTCTGTGAGGTGAGTGGGGCTGAGAGACTTCAGAGAAGTGTGACTAGCCCAAGGTCACCCAGCAGCTGCATGTGGAGGAGCGGGGAAGTGAACCCGGTTCTCCAGATTACGAGTCTACCGCTCTTAACCACTACACCACACTGGCTCTCAATAGCAACCACACTGGTTGCTATTGTTGGCAGCTGTTGCCATTGTGGCATGCTCTGTTTTGCCTCAGTGACAACACATCCGGAGCCAGCCCCTGCTCACAGAGCTGCGAGGATTAAATGTTTGAGCAAATGGGGCAGAGGACCATGTATACCACCTTGAGCTCCCTAAAGGAAAGGTTGGATATTAATAAGAAGAACTACTACTGCTGCTAAAATTATAATCCTACGTGGTTCTTCTGCTCTTCATTTTATCCTCACAACAACCCCGTGAGGTAGGTTGGGGCTGAGAGGGAGTGACTGAGCTATATGTCTTGTGGGGATTTGAACCCGAGTCTCTCCCAGGTCTAAATCCAGCCCTCTAACCACTACACCACACTGCTTCTGGTTATAGCCTTGCGTCTATGCACACCCTGTGCCTTCCCTATTATTTTTTGGTGTACTCCTAACCCTCAGCCAGGACCACAATGAGTGTTCTCTGCAAACTTCAAGGAGGCTCTGTTTACCTCCTGGGCTCCCATCTCCCCTGCTAGGGTTCCATTAAGTCACAAAGTCTACACCTGTCTGAGCAAATATTGTTAAAACCCTAATTAGAGGGGCAGGGGGGATGAAATGAAAAGAAAAGAACGCCAATTACAGATTTTCCTGTTAATCAGTCCCAAGACCTTCTGACCTTCCTGGTGGCAAGTGACACAGAGGAAAGAGCTTCACTGCATTTCAAGGGTGGGACAGATAGTAATGGGATTAAGATCCTGCTGACACGCTGCAGGTGGAAGAGACCAAAGGCGCAGCCATTTATGGTTGCAGGCAATCGAAGAGACATCGGGACCTCTAATTGGAGCTAATTGGGGCGGTGGGGGTGGGCAGGGGATGACCAGTGGTTATTCCACGGCCTGGATCTTGACCTTGAATGCTGCAAAGCTGCCCACTTTTTCTGTGCTTCTGTTAGGATCTATTATTATTATTAGTTTATTTATATCCCATTCTTTCTCCAGGCTGCAACTCAAGGCGGCTTACACAAATTCAAACAACAGAGACAAAATACAAAAAAAGCTAAACATATATAAAATATAGCTGTTAAAAAGTCATTAAACTCTGATAGTACTAAAAAATAAATAAAAAACAAATAAGCTGAAAATACAGATAATAAAACCAGCCCTTTCCTGAAAGAACAGCTAATTCCCAAAGACCTGTTGGAAGAAAAGTGTCTTTACCTGCAGGCAGAAGGGCAACAAGGAAGGAGCCAGTCTGGCTTCTCTAGGGTGGGAGTTCCAAAGTCTGGGAGCAGCCACTGAGAAGGCCCTCTCCTGCGTCCCCACAAAGCATACCTTTGAGAGTGGCGAGACAGAGAGAAACTGTCATGAGCTATATAACCAGCACTTTGTGGACCGGTTGTCTGTAGAAGCAAATCCATGCTATACATGTAAAGCAGATGACTTCCCCCAAAGAATCCTGGGGAATGTAGTTTGTTAAGGGTGCTGGGAGTGGTAGTCCTTTGAGTGGGAAACCACAGCTCCCAGGATTCCTTGGGCAAAATCCTGCGCTTTAAACACATTCATTGGCTAAGCTGTAACTGTATAGTGTGGATCTTCTAATGATAATCTAAAGCAACCTTCTGTGTCCCTGTGCCCACCTGGCTCGGTATTGCTCCCTCTGGCAAGCAGTATCTCCTAGCCCTACCTGGAGATGCCAGGGTGGGGTGTGTGGGATTGAACCCGGGACCTTATGCATGCAAAGCAGGAGCCCTACCCCTGAGCTGCATCCCAACTCAGTATAAACGTCTTCCTATGCCTTGCATGTCAAAGGTCTCAGGTTCAGTCTTCAGCATCTCTATGTAAGGCTGCTGGAAGCTGTGAACAGGGCTGGCAACAGGGTTTTCTGTGAGTGGATCCACACATAAAAAGGCAAAATTTGCAGAAATGTTGTATACGCTTTATGTCACATGCAGATTTGTATCCTACTTTTGCAGGGGCGAGCACCCAAAATAAATCTGTGTTGCTTCGAATGTGCTTTAGAGGTATAGCGTTCACAGCCTGTGTTGCTGTTATCAAATTCAGTACAGTGGTACCTCGGGTTACATACGCTTCAGGTTACATACGCTTCAGGTTACAGACTCCACTAACCCAGAAATAGTACCTCAGGTTAAGAACTTTGCTTCAGGATGAGAACAGAAATCGTGCAGCGGCGGCGCAGCAACAGCGCGAGGCCCCATTAGCTAAAGTGGTGCTTCAGGTTAAGAACAGTTTCAGGTTAAGTACAGACCTCCAGAACGAATTAAGTACGTAACCAGAGGTACCACTGTAGAAGGAAGATGTGGAGCAAAACTATAGTTACGTAATTTTTAGGCGCCATTGGCTCAGGCACAACCTACTGTTGGGCTCCCTGCTTTTTGCCCCACTGATTTCAAAGCTCTCCGGCCACCTCTGCCTGAAAGAGACCACTGTCAGAAACCTGGGAGACCTGCTGCCAGAATAGCACAGGGGTCACCAATATGGCACCCATAGGCACGCATATGCCATCAGAGGCATTCCATCTGTGCGCTGCCCCCATTATTTTAACAACAGCAGTAGCAACAAATAAAAGGTTGCAGCTTGCACTTGGTGGTTTTTTTTGGGGGGGGGGTGTGAATCCGTGGCAGTTTCTCCGGTTCACAAACATGCCCTGTGCCCTCAAATGGAGGGTCTGATTCAGTATGAGGCAGTTCCCCTATGTCCCTGGCTGCCTTTAAAAAGCAGAAATTCAGCAGGTGCACTTTCCTACATCGCTGAAAACGTGCTTCCAGGTGACATTTCACCTGTCATGGAGCTATTAAGGCATGAGGTTCCTGTCAGGAAAAAAGCCAGACAAATCCTGAATAACTTGCGTTGTGGCAGCTGCTGCTGCTGCTTTTACATGGGTCCTTTTTTATTATTCTACTTGGTCAGGGACAGGAAATAAGAGGAAGGTTTACACAACCACCAGAGGAAGACTTAGCAACCATCAGTAGGTGTTTGGTAGGCTGTGGCCCATGCTGGTGTATGTATGTGTTGTGTTTCTCTGGATCCGGCCTAGCACAGCCTCTTGACAACAAGGGCCACACACTCCGTTGCCAAGCAACCACCACTTAAGGACAGCATCCCCACAAGACCTTTGTGGCCTGGAGCCACAGTTGAAGATGAGACAAAGTATTTCACTGCTTGGACGTTGTCCACCCTTCACCCTAAGGCCCCAGAGAGAGCTACAGCAATTTAAAACACAACGTTAAAAATAGTTTAAAATAAATTTTTACAAAATAAGAATTGCTGTGGGAACCAGTGCCGGCCCCTATGGGCCCAGGCATGCCTGAACCTATCCAAGTGCTCATTTGGGGCCTGTTTGCTGTGGCCTCCACCATCTGCCACTCTTCGGGTAGTAATCGGGGGGGGGGCTGGGTTTGTAGGGCCACAGACTTTGGCCCCTGGGCCCCAAAGATGAATCTCAGTTGCTCCACAAAGCCCCACTGAGCCTTGACATGGCAAGTCCTGCCTTAAGTGACGGGGATGCTGCTCAGTGAGTGTAGACACCCCTGGAGTCTCTTGCCACTTGGAGAATGGGGTGCACAAAACAGTATTACCTCTCATTCCTGTCCCTCCGTCTTCTTTAAAAACAAAATAAAATTCATTCTCAATGTTTGCGAGCCTTTGTGGGTATTATGCACCCCCACCCTCTGTCTGAAATCCAGCATTAAACCTTGCAAGCTGCCAGATGAAGGGAAATTGCAGGGGTGCGTGTGTGCCGTGACTCAGGTGGACCCCAGCTGGGGAAGAAAGAACAGCTCCTGCCTTCAGATGCAGGCCTAAACTGTGCACAATTCACCGGAGCAGAGTTTATGAAACTTAAAACGTTGCTGAATGACACAATCTGGGGGTGGGGCTCTGGAACACTTGACACGTTTGGGAACATTTGTTCCGACACCGCAGGTGTTCGGCAAAGCCTGTTTCAGAACAGAATATTGTTATTTAAAAATTGGAAGAGAAAGGCGATCAAAGGGGTTGTTTTCCCCTCTCTCCCCTCCCTTCCCACAAAAGCTCCTATGATTCCATTTAAGCATTGGGGGTTGCGAAAGTACAACCTGGCACCGAAGGACAGAAGAGGCGATTTGAAGGCAGAGCAAACTGAACAGAGGGAATCGTCCAGTTGGGAAGGGTCCAAAAGCAGAGCCCTCGTGGCCCTCAGCAGCTGTCCCCTCCCCTCCGGTCAATTTGTGCAGCCCTGAGCACAAGCTCGAACCAACTCTACAGATGCCGTGTTGCGACACTGCATTCTGCTAGACCTCATGGAGGAGTTGCTCGCACAATTCTCCTTTCACCAAGGGTTTGGTCTTCAGTCACATCCATTATTTTTAAGGGGACTTCTCAAGAGTAGGCATTACACTGGATACAATCCTAAATAAATAGTAACGGGTGGTATTCAACAAAGTTTGAGTAATGTACTCAAATGATCCATTGATTTTAATGGGTCTACTCTGTAAAATTAAGCAGAATAGCACCCCAAGAAACAAAATAAATGGTGGATTAAAGCATTGCTTTTCCTTTGCATTACGGAACGCAGTTAAAAGCTGCATCGAGTGGATTAGTAGTGCCACCTGGTGATCAGGCCAGTTTATGACAGGCTGACTTCTCCCATGGGCCAGAACTCCACAGCTTCCCCTTCCTTTTACAAACAGATGTTTTCTAGCCTGCTTTCATGCGCAAAGTCACAGGTCAATTCTCCCAGCAGACAATGCTAACTTGTAAGGGTTTTTTTAAGCTTCTATTTTGTCTTTCTTTTGTAAAATCAAGCAAGATTCTAGTCCTCATAGTGCCAGAGAGCCACCTGACAGCAGGTAGCAGCCGGCAACAGCCCCCAGAGATAAGGAGCGGACCTTTGGGCTTTTACTCTTATCACAAACCACTGCTTCCCCTGCCACCCATGTGCAGCACCTCTGTCATCTCCAGAGCAGAGTTGGAAGAAAAGGGGAAATGAATCCACTTGGGCAGACATAGCAGCACTTCCCAAACTTCTGATTGCCGCAGCACCCTCTGCTACACCAGGCGATGTCTGAAAGTAAGGATGAGAGAAATCCGACTTGCTTGATGTTTTAATGCAGGCACCCCCAAACTCGGCCCTCCAGATGCTTTGGGACTACAACTCCCATCATCCCTAGCTAACAGGACCAGTGGTCAGGGATGATGGGAACTGTAGTCCCAAAACATCTGGAGGGCTGAGTTTGGGGGTGCCTGTTTTAATGCAAACCACTGGTTCCGAGTCCCATGAAAAACTCTTGGCAGGACTGGTCAGAGGATAAGGAGCAGAAAAAGCTTTGATACTATCGAAGTGGATAGTATCAGACCTGGGGCCGGGGGGAGGTACCCAAGTGGGTGCTAAGACATAAGGGTGGTGGTGTGCTGGATCAGCTTTAGTTAGAACTACGTAAATAGTTCTAACTGGATTTTGAATCAATGTGAAATTGATGGGTTAGGGTTTTGCATCTTCCTTCATGGGTTGTGCAAACCGCTATTGTGAATGTTTTTTCTAGGATGGGGGCACTAGGGATGAGTTTATAGAACCAAAGAAGCCATGGCTGGGGGGGGGGGATGGGAACCACTGCTGCAGAACAGGACATTGGACTACATGGGCCTTTGGCGTGATGCAGCCACCAGGTGCTTTCTCATGCTTTCATAGAGACTCCCTTAAAAGAAAATGCAGCACCAGTGAAAGCAAAGGGAGTGATTTCCCCCCCCCCCAAAGGAACTGGTTTGCAGGGGTGTTCTGTGATGACCAAGATCAAGCTCCTGAGATCACTCATTCAAGAAAAAGAACCCAGGCTACACAACATATGCCAACCTTACTTTATTGGATCAAATGATCAACCCTGTTTATTTGATACACTAGTAAGAGGGAAAGGTAGAAGTGTAGTTGAGGACTGGGAGAAATGGTAAATTTTTAATCCTGGGGTAGCCAATATGGTGCCCTCCTGATACTGCTGTAGGCTCCTCCCACCAAACTCTGCTCAGACCCAACCAGTGTGGCCAATGGTGAAAGATGGAGGCCACAAGCTCCGCAACATCTGGAGGGTACTGCACTGTATTAGCAGAGGAACGGGGTATATCACCTGCTCCTAGTTTGAAACACCTGTTTCAAAACCAGGAATGGGGTTATGAGCAGGGCAGATGGGTGGTGCTGAAGGTGGAGATTAAGAAGCAGTACTGAAAGGGGAGTAGGTGGAATGTCTGTCTGTTGTGCAACTACTAAAGGCACAGAGCTCCTGTGAAGGGAAATGAGGTGGCAGCCACAGGGTGTGAGGAGTAAGATGGCTATGTGCATACTCTGAGACGATTCCTATGTCTTAAGAGCGGCAGAGAAGGAGATACCTAGCAGAGAAGTCTGCTGGGTAAGGCTTCCCCTATCCCCCAAAGTTCTTTGACAGGAGTCTTCTCAGGGTCTGAATTTGCCAGCTCTCGCTGTAGAACAATGACGGCAAGAAACCTGACTTTATATAAAGTATCAGATCATAACCAGATCTGGAGCACATGCCATGCCCTGTGAGCTGCCTGGCAGAAAACCAACATCCCTACTCAGAACTTAACCCTCCCCCAGGCAAACAGGAGCCACCCACCATTTAAAAATAGTAATACCAAAGAAAACTCTCTGTGGCTGACTACATTTAGCTTCAGGAGGTCACTCGATTTCAAAAGTTGTTTTGAGACGGAGGGATGGGGGAGAGGCTTGCAAAATCAGGAAAAGGAATTAACAGCGCCAAATATCAAGGCATAGCAGAGAACAGCCCTTCCTAATTCTCAAGCCGTGTGGATACTCCAACTTCCATCATGCTCAGTGTGGCTGCAGGCTGATGGGAGCCAGGGTTTAGGACATCTGGAGGAGGACCAGGTTGAGGAAATGCAGACATTAAAGCTCTGCTTGTTATTGGAGTGGTGAAGCATAAAAAAATAGGAGCCACAGCTTGATAGGAATACCAGAAGCCCGTTTACTGGGCATGTGCTTACTCTTCAGTCCAAACATGGCCCCAGCTCCACAGCCGTTCTCCCTTGGCCTCCCCGCAAAGAGGCAGAGAGGATGCAGAATGCCACAGGGCCTCATTTCCCCAGACCTTCCTTCCTTGCCAAGGGGTACCATGCCACGAGGCAGCCGGTCACTAGGTTTATGCACTTCACTTTTCACCTCCTGCTCAAGAGTGGAGGAGGCTGGGTGTGGCAGGGCATAGCATAGCTCCGATCCCTTCCCCAGTTGCTCCAATGTCAGAGCATTGAAGGATGCATTCCCACAGTTCACTGGGGGCTTAACCGTTGCAGAGCAGCCCAGGATGAATTAAAAAGAGCAGGTGAGTGGTTGGGATTTGTGGGGAGAGGTATTGTGAAGTGGGAAGGGCAGAGGAGGGGCAAGCCAGCGGAAGGATAGATCTTGAGGACCATCTGCATAGGAGGCTTATAGTACGGTGGCTCAGAGGAGTGAGGAAAGTTGGTCTCGAAGTTGCTGTCCCCCACTTAAAACTGAGTGCAAATTAGATGTCCCCCAAAGCGCCAACAGGCCCAAGTCCCCATGTACCAAGGAGCCCATGCTACACAAACGGCCACCGGCTGCCTAAAGCTGTCAAAATCACAAACGCCTCGTGCTGGCCCCTGGAAGTGGAACACGTAGAAAGAGGAAGCCCTGTGACATATGGCCTGCTCCACAGACACCAGCTAGCCGCCCCACCCCCCTGCTCCCGCCCTTCAAGGCTTCAGCTTCAGCCATGGGAAGACAATGGTAAGAATGGAGATAACGGAAGACGTCAAGCCGCAGAGCCCCACGAACCCTGGGTTGGTCTTGTACAGGCCCAGCTTGTCCATGGGGATAAAAATATCGCAGGCGTTTTTCGCCAGGTCCAGGAGCAGAGGGGGGTTGTCCCTCAGCACGTGACACAGGAGGCGGACCTGCAGCTTCAGCCTCAAGATCAGCTGCTGGAGCCGGTGGTCTTCCCCCACTCTGGGGCTGTCTCCACCACCGCCTCGCTGGCACTTCCCGTTCGCCTCATGCTCCATCAGCAGCCGGATCTCATAGGCGTCCCTGCTCAGGTTCATGATCAGTGCAAAGAGGTAATACCTGGAAAAAAGGCAAAGGGGTGGGGAGGAAGAAAAGTCCTTAACTTCTGTTAGGATATAGTTCCGTTCCACCTTGAAAGGAACAGGCATGGCTGTTGTGTGTCAGATGCCTGTTTACTTCCAGGACAGGCTTGCTGGGAACTTCCGTTTGTATACTGCTTTTGTTTTGTTGCTGTGTGCTTGGACACGAAGGGAAGCAAACATGTTTTTTTCCTTTGTTCCTGAACTATGCTGAATAAACGCCTGTAAATAATGCTTACACATGTCTCTGTCCGCCACTTCTGTTGTGAGAAGTTACTCACGCTGCTGATTAGAGTGTGCCAAGTCTCTAAAGATATCTGAGGCTTGTGTCGCTGATTGATGCTGTTCCAGGAACCAGAGTTCGCCCAGCTGCTGGCCAGTGGCTGGAGCCAGCTGGGGGCCTGCCAAATGCCCCCGTCTCCTCGGCAGTATCCCAACACTATCAACAGATATCAGCTGCGACAGCCGACTTACACAGTGTTTTTATTTGCAGTCAGCAGACCGATGCAACATTTTATGCCCATCAATAGCGTTAATAAAAGCGCACATTCATACAATTAAAAAAACCTCACCTGAAAGACCGCTGGCTCCATTTCTCCTGGTCCATGTGCGGGGCGAGACCTGATTTCCCTGCCCACAGGATATTGTCACAGGCGAAATACATGGCTCTGTTTAGATGGCTGACAGTGATGCAGAAGCGAAGGACCATGTCTGACAGGTGGATGGCCCGTTTGGCCGCTTCCAGGGCATCTGAAGAATTCCCCAGCCGGAACACTGGAAAGGAATCCCAAGTTAAAGTGGTTGTCCCACATTGGTCTCACTTCTGCAGCTCTTTAAAGGAGAAGCTCCAAACTGCAATCAGATTTGGTGTTAACTGGCTGTCTGAATGCGTCCTTAGACAGCAGGTGTTTGCCTTAGGAGTGGCAGGAGATGGGGCCAGATAGACCAAGGGGATCTTCAAGAGGCCAGATTCTAGGACAGCTTTGCTAACTAGGATAACACAGCAGCTACGAAACAGGGGAGCTAGGAATCATTAGGTTCCTGGTTTGCATTTTACTGCTGATATGACCTCATTAGACTGGGGAGGCCATTCTCAGCACCAATAAACCCCTGCCATGTGGGGAGAGGATCCTTACAGCAACCTTGCAAGGTAGGCCCAATATAGGTCTACCTTATAGGACGGCTGTAAGGATCACAAGGTTGCATAATGCTGTACAAGTTACTATCCAACAAATAGGTTTTCCTATCCTACATGGCTGCACGTAACCAACTGTGGCAAAAACCAAAATCACCATCTTCGTTTAGTTACCTGGGGGAAGGTTCCTACTTGACAGAGTGGACCAGGCAACTGGCTACTTACAAGCCTGGACTAACAGAGCTCAGGCACAAACTTTCTGGGAAGCCTTGAGAAACCTGCTTTATCAGTCTAGGTTCCCTATCTGTAAAATGGGAACAACCTTAAACAATAAGGTGTGCTGAAAAGCAGTTCCTAAGGGAGCTGCTACATGGGGAGAGATTTCGTGCCTCTGAGGCTTACTGGAGGCAGTCTGGCTGAACTATGTGGGTGACTAGAGGCTGGGTGGGTGGCTCTTCAATATGATCTAGGAGGGCTGCTCTCCTGTATAGTGGTACCTCGATTTTCGAGCGTCTTGGAAGTTGGACGTTTCAACTTTCGAATGCCGAAAACCCGGAAGTAAGTGCTTTGGTTTTTGAACCACTTTTTGGAAGCTGAACATGCCACGCGGCTTCCATATTGAGTTTTCTGGATGTAAATGCTTCCGGAAATGCACGCTTCGGTTTTCGAACGTTTCGGAAATCAAACGGTCTTCCGGAATGGATTACGTTCGAAAACCGATGTTCCACTGTACTTATGAAGCATTTTACAACTTCAAAAAAAGGGCGAAATGATGCAGAAACAATTTAGCATGAATAAATGAAGCCTGCCCTTTTTTAATACCCTAGGTCAGTGGTGGCCAAACTTGGCCCTCCAGCTGTTTTTGGACGACAACTCCCATCATCCCTAGCTAACAGGACCAGTGGCCAGGGATGATGGGAACTGTAGTCCCCAAACAGCTGGAGGGCCAAGTTTGGCCACCACTGCCCTAGGTCCACCAGATCCTGGAGTGGAACTGGGTGTGCTGAGAGCAGCTGACTGATTGCTGGAGGGGACACAGTTGTGGGAAGCCTGAGGAGGCGATGAGACCTTAGTGCCTGCATGTAAGCCCTAGAGTGAGGAACTGGGGCTAAGTCAGAAAGTCCTTCTTCACACAGAACATAGCTAAACTATGGAACTCACTCCCACAGGTGGCTACCAACTCAGGTGGCTTTAAAAGAAGATCCAACAAAATCACAGAGAAGGCTGCCAGCTGCGATGGCTATGCTGCTCCTCTGCAGTTGGCAGCAGCAAAGCTTCTGAATACCTGTTGCTAGAAGCCACAGGAGGGGGGAAGGCTCCTGTGTTCAGGTCCTGCTTGCAGGTTTCCCACAGGCAGCTGGTTGGCTGCTGTGAGAACAGGATGCTGGACTAGATGGGCCAATGACCTGATCCAGCAGGATCTTCTTAGGCTCTTAAGCCGGCAGGTTCAGGAGTACCCTCTTTTCTGTGAGGTTTTAGGGCGGCCTGTGGGTTTGCTTGGGTCCTGGATGAGAGTCAGGAGGCTTGAGTGGTGCTGAGTGTGGGGAGGTGTGTTAAAGGAGGGGCTAACATCAGTATTCAGTTACAGTAAGGTAAAGGTAAAGGGACCCCTGACCATTAGGTTCAGTCGCGGACGACTCTGGGGTTGCGGCGTTCATCTTGCTATATTGGCCGAGGGAGCCGGCATACAGCTTCTGGGTCATGTGGCCAGCATGACTAAGCCGCTTCTGGTGAACCAGAGCAGCATATGGAAACGCCGTTTACCTTCCCGCCGGAGTGGTACCTATTTATCTACTTCACTTTTGTGCTTTCAAACTGCTAGGTTGGCAGGAGCAGGGACCAAGAAACAGGAGCACACCCCATTGCAGGGATTCGAACCGCCGACCTTCTGATCGGCAAGCCCTAGGCTCTGTGGTTTAACCCACAGCGCTACCCGCGTCCCACTCAGTTACAGTACTAATATCCAAATGTATATTTGCATTGCATTTGCGTCAATGTTTTTACTGCATGTTTGTAAAACATGTTTTTTTAAAAAATCTGCCGTGCACTACATAGATGTATACTAAGTGCTACAGAAATTTCCTCAAATAAATAAAAATGAATCCCTCCCCAACCCTCTCGGGTCCCAGTCAACCCCTCTTGCACTCACACTTGCGCCCCAAGCTCATGTGAGCCTCCAGCTGCTTGATCCTAGCAATGAAATCAGGGCTGGCCCCATACTTCTGCAGTGAGTAGCCGAGCAGAGTGCAGGCATACTGGGCAGCCCTAGGAGGAAAGAAACAAACAGTGGAAAGGGATTAGCCTGGTAGAGAAGATACTTGAGGCCCCAATGAAGTAGCCCTATTGCAATAGCTGGCAGCACGAGGCAAAAAGCTAAAGCAAAAAGGAGGGGAGGTGTATACTTGTACTGCGTAAGTGGGTCCATGAGAGCCTCCTGGAATAACTAAATATATAGATATATACAGATATATATTTCAGATTAGGATATGTCACATAAATATCCATGTACAGTGGTGCCCCGCAAGACGAACGCCTCGCAAGACGAAAAACTCGCAAGACGAAAGGTTTTTTCGTTTTCGAGTTGCTTCGCAAGACGAATTTCCCTATGGGCTTGCTTCGCAAGACGAAAACGTCTTGCAAGTTTGTTTCCTTTTCGTAAAACCGTTAAAACCCAGGGTGCATTGCTGGAAGAGGTGCAGTTGCGACTTGACCTCGAGGAGCAACACATTGCACGCGGTGTGGTGGCCTTTCTGAGCTTTTTAAAGAGTTTGCTGGATTTTTGAAGCTTTTCCAAAACTTCTTTTGTAGCTGTTTGGTAAGTTAAACTTTTAAAACTTTTTTTGGGGTTTTTGGATTTTGGGTTGGGGTGTTTAGAATTCAAGGACTTGGTGTTGGGGAGGGGTTTGCAAGAATCTGGGAGCTTGTGTGGTTTTTTTCTGCATTTTTATGATTTTCTGTGACCATTGGGCCATGTTTATTTTTTTAAAAAAAATAATCTGGGTTTGAATTTTTGAATTTCTGTGTGCTGGGTGGATGGGGGAACAGTTGAGGAGGGGTTTGCAACAGTTGGGGAGGGGTTTGCAACAGTTGGGGAGGGGCTGGGGGAACAGTTGAGGTTTTTGAAGACTTTGGTGATTTGCAGCCATTTCGTAAGTTAAACTTTTAAAACTTTTTTGGGGGGTTTTGGATTTTGGGTTGGGTGTTTGGAATTCAAGGACTTGGTTCTGGGTTTGAATTGCTGATTTTTTTTTTTCTTTTTCTGAGTTTACAAAGGTAACAGCTGTGCTGCCATGGGACCCAAGAAGACTGCTGCTGCTGCGGAGGCCGGCGAGAGGAAGAAGGAGAAGGTGACGCTGGAGATGAAGAAGGAGATCATCCGGAAGCACGACGGTGGAATGCGTGTGACGGACCTCGCCAGGGAGTACGGCAGGAACCCATCGACCATCGGGACCATCCTGAAGATGAGGGAGAAGATCCTTGCGACTGATGCAGCCAAGGGAGTCACCAGGATCATGAAGAACCGCCCAGCTGTTCTGGAGGAGGTCGAGAAGTTGCTGCTCATCTGGTTAGAAGAGAAGCAGCGTGCAGGGGACACAGTGACTGAGGCCGTCATTTGTGAGAAGGCCAAGGCCTTGCACGCAGACCTCATCCGGGAACAGCCAGGAACCTCGGCCGAGCCAGAAGTCTTCAAGGCAAGCAGAGGCTGGTTTGACCGGTTCAAGGCAAGATCTGGAATCCACAGCGTGGTCAGGCATGGAGAGGCTGCCAGTTCTGATGTTCCTGCGGCTGAAGACTTTGCCTTGGAGTTCCTGGAGGTTGTGAAGACGGAGGGCTACGTTCCACAGCAGGTCTTCAACTGCGACGAGACCGGGCTGTTTTGGAAGAGGATGCCCAAAAGGACTTTCCTCACACAGGAGGAGGCCAAGTTGCCTGGCCACAAGCCCATGAAGGACCGTCTGACCCTGCTCTTCTGTGCCAACACAAGCAGCGACCTGAAGATCAAGCCCCTGCTGGTGTACCACTCGGAGAACCCACGGGCCTTCAAGAAACACAAGGTCGACAAGGAGCGGCTGAGTGTCATGTGGCGATCCAACAGCAAGGCTTGGGTCACACGTGTGCTGTTTGTGGACTGGGTCAATCTTGCTTTTGGCCCTGCTGTCAAACAGTACCTGCTGGACAACGACCTGCCGCTGAAGGCTTTGCTTCTGATGGACAATGCTCCTGCTCATCCTAAAGGCCTTGAGATGGACTTGTTGGAGGAGTTCAGCTTCATCAACATCATGTTCCTGCTGCCTAACACCACGCCACTGCTCCAGCTGATGGATCAGCAGGTCATCGCCAATTTCAAGAAACTCTACACCAAGGAGCTTTTCAGGCGATGCTTCGAGGTGACTGATTGCACCACCATCACCCTGCGGGAATTCTGGAAGGACCACTTCGACATCGTCACCTGCTTGAAGATGATCACCACGGCCTGGAACGGGATCAGCCAGAGAAATTTGAATTGCGCTTGGCGCAGCCTGTGGCCGGACTGTGTGGCACCAAGTGACTCTGATGCACCAGAGTCAACAGTGGTGCAGGACATTGTTGCCTTGGGGAGGACCACGGGCCTGGAGGTCACAGAGGAGGACGTCTGCGAGCTGGTGGAGGAGCACGACCACGAGCTGACCACCCAGGAGCTGGTTGAACTGCAGTCAGAGGTTGCGCAGGAGCAGGCCTCGCTGGAAGAGGAGGAAGCAACTGAGGAACGGCCGTCCTCCAAAGAACTGAGGGACATTTGCCAGAAGTGGAAGGAGGTGCAGGCTTTTGCAGAGCGGCACCACCCTATCAAGCACGTGGCACATGACCAAGCGAACACTTTTGATACAACGGTCATGTTGCCTCTCAGGGAGCTGCTGAAAAGGCGGATGAAGCAGCAGACCATGGACAGGTTCCTCAGCAAGAAGCAAAGAGTGGAAGAGGAACCTTCTTCGAGTGGTCCCCCCAGAGTCTTAGAAAATGTAATGTACCCTTTTTTGATTTTTAAATGTTTTTCCTGTCATGTTTAGAAACTTAATTTATTGTTCCTTCAATTTTGATATGCTCTTTAAAGTATGTGTGACTTTAAAGAGCAGTTAATAAACTCTTGTTGTACCAAATTTGGCTTTGTTTGGACTTTTTTTGACCATAGGAACGCATTAATTGAATTTCAATGCATTCCTATGGGAAACCGTGCTTCGCAAGACGAAAAATTCGCTAGACGAAAAAACTCGCGGAACGAATTAATTTCGTCTTGCAAGGCACCACTGTATTCAACATTCTCCAACTTGATGACCTCCAGATGTTCTGAACTACAGCTGCTCCCATTAGCCTCAGCCAGCGCAGTCTATGGTCAGGGATGAAGGAAGTTGTAATCCAAAATATCTGGAGGGCAGTGGATGGCAATACAAGGCTTGCTTAAGACCCCCAATCACACACTGCCAGGCCAAACAGAGAGTGCAACCAACATATTCTCAAGCTCCGGCAAGCCTCCAGAAGGGAAGGGAGAAAGGCAACCACACAGAGTGCTTGTTACGTCCTTGAAGTTTGAACTTTGGAGGAGCTCTTGGCCATCCTAAGGGTATGCAATAAGATGTGAGAGGAGTGAAGGAGTTATTGCATCACCATAAATTCCTGCTGCTACTGTATCATGAACAGAAGCAAAAACACTCTGTGGACAGACCCTTTCTCTACAAGTAGAATCATTTTGCAAAGAGCATCTTAACAAATTAACTGTACAATCCTGAACTTTAAGAAAAGCCTCCTTTGCTCAGGAGTCTTCCCAGCTGGGAAAAAGCAAATGCACCCTGCGAAACATTAAGGTGCATGACTTACAAATGGATTGTGGAGGGGAGAAAGTTTGGGAACCACTAACCAAACAATTGCTACTGGCCAGTGGAAGAAAATCGAACAATCTGAGATTTTTAGTGCAGCTGTGATGGGGAGAGGGGATTGTGTCGGCCCAAAGCAAAAAGTAGCAGGAAAGAGAAGTACGTTCGTGGTTTTTTTAATTTAAAGTTTATTTCCATCAAAAGAGGGTGTGCTTTCCCTGAGTTTGTAAACTTTTTAAACAAATAAAAAATAGCTCTGCTAATGCCAATGCGATAAAGTTCATCATCTCTAGTCCCATAATGCAGAGGACAGGGTGTGGCTGAGAGTGTGTGGATTAAACCACCCCTGCAATGGAACCCATTTTGATGGGGGTGGTTAAGAGTAGCATATTACACAACGCTGCAGTCTAGCATAGCTATCCTGGTTTTGGGCAGGGAGGGGTATGGAAATGCAGGGGGAAGCAACTGTAAAGCAGATTGCACTGCTGGTACAATTAATTATGGGCTGGGGGAGATGAAAGAACTGAGAGTGTCAGTGGTGAGTGGGAAGGTATTATTTGGCCACCACTGAGAAACAAGGGAGGAGCAAACTTGCAGTATAAGTCTTTCAGAGACAGACGTGCCAGGTCACATCACTGTTCAGCCAACATATCTACCAAAAAGGCTACACGTGTTCTCTGATACCAATTATCTTTTCCTGGAGCATTTATTTTGCCCCCGCTCCTGGAAAAATCCCCCCTTATTTCTTTCTTTAAAAAGAAGCAATAAAAATCCATTTAAAAGGCATATAGTCAGAAAGTAGCCAGACGACAAATCAGGACCTACTGTCACACAATTTGGGAAGGATTTTTGACCTACAGCTGTTATAGCAAGGAAAACAACAGAATGAACCACGTGCCCCAAACAATGCTAGTGAAATGAGGAAATTGCACAGGAAGGTGTGTGCGTGCAAAGGTAAACTGAAGCATATTAGTGTGTGGAAGGACTACTTGGAAGCAGCAGTCTGGATTCTTCTAGCCCAGAGGTGGAAAGGCGGCACAATTCCGGCCAAAGAAGAGCAGCAACTAAAATTGATGGACTATGCTGAAATGGCAAAACTTACAGGAAGAATTAGAAACTAGGAAGAGGCAGATTTTAATAAAGAATGGGGAAAGTTTATAACTTATTTGAAAAATTATTGTAAACAATTACATTCATTGGTAAGCTTGACAGAAAACTTGTAGTAAAAATTTGAACTATGGATTGGCAAAGGATTTGTAAAATAGTGTTATGGAAGAGATGCAGAGAGAAAATCATTATATGAGGATGCACAAAGGGGGAGGGGAGGGAAGTAAAAGGGGATTTTATGCTTTTATTGTGTGTTTTTTTTTCTTTTGCTTATTGAATGTAAAATTAAAAATGCAATTGTATTTTCTTTTCATTTTTTAAAAGGGAAGTCTAATAATAATCGATAAGAAGGCAGCATTCTGTAGTGGTTCGAGTACTGGATTAGGACCTGGGGGAGACCAGGGTTCAAATCCTCACTCTGGGTGATCTTGGGCCAGTCATTGCCTCTCAGCCAAACCTACTTTCCAGGCTTGCTGTGGGGATTAACTGAAGATTAACTGAGGAGGAGGAGAATCATGTTGCACCAACTTAAACTCCTTTGAGAAAAAAAAGGTAGGATATAAATGTGACAAAGACATAAAAACAAAAAGTCTTTTCTCACTCTCTCTCTTTTGCGCCTGGTACCACAGGTTGGTGGCTCTACCAAGAAGTCTCAAACTCACCCCCCCCCAAAAAAAATATGGCTTTTGACATTTGATATGTTATATAGTTTAAAGGCACTCCTTATTGTTTTAGGATTGTGAGTTGTCTTAAATTGTTTTTAATACTGAGTTTTAGTTTGCTTACTCATATTTCTTATCCTATTGGCTACTGCATTCACATCCCACCTTTTTCTCCAAGGAGTTCTCAAGGGGGCACATAAAGTTCTCCTCCCGCTCCATGTTACCCTCACAGCAACCTTGTGAGGCAGTTAGGCTGAGAAAGAGAGAAAAAGAAAGAGAGAAAGAGAGAGAGAGACTGGCCAAAAGTCGTGGCCGAGGGGTGTGTTTATGTGTCTGTGTGTGTTGAACTCTGATCTTTCCTGGGTCCTCGTCCGACACTTCTAATCACTATCCGACACCCTGGCCCACCTTGGGATGAAAGGAGGGTGGTTAAAGTACAAATAATGATAAATGATAAACCAAAAGAAACATCAAAATAGCAATGACTAAAGAAATGTAAAATATTTAAGAATACAGTAACAACAATAACCTGGTGACAACACAGTATTAATAATGTGGATCATAATAACGAACCACGATCATTACACGAATCCCCCGCTCCGCTTCCCCCAAACGAAAGGCGCCCCAAGAGACGGCACCGGGAGCGGGTTGGCTCTTGATACCCTTCGCGGTCCCCTGCCTCTCCCTCCCCGCCCTCCGCCGCACCTGAAGACCCGCTCCTTAGCTTGGCTCTGGGCGCTGAATCGCACCCAGGAATCCATCGCAGCAGCAGCAGCAGCCTCTCCTCGGCGAAGGCAGCACCGGCGGGCCCCCTCCTTCCCTCGCCTCCTCCAGGCTCGCAGGCAGCCCTCGGCAACTCTTTCCTCGGCCTAGCAGGGCCACACCGCCCTCCGCCTCCCTCAGGGCCGACGCCGCCCCCGCCCGTCCCCTCGGCCGCAGGCAAATGAAATCGCGGTCACTTCCGGGGGCAGTACGGCAGCGCCCGAAGGACAAATTTAAACACGGATAATGGTCAAAGGCTTTGTTGTCGTTGCGGGGGTTTTGTTTTTTTCTTTTAACTGGCTCGCTCTGAATCGCTGCTCCTCCGCCCGCCCTCCTCTTAAAGGCGATTGGGGGAAATCCCGACGCTTTGCATGGTTCGCACGGTTCTCATTGGCTGATCCTAAGAGGCTGGGTCGGCCTTCTCGTTACCCACCCATTCGCCGGCCTCCCGGCTCCTCCCCCCCTGAGGTGTTCACGACGGCGATTGGCGGAAGCCCCTCCGAATATCCCCGCCTCCTAGCTTGGGGACCTTGCATTTCCATTGGCTGAGTCCTCTGCTCAGGCACCTCCCTCGCTCCGGCCGACCTGTCATTCGTCAGCCCTCCTGCTCCATCCTCCGCCTCCGCTCCTGAGGTGTTCGCGACCGCGACGAAACCGAAGCCCCGCCTCCTGGCTCGTGGAGGGCGCTCCCATTGGCTGAGCCCTAAGCTCGGGCGCCTCCCCCGCTCCGGTGACGGACACTTTGGCATGAGGGGACGGGGGCCGAGCATTTCTTTCGCCCCTCAGTCGCTCGACGGGCCGCCGACGCCTCCGCGCTCGCCATGATGATGGAGTCGCTGCGCGTGCAGCGGCTGCAGCCGGGCGTCGGGGGCACGCTGCGCTCGCTGCGGCCTGGCGTGACGGCGGGAGCGTCCCTGGCGGTTGCCTCTGCTCCCCCGCCGCCGCTGCCGCCGCCCCCGCCGCCGCTCGGGCTGTCGCTCACCCTGGGGCCTCCCCCGCCGCCGCCGCCCCCGCTGCCGCCTCTCCCGCCGTCGCTCTTGCCGGGCGTGACAGCCGGATCCAGCCCCCCGGGAGCCGCGGCGACGGGTCCGCCCGCCGTGCTGAGGGAGGCCGTCGAGGCCGTCGTCAGGAGCTTCGCCAAGCACACGCAAGGCTACGGCCGCGGTGAGGATGAAGGGCTGCCTCGGCCACCGTTATCTGCTTTTCTCCTCTGGGCGTGTGCAGAGTGCCTGCCTCACCCATCCAGGCTCGCATAGTGGGAGCTGTTACCGTGTCATAAGCTTAGCTTAGCCTACCTGGCAGAGTTGTTTTGTTGTTGTAAGGATAAAGGCGGCGGGGAAGAGCCTTACAGAAGGCCCAGAGTTTCTAGGAGGAAAAGTGGGGTGAAAAATGTAAGGAACGAGGTCCAATGTATCCCTGAGGGAAAATGGTCCCGCCTTCCTATTAGCCAGCTGTTTAAAAAAGACTGTAGTAAGCATGTGGAGTGGTCCTGTCTCTTCTGATGGACAGCTTTTTAGAAGCGAGGGCCGAAGCATGTGCAGAATTCAGTTGCCTTCTCTTAACCGCAGCCTGCCTTGCAGTGCTGTTGTGACATCAGGCAGAAAACTTCATTGCACTCATTTTGGTGCCTGCTATCTGACAACTATCTGACTTTTAGGAGACATCTGAACGCAGCCCTTTAGGGAAGTTTTTGACGTATGAGGTTTTATTGTGTTTTTAATATTCTGTTGGGAGCTGCACAAAGTGGCTGGGAAAACCCCATCAGGCGGGGTATAAATAATAAATTATCATTATTATCATTAAAAATGATTTTGTTTATAGTCATTCTTTATTATTATTATAGATTCCATTTATATACTGCCCTTCATCCGTAGATCTCGGGGTGGTTCACAGCATAAAAAGTTTAGATAAGCCTATTTAGATATGTAGGAATGTTGATGTGTATTTTAATCTCTTTTTGGTTTATTGTTTGTTTGTTATTTTTTAGCATTTTAAATAGCTGATAATTTGGTGTGTTTTTCTGTAAACTGCTTTGCAGGTTATTGCTTTCTTTTTAAACCAATCAAGCAGTGTACAAATTTTATGAAACAAAAAATAAGTAAAGCAGAACAAGGGAGAAGACTTGCAGAATACCTAGAGCTTCTTAGAGGAAAAGTGAGATAGAAATGTAAGAAATGAAGTCAAAATGCCTCTGAGCAAAAAATTGACTTGACTTTTTACTAGTCAGCTGTTTACATTTAAAAGGTGAGCTGAGTGTCTTTCTTTGGTGACAAGCAACTGACTACTGGAGGAAAATTGTCCTGTGGATTTCAGTAAGGGAGTGTTGTGGTCTGGTGAACTGGGGAGCCCCAGTGGTGTGGATTCTTGAGTCGGGGGATCTTGGAGAGGGAAGACAGTAATTGGGGGGTGTTGGTACAGGTGTTGTGCACCTGCAGTTCTGGGTAGAGACGCCCTCTTCTTCCCATCTCCAGCCCTTGATTGCTTGCTAAGATTGCTTGCTTCCCGCTGATAATTTTATTTGTTCATTGATTTATTTTAAGTATGGATGTTAGCATTTTTGGCTTCTAACTATTTGAAGTAAAAATAAGCTATTTAAATCCTACACATCTGAAGCAACCATTGTTTCTTCTGTAGCCTAATGTGTTATGTGGCTTATGTTAAGTACCGTAATTTTTGCTCTATAAGACTCACTTTTTCCCTCCTAAAAAGTAAGGGGAAATGTGTGTGCGTCTTATGGAGCGAATGCAGGCTGTGCAGCTATCACAGAAGCCAAAACAGCAAATGGGATTGCTGCTTTCACTGCGCAGCGATCCCTCTTGCTGTTCTGGTTTCTGAGATTCAGAATATTTTTTTTCTTGTTTTCCTCCTCCAAAAACTAGGTGCGTCTTGTGGTCTGGTGCGTCTTATAGAGCGAAAAATACGGTACACCCATAGGGTAGATGTCTAGAATGTTTGTTTTCAGCTAATGTTAAATGAAGGGGTCTTCCCCCGCCCTGAGAAAGTTTCCCATCAATAATGGCGAATCCTGTTCCCTCCCATCCTTTTTTTCAGATTGGCTGTATTTTTTAGCAATGTTTTGTCCCTGTTTTTGCATGAAATGGGGCCCAGGTTCTTCTTGTCTGTTTTGGGAAATGTTTTCTAGCCTGCTACAATTTTTATGTTCTGGGATAGTACAGAAGGCCCTAATTGTGAACATATTCCAGGGTAGCCTCAAAATGGGCCAATTTCAAGAGCTGTTTGGTTGGCTTATGAAATGTAGGAAAGGAGCAGTTAAAATGAGTTTTTGCAAACATCTATGTGGAAAAATGTTGTCCTCTGCTCCAAATGGGGAGACTTTGTGGCCACTTGGGGTGTCAGATGTTGGCCTACAGCAGCAGCAGGCCCAGTAGATGCCGCCTTGCAGGTTCTAAGCAGCGAATGCTTGGCAGGCAGTCTGTGACTTAAACACAACACTGCTTTCCTGGCTCTGAAAGGCTTTGAGGCCATGTGGAATCATTTATTCTTTCCTATTTAATATGCAAGTCAGATGTGCTGTCATACACAAGGTAGGGACTAGAGTATGTGATCCAAGGCCATAAACAGTGGATATAAATAACAGCCAGTGGTCTGACTGTAAACGTCCTCACTCTCAGGTAGGAAATGTAAAAATGAACTGCTGCTTTTCGTACTTGTTGAGGTCTTTGAAATATAATTTCTTTCAGTGAAATGCAATGAAAGGGGGTTTTGAACAATCACTCTGGGCAGCCCCAGTCAGCACAGTTGTAGTCCGAAAGTTCTGGAGGGCAAGGGTAATAGAGGGGTAGGTTTTTATGGATGTGCTGAGGTTTCCCGTTTAAGATTGGCATTGCTTTTGCTGCTGAACTGCAGTCCCCCACCTGTAAGATGTGGCATTTCTGTATTCTCAACAGGGCATCCAACGTACATTAGGGCATGGCAGGTTCGTAAGGTAACCCTAGCCCAAACCATTCAGGGCTTTAAAGGTTGTTAGGAGTTCAATGAACTGGACCTAGAAATACATTGCTATACAGAGCAAATGGTACAGCATCGGTGTTACAACTTCAAACTGCCTGGCTCCAACCAATGATTGCATTGTGTACTGGTTGAATTTTCTGTTTTTTCTTCAAATGCATTTCTATGTAGAGCACTTGGTGTCCCTAGTACAGTACATGGATAACTCAGTCTGCTCTTTCCAGAAAGCAAGAGCATTTGAAATACTGGAGGAAGTAAATTAGGGGTGTGTGTGAAAGAGGTCTCTATTTGTCCTCTCCTCTCCCTCTTCAGAGAGAATGTGAGAATGGATAGCAATCTGATTGGGCTTTATAAATGATATTAAGCCTAAAAGAGGATCTCTTTATGAGAATAGTTTGGGAAGAAAAAAGAGGGAGTTGGGCAAATTCATAGTCACACTAGCTGTTTGTATTTATGGAGTGGGTTCTCATTTCAATTAACATAAACCTAGGTTTCTTTTTACTATGCAAATCTGCGTAGGCTTTGTGTTTTGTTTTGTTTTGACTTTCTTTTTTCCCCTTTTTTGCTGCTCAGTAAATTCCAGTCTTATAAAAAACCAGCTGGTATTAATATGGTACATGGATGCTGATTGAGAATAGCATTCTGTTAGACCCAAGTATTTGTGAACCCTGGCGTTGAAATGTCTGATACTACTTCTGAACCAGCAGTTAAGGAGATTCGTGTAGCATACTTGCTTTACTTAGCATATTGCCTCTAGCTTTTCCTTCAGCTCACAAGTAATTGTTCTCTCTTCAATCATTTCCCTATATTCTGAAGGACTACATACACAGTCTTCAGATTACCTGTGTATACATAAGCATAGTATTGTATAAATTAGCTTGTAGAAGTTGGGAAGACATCCTAGAGCAGTAGCTCATACTGTTTATATGTGCTCCAAGCCTGAGGTAGAACTGAAGTAACAACTTTCTCCCGAGGACCAAAGACAACTGTGTAAAACCAACTGTAAAAACTAGTGTGGACAGTGGCTCCTGTTGTAATCTTTAAGCACACTTCCATTCTAACATAAGCCAGCTTCATTTCCACAGTGCTTTGGACAGCATTGCTTTTCCATAGTCTTGTTGGAGCCAGTAAGCAGCCTCTGGAAAGCTGTTCTTCGTTAAGCTTTTTATCTCCTATGCGGTGTTTGCATACTTTGAGGAAAGGCTCAGCCAATTCTTCATGGAAACCTGGACATCTTAGACATCATTGCTTGCTTTTTCAAATGTTTCTAGCCAAAATAATTATTTTATTTTTCCTTGGGCTTTTCCGTCTTCCTTTTAAAATCAGAACCTCTAGGCTGCATTTATTTAAAATACGAGTTGGTAGAGTGGTCTAGGAGAAGCATTACAGCTTACACACAGTTTTTGTCTTCTTTCAAGATGTCACATTAATGGGGTTCTTAAGAATGCTGGTGACCAAGAAAGCATTGGCCCTTAGATATTGCAGAATGAATTCCATCTTCATAGTGGATTGATATATTTTGACAGATTGAAAAGTATCTCTTCGGTAATTAATCTGTGATGTGCAGTATTGCCACAAACACTCTCGCTCTCTCAGATCATATTCACTTTTAAACAATAAATTTAAAACAATAGCACTGCTGTTTCTACATATTATATTAAAATGCAAAACAGGACTTTGTTTCTAAGCTCATGCATTTTTGCAATCTTAAATATGAAACTATTTTGTTGTATTTTTTCTAACCAAAATATTCATACTATTTGTGCTTAGACTGCTAATGCTGGTTTCCATCTTCTAGGGAAGTACTAATTTTAGTCAAGGAGTGCGGCTGCTTAGCATAATTATCCACTGTCTGGCCTCATGCTTCTTTCACAAACATAACACTTTGCAATACAAAGGGGACAGTGTGTAATGGAATCTTGTCTGGGCTGAGAATAGAACACCCATGCTCTGGCTACAAAATACCATTTTCGCTGCTTTCAAACATCGCAAACAGACACAAACCGGTTGGTTGCTTTCTTGACACATGATGAATTGATATTGTGTCATGAAGATTCTAGATAAATAATGTAGGGGTTTAGTGGGATAAGAGGGCAAGCTAATGGCCATTTCTGAGAGAACAAACACATGCAGACAATTCTTAGAAGCATAGTGAGCAGTATTACTAAAGACTATTCACTCTGTTTGGCCATAGCCATTTCCACACTGAGCTAGAATGCTATTGTTTCATTTGGTGTGTATTACTGGGTAGACCCATTGCAATTAATGAACCTAAGTTAGTCATATCTGTTGGTATACTCTGAGTAGGACTAGCACTGAATACCACCCATATACTCTAGAGGTATGCTTTTTCACTTAATCTCACACTGCATACATGGGAGTGGGGACATTACAGTGCAATGTACATCCTTCTGTCCATGGGTGACTTATGCCATCTGTGGGCACCAGATTATCCAACTGTTGATTTCAAGCATCATAACATAAATCTAGAGTGTTTCTTTACCACAGAGCTATTTAGTTCAGCTGATGGGCTGTTTTTAACAGTTAAATTGACCCAGCTCTGAAATTTTCTCTCCCAGTTTTTGATGCATGAGTAAAGCTGCCCTTTGAAAATAACAGTTGGGCTTTGGTAAGTGACCTGGGTGTGTGTGCATATTTTATGTGTCACCCAGGGTAGAATCTGCTTTAGGGGAATTATTTCGATTGAATTTTTTTGAGCAAGCAAATAAAAGGCATAGTAACGTAAAACTGCTAATATATTTGATTGTGCATTATGGGTTCGGTTGCTCTGTGATAGCTTGACAAACTACTACAGAAGAAGACTTTAGGTCTCCTTCGGAATGAAAGTGCATGTTTGACATTAGTAAAAATAAATTTTGCTTGCCCACATTTGAATTCCAGGCATTCAATGGTTTCCCATACAGCATACTGCACAGATTGTCTATGGTTTCCTGTGAGTTCCTTTCATTAGTAACTGCTGTGTTTGTTTGTTTGTGTGTGTGTGTGTGTGAGTGTGCATGCACATGTGTATAAAGGAAACCCCAAATTTGAAAAATCTCCATTAATAGTCATTCCTCATAATCTTGCTGAAACTATTTTAGCAACATACGCATCTATTATTTCTCTTCTTCCTAGAGCTAATCAAGCTAATTCACATTAATATGAAAATTCTTTTTCTTTGCAGTAGATTTGCATGGAGAAGAGAGATGATGGTGGTTCTGAAAAATCTAGATTTGATGCACCCCACTTAATCAATTTCTGTTGCTCCTTGCACTTCCACAAATCATGGTGTCCATCTGGATTGCCTAGATAGGGTGGGCTGGAAGACACCGTTTTGCAATTGTTCCAGTCCATCCTGGAGGGTAGAGCTTCAAAGATGCTATTGGAATTTGACTACTCAACTTCATCAGCGTTGGCTAGTGAGGTCTGCAGTGTTCTACCTCCATCCTCTGTTTTGCTTAGCATCTAAATGCAGCTACTGTACTTGGAGAAGTTGTCTGGAGAAGTGGGATTGAGTGCCATCAATATGCTGATGACAAGCACCAGTTACTGTACATTAAATTCTGGGGAGGCAATAGAAGTCCTGAATGAGCTTGATGAAAGACTGGATGTGGGTGAACAAGCTGATACTGAATTGAAATAAGGCAAAAGTATCTCTAATTATCTGAAAAGCTGATTTGGGGTTAGGCATCTAGCTTCTGTTAGAGCTGATAGCACTCTGCTTGAAAAGCCAGGTTTATGCGTGCTTGTGCTCTTGATCCTAGTATTGCTCCTTGGTACCCAGATGGTAGCTATGGACTTAAATGGTTTTGTATAGCTGAGTCCTGTGTACCAGCTGCATCTTTTGCTGAGCAAGGCAGATTTACCTTTTATAAAACATGTCCTAGTAATGTGAATCAACCTTGAATTTATCAAAAAAGATAGGTCATAGCATTTTATTAAAAAAATCTAAAATAAGTTGGATCATTGTAATGTGCTCTTCTTAGAGCTGCGCTTTGAAAAGATCACATTCGGTAAATTTTAACGGGTGCACATTGTGGCAGAGTTGTGACCAAAACATTTTTTTAAGAAAGAGATCTAGAACATGGTTGTTGTACCAGATTCTTTGTCTTACAGTTTATTTCCAAGTGAAGTTCAAAGTGCTGCTCATTTCCTTTAAAGCCCTAAATGATTTAGGACTAAGGCACTTGAAGGTTGCATTCTGCCCACCTACATAGCTCTTCATTGGAGACCCAGTTCAGTGTTCTACCACCAAGTGAAACTTTTCTGTTGACAAGGCCTTTATTTTTGTGGCTTTGTAACTCTCTACCCAAAGAGGTGGGTGGTCCTAATAAAGGCATTCTCCTTCTGTGGATTTCTGATATTTTTTCTATGGTTCAATATGGCTTAAGAGAGCCAGTGTGGTGTAGTGGTTAAGAGCGGTAGGCTCGTAATCTGGTGATCCGGGTTCGAGTCTCCGCTCCTTCGTATGCAGCCGCTGGGTGACCTTGGGCTAGTCACACTTCTTTGAAGTCTCTCAGCCCCACTCACCTCACAGAGTGTTTGTTGTGGGGGAGGAAGGGAAAGGAGAATGTTAGCCACTTTGAGACTCCTTCGGGTAGTGATGAAGCGGGATATCAAATCCAAACTCCTCCTCTTCTTCTTAATTCTTTTTTTTACATCTTAAAAATACTTGTATGATGTGCTATCCCCAAATCCTTAAATTTGCGGAGAAATACCACATATGAATCTTGAATCAGCTGCTTGCTTTCTCTTGTATGTCTGTTTCAAAATCTAGCACAGAAAAATATTATGAATTGTGCTAGGTGTGTCTGGGCAGGTCAGTCAGACTATTAATGGATGCTCTTAACCTGCCCACTCTCAAACTATTTTCAGTTGCATCAGAATAGCACACAAGGCATTATGCAGTAGTATCTTAGTTTTTAAATGTCAAGAGGGTGCCTAATTTTAGGGGGAAATGAGTTGCAATTTCATGCTCTAAACTTTTTTCTGCCTCAAAACAAGTCCTTTGAGGCATTTTTAAAGTCAACCTGAGTATAGTATTGTATGCCTTAGAATAACTTTTACTCAGTAACTATCACCACAGGCTTTCCTTTCCCCCTCTAGCTTTGGACATGTCCCAAGGATGCTGAACGTCTAAGGCAACATTCTTCAGATTTGGCTGCTGACCCTTGGTCATGGTTGAACCTGTCTTTGTATCTCTCTTGGGGGTGGGGGGATGATAAGCAGCAAATGAAGATTGTAGATTATATTCCTCTTGCTGCCTTCTGTGTAAATACTCTATTATGATATATGCCTCTTTCTCTATTTTCAGTCAACGTTGTGGAAGCTCTCCAGGAATTCTGGCAGATGAAGCAATCACGTGGTGCTGATCTGAAAAATGGTGCTCTGGTGGTTTATGAGATGGTCCCATCTAACAGTCCTCCTTATGTCTGTTATGTCACATTGCCTGGGGGGAGCTGTTTTGGCAGTTTTCAGGTTAGAATGTGTTAACTAGATGTTTTGATTACTTTTTGTTGTGGTGGTCTGGAACTCTGATCTGGTGGGGTCGAATAAAAGTTCCTTAGGCTGTATACAGATGGATTTAGTGGAGCAAAGCCAGAAAATTTCTCTTCATACCACAACCATGGCACTAGCCCTGATCTAGTACAGGCAGCTAGAGAATTGTCAAATATATCCTGTGGATATGAGAGCTGCTCCGTGGTCTGTGTGTGTGTGATTCATCATGGACACAATCTGGTAGGCACAACAGTTAACGTGAAATGTGCATGCATCTCTTGCAGTGGTGCTAATTATGTTTGGGAGGGCCTGATTATCCCCAGCAAAATGGTTCTGGATTTAATGGTGACTTACTGGTCAAAAATGGTGTCTCTTTTTAAGCTCACCTCACCTAGGAGGTTTTGCTTGATAGATGCCATCCATTCCTTTCATCAAAATATGTGGCCTGTCTGTATGGGAGTGTTATCTCATACGGTGGATAGCTCAAAACCAATTTTCCCATGTGCAGGGGTGTGTATGTAGAGGCATGCTTAAGTTTTTTGCCTCTAATTTCTAAACCAGTGCTACCTGTTCATACCAGCAGGCAGTCCTTGTTGGGAGCATCGTTGTGGTGTGTGCATGTTTGATTTCTGTTCTGCAAATGTGACTTAAGCATGCAAAAATTGGAAATAGTGTTGTTTCACACACCACAATGATAAAAAATACTGCCAGTGCTCCTTCAGCAACAACTGGTGGAAAATAGGCATGCTGAATCCTTTCCTTTGGGCTATTGGAAACAAAATGGCTAGCTTGTTTTCGGGTGAGGTGCAAATGGAGGTAGGGGGTGTGGCAATAGATAGCACCCAGCAAAACATCTCCATACACTAAAAACCCACACAGTTGAGTAACTTGTAATTTTATATTCCATTTTTACACTTAGCAGGCAGTTTGGGGAAATCCAAGTTTGGGGGAAAGTGTGGGCTGCCAGTTAGAAGAGCTGGATGTTATGTGGATGGATACTACAAACACTCACAAACTGAGACACAAGCAGCCTCAAGCCTGCATTAAACTTTTGTGTGGATTATCCCTTAAAGTCCATCCAACTGCTGTAGTAAATCATAAGTCTCTTGATTGTCCAAGACCAGTGTGTGAAGCATTATGGTGTAAGTGCCATTGTGCCATAAACTTCAATATATCTTCCTTCCTACCTCAATTTCAATAGGTTACAGACTTAACACCCGGAAGTCCAGGGTGGCCCTTACTTTTGGCTGAACCCAGGCTCTGTTTAGTGGGCTTAAAACAGGTATCCTAAACAAGCAATCCTGGTTTCTGAACTGCCTACCCACTTAGAGAACAGCAATGGGTGTTTAGAATAGGGTGTTCACAGCTTGGTTTTAGCTAATTAATTTTGTTGACAGACCCAGCTGTGGTATTTCCTTCTCCAAATAATATGTGCTGATTTCAGCTGCCTGTGTAATTCTTGCATTGTAGATGACTGGAGTTTCTGGGTTTAAAGAGCCCGTTCCTAATGACTTCAGGATGTTGGAGAGCACCATGTCAGCATGCATAGCTGCAACCTAGTAATTTGGGGTAGAAATACATACTTCATAGTATGTGGGATCTAACTGATCTTGGCTTTCGTGATTCCTGTTCTTAAGCATGCCCTGTTCTTCTGTCTCTGCCCGCCCCCTAGTTTTGTCCTACCAAAGCTGAAGCCAGGAGGAGTGCAGCAAAAATTGCACTGATGAATTCAGTGTTCAATGAGCATCCGTCCCGGAGAATCACAGACGAGTTTATTGAGAAGAGTGTCTCAGAGGCTCTGGCATCTTTCAATGTGAGTGCTTTTCAAAGCCCTGCGGCTATAATTGGTGGGGACAGAATTGCTGGGAAGCATCACGACTCCATGGGAAGGGAAATTCTTTGCATCTGGAAACCCTTATTGGCAAGGTTTCTAAAAACTCTGGGAATGTCATCAAAATAAACTGTTAAACACCCACCCAGCCCATGCTCTCTTCTCTATTGAATGCAGAGCTTCTCCCAGTTGCATTTTTGTTAATTTGCCCTTGACACTTTCACTACACCCTGTGTGGAAGCTCTCTGGAGTACTAAACTGTTCTAATTCCAGAGCCATGCAAAAGCACACCAGAGTTTATGGGACAGCCTTGAGCAAATTGCTCTCACCTCACTCTTTTCTCTATAGTGGGAATAAAGCTTTTCAGTGTTGAGGAAAAATAGAATAAAGATCCTAAAGTGCTATGCAATTGTGAGATCATAGGTTTAATTACACTAGACACCTGTTTATCTGAAAATAAAGTTCATATATTTTTGTGTTTGATATCTTCTGCATTAATTACCTGCTTCCAGAAGGAGTGGCTCCAACTATCACCCAACCATTGCTTTTCTGCTGTAAATTACCAGCAAAATTAGAACTGCCTTTCTACACATTTGCTTTTTCTATGTATACATTCTGCTACATATAGAAGTAGAGTGCCACAGAGTTCTGTCCCAGGCCTAGTGGTGAGGTTATGCTCATTATATCTGCAGATGACACCAAACTGAGTGGTGCTGAAGGCATCTGCACACCTGTAGAGATTGTACTACTCTACTGCTCTATGGGTTGTGGGGGGAGTCCTGACTTTCTGTAGTCTGAGAATAGAGAAACCACAGGGGGGGAAACAGGGTGACAATATTTGGCTGATGCCCTGTAAAATGTATGACAATTCCTCTCTAAATGCCTAGTGTAAGCACTCAATGCTTGATTAATAAGACAGCAAAATGTATTGAAGTTCATTGCATATCTACACTCTAAACTTTTTGTTGTGTACATATTTAAGCACCAAATAATCTTAGGAACCATAATATGGTGACTAGTGGGGGTTTGGCTAAATTGCTAGCCATATTCTTGCTGAGCCACAGTTCTAGGGACTGGGAGTGTGAATGCCTATTAAACTAGATGAACTCTGGTTTAGTTATTTCTGTGTGAGTGTAACTGGAATGCCTGTTGTGTGGTGTGAGAAAGCTTATTTGTGAACCATCAAATTGAGACGTAAGAGTCATTCTTAAATAGCTTGTGTATCTTTCTTCAGCTGTCCTGCAACCCTAAGAAAATGGCTATGTTTACATGTTATGCTAAACCATGGATTAGTGCTATGTGTGTGAGCTGGAATGAGCCTGAGCAAAGCCTTGAGCTTGTGAATTCACCCTTCCCTCTCTTTTTCGGGTATGGACAAGAGACAGAGTTTGCCAGTGTTTCAGTTTCTCTTAATCTCAGTATTGTCATAGTTTGTTTATTTATATACAGCTTTCCCCACAAATACATTTCACTCAGAGCAGTCCACCAAGACTGCCCTGTCTGAGAAAGAAGGATGTCTATTAAACATCACACCCTTGCTTGTATCCAAATGCTGTGGAAATACCTCTTTAGAGGTCTGTCTGCCCTAAGCTCCTTGAATGTTTGTCTTTCTTGCAGGGCAATAGAGAAGAAGCAGATAATCCAAGCACAGGCATTGGTGCTTTCCGCTTCATGTTGGAGTCAAACAAAGGAAAGTCCATGTTAGAGTTCCAGGTACTCTTTTTAATATGATTAATCATTCCTCCGGGGCCGGCACTACCATTAGGCAAAGTGAGGCGGGAGGGAGCTGCGGCAAGTTGTTGGGGAAGAAGAGGAGTGTGTGCCATGTCTGCTACCTTGTCCTAGCCTGTTGCCCTCAGGCCCCGTGGAAGACACATTCTCATTACCAGTATTAAAGTAAGATTTTTCTGCCAGCCTGATCAATCTATGTACATGGAATGAGAGGTAACTCCGCCTTGTACTTTGCCACAGGCAGCAAAATGTGTTGGGCCAGCCCTTCATTCCAGCCTTGTGTGCTGTATGCATACTGGGACCAGTCAGGCTGCATTAAAATAAAAAAAGGCCTATTAAATGCAAAGTAGAAAGGGAACCCAAGTGGTTTAGTAATGCAGTATTTTTTTCCAGTTCAGACACACACTGCTGAGCAGCAGAGGGCTTAATTTGCTACAACTCAGGAAGATTAATATTTTAAGACTAACACCTCTGCAGTTAGCTTTAAAATAGGTACTTAAGGGATTAAAGCATGTAATCAATTGGGCAGTAGAATGAAGTGATAGCTTTTGAATTTCTTACCAACTCTAAATCCTCAATCTTGTGACAATTTAAGGAATTTATGCTTTGTATTTATTCTGCTTTTAGGAGGAGAGAAATTTGTCTAGTTCTGTCACTCCCTCTCCCTCTCCCCCCCCGACCACTTCAGAATTGTTAAGAGTTGTGATGGAACACTTAATTATTTTTCTGCCTGTTGTAGCAGTTGTAATGCACTGTGCTAGGTGCTATATGATTTTTCATTTTCATTTTATTGCTTCTTTTATTTCTTATTGATGGTGTTTGAATTTTGTAGAATTCACATTGTAATACAATAAAATGCAGTATAAGAAATAAAAGAAGCAATAAAATTAATAATTAATATGAATATTTAATGTGATGGATGTGCCGTCCCCCTTCTTCAACCAAAATCTACAGACATGCTGTGGACTACCTGAATCAAGCTTATGGGCCATTGGTGGCCCATGGACCACAGTTTGAGAACCCTACCTCTAGTTTATACTGTAGTGGGACTTGAAAGCTTAGTGTCTGTGAATGGCAGAGGTATCATGCAGGATGCTTAAGCAATTAAACCTTAAAGTGCACTGATGGAATGTGAACGTTGCTTATTGTGTGTCTAGGAAGAAATCTCTGATGATCACTCTGTGCTAGCAGCACACTGAATAGACAATAGAGAGACATTATGTCAAGGGAAAATTGGGCCCCAGAGTTTCACTGCTAGGGGCTGGAATGGAGCCAGATTTGTTTTTTTCTTTTTCTTTTTGAAGGCAGGTGCCTCAGCCTGTGACTGCAAATCAGCTTCCCTGGTGCTGATGTCTCCTTCTCTAGTTATGATAACATTGCAGTAGGTTAGCAGAGCAAGGTTTATATTAGTGGCCCTGCTTATACAGAGTGACTCAGTTGGTTATGTATTACCTCCTGCTCTTGCTGTATTTATGGACCTGCCTGCCTGCCTACGTGAGGGAGGTTTATGGGGTAGTTTTTGGCCTGAGGTTCTGCTGGCCTTCATGCAGTTTTGTAGCTCTAGGATTCTTAGTGGTACATGCACATAGAAGACCCAAACCATGAGAATCCCTGACGGTCTTCACAGTCCTTCTGTGTAAGTGTCAGGGTATTTTCCCAAGGCAGCTGGAATGGTTCTTCTAGGCAACAGGCTTGCATTGTCTTGAACTCTATCATGCTGCATTTTTTGCTAGCCTCCTGGGACATACAAAAGGCCTTTGTAAGAGCTGGGATTTTCACCCATGGCGCTGTGATCCCTCTGCCATATGACACTGTTTTGGAGAAAAACAGCTGGGGAACAGTTAAGCTGGCACTCAATCCCTCTCCCCACCCCAAATACAAAAACTTAGAACAGATTTGTGGAGGCTCTTGGCTTTTCTTTTATTAGGGGCAAATGCACTTAGTAGAATTCTGCCAATAATTTTGGGTGATACCAATTTTTTTAAAAAATGTTTTTATTTATTTTCCATGGTACAGAACATACATTCTGAGAAAACAATTGTTATAACAGTAAACAACAAACAACTTGTTCCGATATGATTATTACATAGCATGACAAAAGTCTGAAAAGTTTCTTTTTATTATTCTAAAAGATCATGCCACAACGCTATTGACCATACGCTGGTGTACCAAGAATTGAAGTTAAGCCCAACATCTGGCTAAGTGGTCATAATTAGGGTAATCTTGGGTAGACAGGATAGTAAGACCAAGTAGTGCTAGTGCATGATGTATTTCAGTGGTTTTGTTACATATTAAGCTTACTTCTTTGAATATATTTTAATTATATCGCAAAGCCACCACATATGGAAATACGTACTTTTGACTGTGCACCCCCTCCAACAATTAGGGTTGACTTCCTAAGATATTTGGGATAGCCTCACAGATGTATAGTGCCACTTATGCAGAAGTTTTAATGAGGATTCCGATTTTTGCATAAACCAATTTCAACGGTATCTTGGACCACAAAGCTGTCCACTTTTCATTTGCTATTTGTGCTTCTATGTCCATCTCCCACAGCGTTTTTGTGTACAAAAGATTGCTACATTTTAGGTTTATTAAAGCTTTATAAATTGAGAAAGCTATACCCTTAGAGAATGGAGAGGGTTGGGGGACACCAATTTTATGTATTTATACCCCACCCGTCAAAATCTTTCCCAGGGTAGTTTACAGACAGTGGTAATCATACAAAAGTACTGTATAAAATAATTAAGGCATACAATAAAACACAAACAATCCACAGTCTAAAAGCAGCATAAAGCTGATAAACATGGATTTATAATTCAGAGTTTCAAAGGCCTGGGAAAAGCAAAACATATTTCCCTGTTGCCAAAACGACACCATAGCAGGCAGGCACCCTGTCAGCCTCCCCAGAGAGAACATTTCACAAATGGAGCACCACAGTTCTGAAGGCCCTTTTCTCTAGTCACCACCCACTACATCTGTAATGATGGAAGCTTAGAGGAGGGCTTCCAAATATGATCTCATGCAGTTAAGTTCTTTTAGAGAGGGCAATCCTTCATTCTGACTCCTCCCTGTGAATGGACTGAAAGGAAAATCCCAACACTTTGGCTAGGGCCTGGAACGGACTGGGATCCTGCATGGGTGTCTCTCTTCTTCTCCAGTGCCTGGTCACTGTTAGTGCGCTCACAGCTGTATTTTGAGTTTCCACACCATTTTCAAAGGCAGCTGCATGTACAATGCTTTTTCAGTAGTCTAATGGACAAGGCTACCAGAACATGGTAAACTGAGGCTTGGCCATCTTGGTCTATAACAGGTAGCAGCTGGTGCACTAGAACTCCATGCCACAGAAGCAGGCAACCAGCAACTCCAATAACAAGTATGGTTCTATGAGCATTCCCAAATGGTGGTCCTGCTTTATTAGACAGAGTGCTGCCTAAGTAGATTTAAGCACCACCTTCATAGATGGATGAACTATCCATTGCCAACAACACCTCCATTTTGTCTGAATTGACCTTGTTTATTCACCTTTATCCAGTACATTACAGACCCCAGGCAGTGGTCAGTGCTTCCAGAGTCTGATGAAAAAAAGAAACAGAGTTTGGTGTCATCCCCATGTTGACGATGCCTCGCTCAATATTTTCATGTAGATGTTAAAAGAGTGGGTGGGTGGGAGCAAGATTAAGCCTTGTGGGATGCCTTAGAGCTGAGCCATAGTAGGAGGTGAAGGTATCTTTTTCTCTCTCAGAACATCTAGTTACACTTCCTCTGAGAAGCATTTCACCCATCAGTGGACATCTCTTTAATTTCCTTCTCTTTGCTTCATTAGTGTTGAAACAGTGCTTAAAATTGGACTGCTTTCCTTTGGCAGGAGCTGATGACCGTCTTCCAGCTGCTGCATTGGAATGGCAGCCTCAAAGCCATGCGAGAAAGACAGTGCTCACGACAGGTAAGCAGAGCTGCAGATGGGATTCCTGAACCTTTGGACTGACAATCCTGTCTTCTGTGTGGGATTCATGTGGCTGGCAGTGGATTCTCCCAATGCAGTATGGGAGGGTGAACCCAGGTGTAACCCATGAGCGTCTTTGTAGTAAAGGCTTTAATATGTCGCCACTTGCCTTCAGCACAGGCTGGGTAAGCTTCCCTATTCAACAGAGTTTATTTGAGCATACTCACTTGGGTTGTCATGGGGCTAGTGAATTTCCAGGCAGGCACACCAACAAGAAGTGATTGCCTAAGCTTTCTTGTTGCTCCAGCCCTCACTACTGCATCTTAGCCATGTCTATCTGTGCCAATCAATTTCTGTTTGCCCAGTCTTCTTTGAAGTCCCGCTTAAAGTATGCACCATCATCTCAGTGGCAGATGGGCTGGTCGTAGTGGTTCCTCTGTGGTTGGTCCCTGCTCATTCCATTCCACTGCCCTGGTATTTGGGAGACACTAGTTTCATCAGTCAAGTGCTCATCTGCTGATCTCTCTCTCTCTCCCTCCCGCTAGGAGGTGTTGGCTCACTACTCTCACCGTGCTCTCGATGACGATATAAGAAACCAGATGGCAATGGACTGGGTCAATCGGGAGCAAAATATCCCAGGGGCTCTTTCAAGGGAGCTGGCCTCAACAGAGCGGGAATTGGATGAAGCCCGGCTGGCTGGGAAAGAGCTGCGGTTCCACAAGGAGAAGAAAGACATTCTGATGTTGGCAGCTGGCCAGCTGGGGAACATGCACTCTTCCAACTGTTGAGAAACCCCAGAGAGCTGTTCTGTTTCCCCTTCCCTTCCCTACACTCTCACTTCACAACCAACTTGCTAATGGGGTGTGACCTAGAGCTTGTTACAAAATTGAAGGGGGCAAAATGTCCAACCAAATTCTTCTAATTGGCTTTCAAATTTTTCTTACGTTATTAGTCATGTAACATGCTGTTTGGATTTTGGATTTTTAAGTCTAATCTGGTTGTAGATTGTTGAGATTTGGCAAGTGAATAACCTGTATCGCCAAGCAGATAGATACACCCACCCCCTACTTTACTTACACACAAACACCATTTTTCAATATACTTCAGCCAGAGAGAAATATCTCAAAATCTGAATGTTGAAACTTGGTCAGGTTGAGTTTGTTCATAATTGAGCTTCAGTTCTAACCTGAATCACATCACTTAAAGAGTGTGCACAGATGCCTCTTTTTGAAGAATAGGGGCCCATTTGCACATTTTAAAAACCTCTTTGCTAAAAAAAAAATTCTGTATAGATTTTATAATGTACTTGGATATTCTTAGTTATCTTTTTTCTCTTTGGGATAGAGAATTTCTTATTGATTCACTTTAGAGCACATTTTTAAATGTAGCCTTTTTAGTGTTAAATATACTAATACTCATTTAGTCCTCAATTCTATCCAGGTACTATACAGTATTAAGTGGAAATGTAGCATTGCCAAGAGGATACTAGTTTTGCCATGGATATAAGGCATAAACTGTATGTTAGGCAAATGTATTCCTGCAGTTTATGTAGTTTGATACACTCCTTTTCCCCTTGCCACCTGATAAGCACAGCACTTAAAACACACCTCTTCACTGCTCTCGAACTACTATTAAGGTTTTTATTTAGTTGGTTAATGGCATCTTGTTCTAGCTGGTGTCTTGATTGCAAGGTTCCACAGAGTTTGAGCAGTTCCCTATTGCTGCAAGGGATGGGGTGTATCTCGTCATAGTGGCTGCATTTGCGCATCACTGTGTAAACCGTAGTTAATGGCTGGCTGTCATGTCACTCCTCCCCTAGCACAAGTGGGAGCAACAAACCACAATCTCTGACATAGCGTTACATTTGAACCAGAGATACTGGGTTGCTTTTCTCTCTCATAAGTAAAATACAACTCATCTAGTTGCGCTTCATGAATGAATTGCGTTCATGCTTGAGTCGCTTAAAGGAGCTTTCCAGGTTGTAGAGATTTGAGTTCACTGTGGGACATTCCACGCCAAATCACCTGGTGCCATGTGCTCTCACGACTCAGATTTTCTTCAAAAAAATTTTATGTGTAGATACCTATGAGATAACCTCAAATTAGTATTTTAAGATTTTTTTGATCCAAAATTGGGCGCAGGAGAATTTTTGACATTTTTGATTTTCGCACAATTTAGGCTAATGCACTTTCTGCATTAGTTTAGAAAAAACCTCCTGTTTTGCTTATTTTTCAACCGATTGGGCTTATTTTGGTATCAAAATAAAGCTAATTGTGGCCTCTTTAAAAATAAGGTATAAAAATGGTATCAGGTGCCACAGAAAAGGGTCACCAACCATCCAAAGTGAATTTTTGTCATTTTACTTCTGGTAGGTTCAATAAGCCATAGCGCGCAAACCACAACTGACACGTGTATCAATCTTGAGTCGTGAGAGCATGGTTGAGTGTTAAAATCAGGTGATTTGGTGTGGAATGACTCCTTTATAATGAATCTTAATGATGAGCTCCCAGCCTTTGGCATTTTAGTCTCTCTCTGCTTGCCTCTTGCAGGGAAGGAAGATAGATGACGTGTTGTTGCTAAGGTGCTCAGCTGATTTAAAAGAAAAAGCCCTGACTCATTTTCTTTCCCTGCTAGCTTCAGCTTCTTGATGAATGCAGAATCATAGCTGCCAACGTTTCCCTTTTTATAAGGGAAATTCCCTTATTCCGAATAGGATTCCTCCCAAGAAAAGGGAAAAGTTGACAGCTATGTGCAGAATCCTTTGATTGGGTTGCAGATACCATAGGCTTATCTTGAGTCAAAGGGGGAAGCACTACTTTGTTGTTATGGTTGTGTTTGACCTTCATATCAGAGCGCTGGATTCAGTTGGTGCCTCAGAGGGGTCTACTTCCATGATTTGCTTCTGTGAACTGTGATGTGTGCAGTCCACAAATCATGCTATTTTGGTTCATTTCCAATCGAGCAGCCTCCTGTGTCTTGGGAGACTGCATCGGCAGAGTGCTCTGTGAGTTAGCCTGTCACACAATAGCTAGAGCTACTTGTTTGTAAGTGAAGAACTGTGATTGTGCAGCTGCAAGGAGAAATGCCTCTTTGTTTGAGCAACATTAGAAAGTTACAAAAATTTGTAGAATACAAACTTTATATATGTATGCACTTTTATATAAAAAAGAGAGACTGAAACTAGGAGCAGGACTCTTAAATAGCAATACTGACTATGTATATAGAGAAAGTTGCTTGAAGCTTCCGAGACAGAAGTGCTCTGCAGATCACGTGTAATATGAGGGAAAGCTGATGTAGATGTAAGGGGGAATCATGTCAGCCACCCAGAAGCCAAGATCACTCATCTGCACTGTGAGGAGAGCATTGCGTGTTCTGTGTCTGACTTTGTCACATCTGCCTGGTAAAGAACTGCCTTCCAAAGCACACCCTTAAGATTTGGGACTAAGACAGTATCATGAACTAGCAAAATGTGATGTTTAAGGATTAAAGGGGGGAAATAAAATAGGTTACAGAGGAGGACTAGGCCTCTCAAGAGTGCTGTGTTGTGACACTTTTGAATAATCTTCCTGATTAACAGTGCAATCTAAGGAAGTCCTGTTGAGTTCAGTGGGGTTTGTTCCCCTTTAAGTGGGTACAGGATTGTAGCTCTAATTGAGCTTGCTTGAGATAATTTTGTTACCACCTAACACTTAAATATCCTAAGTTGATACAGTAACAGTACTACTTCCAATTTTCAGTGCGTAATTTGAGGTGAAATTGGGGTTATAATCTACTTTATTGTGAACACAGAACTAGGGGGTGACAGTTACTTCCAGGTTGATGCTAAATCCAGTGGAATCTTTTGTGTACATGGCATTGACTTTATTTTTAAAATTGCGTAAGGAAAATAGCAGTAGTGGTGATTCTGACTCGGAGCTTTATGTAGTTTACTTACGGGAGGTGGGAAGCTATCCAGAAGCACAACTGTAGGACTGTGTGACTGGGGAAGGGGAGTATTGGGCTAACATTAGTGCCATTTTGAGTGTTTCCTACCCCAGATTTTCAGGGTCTGACTTGTCATCAGACCTGTTGCACCTTAACCCATGTGCAACAGCATTCCTGTAGCCTTGGGATTAATTGTCATGGTTACACTTTAAAAACACTTCACTATTTACAGGGTAGAATAAGAGTTTAATCAGAACATCCTTGATGTTGCCTTTCTGGTCTTGACATTGGGCATGGAAGATTATTTGTAGCTGGAGGGAATGAGGAGAGGCAGAAGACAGATAATGCAAGGCATTAGCTTACCCTTACTGTGAACAAAGATCTTGGAACCCATTGATTCTTTCTACTGAAAGGGAAAATAGCCTGGCTTCCTGCAACACCATCCTGGAAGTCATTTTGTGTTATAATGTGTTTATAGTAATTCTTCTATCTCAGAAGATAATCTTCCAGGGTATTGTCACCAGGAATGATGGAGCTAGATGACCTGTGCACTCGGACTATATTTTAACTAGAACATGCCCTTGAATTGTTCCTGCCTTGATCAATTTGCCTTGTTCAGCACTCAAAGGGCAAAAGACATTTAGTAGAAAAACAGTCTCAGCGCTGACAGCTGTATATAGCAACACATGGTTTGTGATAGTATTGTTGAGTCCTTTTATACAGTAATTAAAACTGACAGGCCCTTGCTTATAATTGTATCTTATAAGAGATTGGTACAAAGTGAAATTGCTGTCTGGGGCCCGAGAGCCACAAAATATTTGAACCAACGTCAGCAGGTAAAACACCAGATTGCTTCCCCAAGGTTTTTTGTAACTTTCACATGCATACCAATCCTCACAACTGGCATCTGGGTCCTAAAAGAATGGTAGTTCTGCAAAATGTGGGTGAGGAGAAAGGGGTGTGTCAGCTGTTAATGCACTTCTGTGTCCTTTGTGTGCTGCTTAGGAATGCAGTTGTATACAGGAATAAGAACTTGGTGCTTCAGGAAGTGTGGGTAGGATGCTCTGAATTGGGCATTAGAAGCTGAGGACAAGACACACACAGAGAGGGATCCAAGTTAAGTCATGACTAAGCTGGTTTGTTGGTTTCAAGTAGACATACTAACTTAGTCTAGATACAACTCTATGTGTACAGGATTATTTTCCACCTGGCAATCACCTTACTGAAGCTGAGGGCCTTTAGTCTCTTAGCCAGATGGTGTATAAGCAGGTGTATAGTCCTTCAGTGAGGCTTTGCAGTCAGACTTCCAAACAGTTACTTCATAACTGTGGGAACTCAGACTACCACTCTTAGAAAGGGAGAATAGACAAAGGGCTGCAGAAGATATGTGGAGATGGTAGTTGTTCCATAGGGAGCTCAAGAAGTGGCATTATTTTGGCCTCCACACTATGTCCATTTGTATACCTGAAATAATAAATCAGTCTTGTCCTTTATATATATATTTTTATATACAGCTTTGTTTACACAATAGTATTAATGTTGAAATGCATTTATAAAGTTGGCTTATAAATAATCCTTTGACAGTTTGTATATGAATGTCTCACTTGCCTCACTTACTACTTTCTATTAGAAACAAACTATGTACAGGGTTTGAGTTTTTCCTTTCCAAACATGTGGCTCTTGAATTTTCCTTGCGGAGAGACCTGCCTACAGATGTTTGCCTCTGGGCAGGCCCCAGCTGTCACCTATAACCTGATTCCCCACATCCCCTCCTTTTGGTGCTGGTTTTCTGAATAAGCTGCCTTCCTCCTCATCCTCCTCTTCATTCAATATTTCTACTGTCCAGGTTTTCAATGCTGTTTTTTTCTAGTTCAGAGGTTACTGTACCTAAAATAGTTCTACATACTGTCTGCCTTTTCTTTTACTATAAGCGATAAAGTCCAGTACTTAATTTTGTAATGCCTAATTTTATACAATAAAATAGCATTTTTTTGAATCTCTGCTCCCCTTGGTTTTTTCCCAGTTAGAAATTCTGCCATTAGAGTTGTCCCCAAAGCTTGTTCTATCAACAGGTTAGAGCCTAATCTGTTAGTTCTCTCTCCCTTCCCCCACCTTCTTAATGATAAGCCTTTGCCATTTGGCTGCAAGAGCTTAAGAGCTCCAGACATCATCCTGTCTGCAAAATTAGTGCATGGATTGATAGTCTAGACTAGAGCATGGGTAGGCAAACTAAGGCCCGGGGGCCGGATGCAGCCCAATCACCTGTCAGCATCGCCCTTGAGCCAGTGCCACTAACTGGACTCATCCACTTCAACCCCAACTGGGCTAGGCGAGCTGGGTAGCACTTCCAGAGACCACCTTCTGCACAGGAACAGGTCAAAGTGCTGTGGACTCACAGCTTAGTATTGTGAGCACCGGATTCACTCCCACAAGAAGACAGTAGTCGCACAGCAGAGTATAGCAGAGCATAAACGACTCGGAGAGCAGCTCTGTAGAATATTTTCTTTATTCTATCTACAACTATACAAACTATATACAGAGCTAAATGAGGTCTAAGCATAAATGAATGCTGAACTGCACTGAGTGTCTGCAGCTGCTCTTAGCAGCAACCTTATCTATACACACGATCTCTAATACTCAGTCTCTCTCTCTCCGACACACTGACTGACTGACTGATGTTAGGCTGGAGCGGAATAAGTAGAGAGCAGAACACCGCCCCTCCTCTCTGGAAAATCACCAGACTCATCAGCAGATTCTTGGATATGGGAGGGGTGAAATCTCCTCATCACCTAAATCTGGCCCGCAGACGGTCCGGGAATAAGTGTGTTTTTACATGAGTAGAATGTGTGCTTTTATTTAAAATGCATCTCTGGGTTATTTGTGGGGCATAGGAATTCATTCATTTCCCCCCTCAAAATATAGTCCAGCCCCCCACAAGGTCTGAGGGACAGTGGACCAGCCCGTGCTGGAAAAGTTTGCTGACCCCTGGTCTAGAGTGGCATTGACATTCAGGAATGGTTGCCCTCTGTCACTCTTCCTAAATGCATGATCTTTTTTCTTGCAGTGAAAGGGAATGCTTTTGGGTGCCCTTCAGTTCTTTAAAACATGCTTCTCCTGGAGATGGAAAAGGGGGAAATTACCCCTTCCTCAGCACATTTTTTCCTTGGATTTTGAGCTGCATCAGAGGAGCACATGAAAGGTCTAGTTCTTTCACATTAGAAGTCTGTGCTTCCCCCCACCTCCAGGGGCTAAAAGTCATTTAACTCATCTTGCAATATATTCCCCTTACAAATAACGCTTAAAGCTCATCTACCTCTCATCTTCCCTTGGTCAAGGTATTTAATAGCCAGCTGTGTAGTACTGTTAGGTACTCATCCAAAAATGAAAAAATGGCTTTCTACTCATGGCTGTGGGACTTGCTTATAAATCAAAAGATTGTCAAATTCCTTTGCATTATGCAAATTATTTGCCTGTTACGCTAATTTCTCTAACTCACCTGCACACTTGTTTATTGTGCTTATTTCCCAACTTCTAAAAAGCTCTAGTTGGCATACACATAGTTCTTCCCATTTTATCCTCACAACAACCCTTTGGGGGTAGGCTACTGGCCCAAGAGCACCCAGTGCACTTCGTTATCGGGTGTGGATTTGAACCCTGGACTCCCAGGATCTAGTCAGGCAATTTAACCACTGCGCCACACTATCTGGAAAGATAGCCACGGGTAGGGCCCTTCAGAGTCCCCTTCTCCGTGTTAAAGATCCCGTTCAGTCTTAGCCACACCCCTCACCCTCATTTTACAAGCTGGAGCCCTCTGCCCGCCCTATTTCTCTTTTGGCCCTTCTTCCCACGAGGCCTTGCAACGCTCCTTCCGCCGTCGTGCTCGTATAGCGCCGCAAAGACCTCCTCAAGATGGCGCTCCACGCTCCCTCCTCCCTCCCGCGCTAGAAGACTTCTCCCCAGCCGGCTCATCTGCGCAGGCGCTGAAGTAGCCCTAGCTGCGTAGAGACCTCCTCAAGATGGCGCTCCACGCATCCTCTTTCCCCGCTTCTTCCCAGAAGCGGGCCTTCAGCCAACCCATCTGCGCCGGCGCCGAGCTCTCCCGGCGTGCACTGCGCTGCTTCCGTCGTCAGGCGGGCGGCGAGATTAGCTCCGTCAGCCGAGGAAGACGCTCGAGTGGCCAAGATGGCGGACGTACTGGACCTTCATGAGGCGGGCGGCGAGGACTTCGCCATGGACGAGGATGGCGACGGTAGGGAGGGGGGGGGCTGATGAATTCTGACTTTGCTTCTCCCCAGTATTATTAGTATTAACGGTTAATTTAATTCACTAGTCACAGCAGCCCTGTAAGGTAGGCCGGTGTGACCATTTCCTATATTGAGTAGAGGGTGGTGACGGTGGCGCTATCGTTTAGATGAGAAAGATGGAACGATTTATATACCGCTTGATCAAAATAAACAGCACCTTGAGGTGTTGAAGGCTTGAGGTACCCATTTTTAGGACCCTCCTTGTTTCTGTAATTCCAATAACTGCTTTTAATACTGTGTTTTTGTTGCTGTAACTCGCTCTGGGACCTTGGGGTGAAGGGCGAGTGAATTAGTAATAAAATACATGGCTGAGGCCCTAGAGACAGAAGAAAGCAAGCGCTTGGAACAGCCCCGCATTGTAGTCTACTATTATTACCCCTACTTTGCAAAAGAGTCTGTCGTGGACTGCCCCCCCCCGCCCCCGCCCAAGGCTGCACTGTATTGTTAGGAGACCTTCACAGCCCTGTACTGTATCCTTGTTTTGTAAAGGAGGGAAGCTGAGGACAAAGAATAAAAGTTTTACCTAAGGCCAGTTAGTGAGTTTCGTTTGCAACAGTAGCCAATGTGGTGCCCTCAAGATGTTGTTGGACTGCAACTGCAACATCCGGAGGCCACACATGAACCTTTTAGGAAAGCTTTCCTTGCAGGGTGGCTTACAAGTAATAGACTAATTACAATACAGTGGTGCCTCGCAAGACGAAATTAATGCGTTCTGTGAGTTTTTTCGTCTTGCGAAGCACGGTTTCCATTTTTTCAAAAAAGTCTTCAAAAACCTCAAAAAAGGCTACCACACCGCGTGCTATGAGTTGCTCCTCGAAGTCAAGTCGCAACTGCACCTCTTCAAGCAATGCACCCTGTATTACTGTAACGGTTTTAAGAAAAAGGAAACAAACTTGCAAGACGTTTTCGTCTTGCGAAGCAAGCCCATAGGGAAATTTGTCTTGCGAAGCAACTCAAAAAACCAAAAACTCTTTCGTCTTGCGAGGCATTCGTCTTGCGAGGTACCACTGTATAGAAAACACATGATTAAAAACTTAAGAACATGCTAGCTACAATACAGTAGGTAACAGGTCCATGCTAAATATTGAAACAGTTATGCTATACTTTCCCAATACATTCCTCTACTTCCTTCCGTGGGTTGATTCTGGTGTTGTTTTCTTCCCCAACCCCATTTCATTAGTTGTTTCCCATCTCAGTGGTTTAAGGCAGCCTTTGCTGACCTGGTGCCCTTCAACTACAACTCCCAGCCAGGTGGGTGAAGGCTGGAATAAGCTGCATCTCGCTCAAGGTTTCCTCCACTCCCAGGCAACATGTGTACATAATGCCTTGGATAGGGCTTGAGAGTGCATGCAGGTAGAGACATGACACCCATTTAGATAGTCACTTTGACCCAGCCTGTTTGATCTCTCTGCAGAAAGCATCCACAAACTGAAGGAAAAAGCGAAGAAGAGGAAAGGCAGAGGGTTTGGGTCAGGTAAGGTGGCTGCCTCATATATGTTGCTTAGATGTGTGTGTTTATCTCAGAGGTTACGTTATTCGATTGTCTTCCCTTCTTTTGCCTGAAAAATATCAGTGGCAGTACAGTGGAACCTCATGTTACGTACCATCCTCCTTACGAATGCTTCAGGTTACGAGCTCCGCTAACCCAGAAGTAGATGCTCCCGGTTGCGAACTTTGCCCCGGGATGCAAGCTGGAGTCGCGCGTCGGTGGCGCGGCAGCAGTGGGAGTTGCCATTCGCAAAAGCGCGCCTCATGTTAAGAACGGTTTCAGGTTACAAACGGACCTCTGGATTGAATTAAGTTCGTAACCGGACGTACCACTGTATTGCCAGTTGCTTTGATCTGCCGTTGGTTGCCACGGGGATCAGTGGGCTGCCAGTTAAAGCTGGTCTTGCTGGGTAGCCAGATTTTGTTCTTACCACTGCCCTTAGAGGAAAGGGCACGGTGTTGTTGCCAACCTCACACTGAGTTTTCTCCATAGCCCTGTATAATTGCCCTCAAAGCAGAAAGGGTGTGCTCAACACTCATGCTTAGTTTCCAACTTGCCAGAGTGCAGGAATCACATTCATTGCTCCTGGACAGCTGCAACAGCCAGAAAAAGTGGACAGCCTTATGAGCAGGCTCTCAAGCTGTGGCTGTGAGGGGAGGTGGCTGCTTTCTGGGGGAGTTACTCTGTGGAGTGTTTGACCTCCGGGGGAAGCATTGGAAAGCACAGGGTTGTCATTTTGGAGGCACTCAGAGCCCCTTCCCTGAAGGAGTTTTATTAGGGAACATCATTGCAGGTGCTTCAGAGGGGATGACTGTGCAGAGTGCTATACTTTCTAGTTATTGGGACTAAGGATGTGAGATCTGGGTTGTGGTATCCCTGAGGGTGAAGCCTGGGGAAAGCTGTCTCTGCTGCTGATGTGTAATTACATGCCATTAACCTAAAATAAGGGTGTGGGTGTGTTGGGAGGGTTCCACAGCACCGTTAGTGCTTTCTAAATCATATTCTGGTTGCTTTGTTTTTTGTTTCTTTGTGTGTTGGTGCATACAATCAGAGGAGGGTTCCAGAGCCCGTGTCCGTGAGGATTACGACAGCGTGGAGCAAGATGGGGATGAGCCGGGTCCCCAGAGATGTGAGTACGTGTCCAGAGAGCATGTTCTCTCTCCCATGTCCCGCCCACCCTAATTGGCCAATGGTAACCTCTCTTTCCTTTGCATGGGGCAGCCCATGTTGAGATGTGTTCCTCCAAGCACAGCTTATGACTCTTTTTTTGTCCTGCTCTTCGTTGTTACAGCGGTGGAAGGCTGGATTCTCTTCGTCACGGGTGTCCACGAGGAGGCCACCGAGGAGGACATTCATGACAAGTTTGCAGAGTTTGGGGAAATCAAGAACCTCCACCTGAATCTTGACCGGCGGACAGGTTACCTGAAGGTACAGGGGTGTATGCTTTTGTGTTCTTTCTGGACATAGTCAAGGAACACACCTTAGTAGTGCATTGCTATAACTACCAAAAGCCTCAGATCTTCTCCCTGTGGCAGCAGGCACAGATAGGTTCTAGAAGCTGGGGGAGTGGGAGCTATCTGCAGGTTTCTCAAAAGAGCCATGGGACATGCACAAAAGGCATTGAAAGGAAAGCATAAGAAGAGGAGGTTGCTTTTGTCAATATGTTGTTGCATTTTGTCAGCCTTATTTCTTGCCAGTGTGCTTGTCAGTGGTGAATCCTGCTACAAATAAGGTGTCCTGGGATCAATCAGTTAGTCTGACCAGGGGAAGTTTGTTCAGACTGCAGTAGTGGAAGAGAAGGAAAGCAAGGACTCTCCATCAGTTCAACTGAGAGACCAGCAACTTTTGGCACCTAGTGCTCTTGAACTGTTTCCCATTCCATCCAGTTGTTAAAATAACTGTATGACTAAGAATGTGAGCCTGAGTTTGCCCTTTTCCTTCTCCTTCTTGCTCTCTTTTCCTTCTGTATTATGTCCTTTAGATTTGGCTGAAGAACAGTCTAGAAACCCTTCCAATAAATGTTTGAGTGAATTATGTTTCTTCCCCTGAACGTCCTCGTATTTTACAGGGCTACACCCTGGTAGAATATGAAACATACAAAGAAGCCCAGGCAGCCATGGAGGGACTGAATGGACAAGACCTTATGGGGCAGCCGATCAGCGTGGATTGGTGTTTTGTCAGGGGACCTCCGAAAGGGAAGCGAAGGTGAGATTTTCCCATGAAGAAGTGGGACGAAATTGTACATTTTTTGTCACAGTGAGCTAAAAGGTGGTGCTTACAGCAAACTAATAATACTACAGCTCTTTTTCTGTCTTCTGTATATGTTAAAGCAGGAAAGCTAAGATGAATTTAATCAAAAGATCTGGCTGTTGTCTGGGCCCCGTTAACCTGTTTTTGCAAAACAATTTGAACATAACGGAAGACACACTTTACATACCCTTTTCTAATTGTCCGTAGTTTTTTATGTGTTCTGTTTTTTGTCTTCATGATCTCTGAGACTCCCTGCCACTGTTCCCAATTTCAGAAAGGGAACTGAGTCAAGGCTGCCCAGTGGACTGATTATGCAGCACAAGCATGACCTGAACCCAGGGCTAAGGCACTGAGACTGATCGGGGGGGGGGGTCCTGTGTAATTGCATAAACAAGATTAAATTGCAAACATTTTTGGCTTTGGGGCCTGCCAGATTCTGGTCTTTTGCCAGCAGCAAGCTCTCTTCTTCATCTACCACTTCCACACTGTGCTTAGAGTTGCCCTCCGTTTGTGGCTTTGGGGCATGATAAATGGAGCGCAGTTCTCCAGCAGATACTTCATGAGCCCCATCCAGTCTTGTTAACTTTCTCAGCTTTTGCTTATGGAGAGAAACTCAGCATAATTTAATGGACCTCTTTGTCTCCTCTCTTTCCTCTCAGGGGTGGCCGTAGAAGGAGCAGGAGTCCTGACAGAAGGAGGCGCTAAAGGTGGGGAGGGAGGTTCTCCTTTTTGCGATGCTTGTGATGTTAAGTCCTGGCGAACCAGAAGGAAATGCCCATCTGCACTAAGAGACCATATGCTTACATCTTTTTCTCTCCCCCCCCCCCGGTTAATTTTGTATTTACACAGTTTGACTATTTCTTAATTACTCTCAATCTGATGTCTCAGTTTACATGAGATTTCCTGTTATTGGTGTCCTTGGACATACGTCCTCCTGTGTCTTGGTACAAGTCATTGTGCTTTTTAGTCTTTGAGAAGGGACTGTCTGAAAGCAATGTTCAGAATAAAAAGATAATGGACTTTTTTATATAAAACAATCCTTGCGTTTAACCTTTTTTCCTTTGCTTGGGGGATGTGTTCCAAGGTGGTGGGGCGGCTTCAGAGTGACTGTATTCTGTCACCTCCCCTTTGCTGGGCTGTTGGCCTCTTTTGTGGTTGGATTGTCAAGAGCATCCATAAAAATTCCCAAACTAGCCTTTTTTATCAGTCTGAAAAAGTTACTAGCCTGCTCACACTTTTCTACGTAAGTCCTTTGTGGCACATCAAAGGCCCGGGGGGGGGGGAGTACTAGGGCTCCACATGTTTATGTCACGCAAGTTTGTGTAGATTAGCAGGTTTTCATTTCTTTCCCACCACTTTCCTGGTGCATTTTTTTTAAAGCTTTTGGTTACAGAGCCAGAGAGAATGGGCTGGAACCAAGGGGGTAAGACTTCAATACCCCCATAGCATTCTGCCTGCTCACCACACTTCATCCTGGCTGCCAGAAGCAGGACAATATTTGTTCAAAACAAGGGTGCACACAATGTCCACAGCTGCCCTCATCTCATTTGTGCATTCATTTCTATTTATTTTATTACATTTTTATCTAACCTTTCCTCTAAGGAGCACAAGGTGGCATGTTTAGTTCTTCTGTTCCCCTTGTATCCTCTCAACAACCTAGTACAGTAGTTTAGGCTGAGCGGCTGGGCCCAGGGCCACCTAGTGAACTTCATAATCGAGTGAGGATTTGAACCCTGGTCTCCCAGGGCCTAGTCTGATGCCCTAAGCACAACACCACAGTGGTCCTCTTGTCATCTCATTCAAGGCAGAAAATCTGTCAGGGAAAAGATTCATCAGTCTAATTTGTGGAGCATTTTCTTTTTCTTCTGGCAGTCTCTTGAGTCTGCTGGTCCACTGGGAGAAAACCCTGAAAGCAGCCATAAAGTAATGCCTTTTCATTGTTGTCAACCAAAAACTGAAGAAGTGAGTGATTTTCCACAGCCCTCAGATTTACCTTCAGGCTGGATACCAAGTGGGGAGAAGACGATAGCGAAGAGAAGGACTAGGTATAAAGGGAAAACCCTTGATTCTACAGTCGAAGAGTCATCGCTCCTGGGGCATAGATTTTCCAAGGGAGAATAGTCCTTGCTTCTCTTGCCTCTTACAGCCTTTGGTGCAGTGTAAGATCCCTGTCCACCAATCATGGCTTTTAACAAAGACTTGAGCAACACCCTTTCTGTTTCATTTTGTAGAACAACTGCACAATTCTTAGCTGGGGAGCGTTTTCATCACATGCATGCCTGCATCCTTTTCTCTCCCGTCACTCTGTGCCCTTTCTTTTCTTTTGTGTCAAACTTGAAAGCTCATTCTCTTGTGATTTCAGTCCCTAACAAAGGTATTGGTCTCCTGTTACTGCTAGACTTACCAGTCAGCAGATGGTATTCAGGGGTGTATCCCCTCTGATAATGGAAGTGGTACACAGCCTTATCCTCCAAGAGTGATTAGCTGTGATTCCTGCATTGCAGGGGATTGGACTAGATGACTCCTGGGGTCCCTTTCTTATGGTTTTATGGATAAGCTGTTGATGAACAGCTGCTTCAATGAGGTGTCACAGGTAGCTTTTGGCCACTGGGTGGGGCTGTGGCTTTATTAGACCGAAACCATGCTCATTAGCAGGAAGGGATCTAGACATGTCTCCTGTTCCGTGCTTGATTGAAGTCACAGCATCTCCTAAAAGACAGCTAGAATGAAGAAAGAGCAGCCCGGTTCTAAATTGCTGGGAAGCAGATTTCAGACCACATGCAGCAGGAACTTCCAGATGGTGAGAGGTGTTCAACAACGGCCAACGAAGGAGAGCCTTCCACTTCCCAGGGGAGCTTGTTCTATTGCCTGTTCCTGCAGCTGCCTGTCTCAGCAGGGCAAGAGCCAGCAGAGGACTTTGGGTGAGTTGCAGGTGGCTGGAGCCAGGATCCTGAAGGAGGAAGGGATGCAATCCTTAGAGTGGATGGGGCTGCAGGGAGAGAGGGCAGGAATGGCTAGGATGCTGCGGGGGATTCAAGAACCCATTGGAGGTTCTGAGGCATCACAGCAGTGGGGAGGAGGACAGTAAAGTTGAGAGGCAATCGTCTCAGCAAAGGGCAAAGCCTCCAGGCATTTTATTCCCAGGAGAAGCTGGAGGCAGGGGTGGACTTTGGTAATATGGCAAAATTGATGACAAAATTTGGTGCCTCCCACTACATATTTCTTATTTTCATGCCCTCTGCCCTCTCACTTTCCATTCTGCGGCCCCTCAGCTCACCATCCTAAATCTGACATTTCTGGAGGTTAGCTATGCAGCTCAGTGTTAAGCTGTGGGACTCCCACTGGTGTCAGCCACCAACCTAGATAGCTCTGGAAGAGGTTTGGACAAATTCATGGAGGACAGGGCTATTGATGGCGACTTTAGCAGGGTAGGAGAGCTGGGCGGGGGGAATCACATCTGGCAACCAATGCAGCCCTTTGGTTTCAGATAGTACATGGGCAAAAGCCCAAGGCACAAATTTTCATAGCCCTCTAGCAGCTATGGTGGCTCATTTACCAGAAGTAATGCATTTTGTGTTAACTCTGAAAGTGCATACTCGCTGCTGACCAAACTAAGCCGCCTAGAGCACAACATAAATCAGAAGGCAAGTTAAATGTGCATAAGATGTGATTGTACCATATTACTATTCCTGGGCAACTGCCTTTTTCCATAGCTGCAACACTAGAAGAGAAAAAAGGGACAAGAGAGAGGGTGCCTCATTGAGAAAATATTCTGTATTTGTTGGTCAGAGATTCGGAGTGTTGACTATTGCCATGGAAGCTCCTCCAGAGCTCAAATTAGGCCGCAACCAGCCACCAAGACAATTTGCCACCTGTAGCAAAGGACAAGATGTCGCCTACCTTCCTTGTGCAGAAGTTGAGCTGACAGTTGTCTCTTACGCCGGTGCTTGTGACAAGACAGCAGGCTGGTTGGGACTGGCAGCTGCGTCCCCCAACACCTCCGCCTCTGAATAATTGGCACATGAGGCAGCTGCATCACTTTGCCAAACAGTAGTGCCGGCCTTCCACCCAACTCCCAGCAGTGAAAGCAAATCCCAGCAAGTGAGGTAATGGATCATGGTTTATCTATGTGTTCAAATGAAGCTCTCCGCCATCTTCTTCCTCTTCAACCCCAGCTTTTTGACCCTCGCCAGCGCCGATTCCGGCTTGTGCTTCTTGGGCTCCCTCAGCTGCCTGGCAGCTCCCCCGCTGATGGTGGAAGCTCGGAAGGAGCCGGTGAGCACGGAAGCTCCCTCCATCTCCTTTTCCCTCCGAGGGCAGCAGCAGGCCTGCCCGCTCTCTGTCCGGAAGTGCATAGCGAAGAAGCCGTAGATCAGGGGGTCAAGGCACGTGTTGAAGAGGCCAAAGAGGAAGAGAATGTGGCTGAGGGATGGGGGCACCTGCTCCCTGGTCAGCATCTCCGGGGAGAACCAGTACCACAGGCCGAGCAGGTAGTAAGGAGTCCAGCAGACGACGAAAGTCAGGACGATGACGGCAGACATCTTGAGGGTGCGCATGCGCACCCGAGGAATGTTGTTGTAGGAGCGGCGGAGGTGGAACTCCCTGGACTTTGGTGAACCTGGAGGAGGAGTAAGACGTTGGTGAGAGGCAAAAAGTAAAGGGTCTGGGGGAGTTGAGGAGTTGGAACATCCTGGCTGTGAGTCCTGCAAGACCTGCTCCCTTCCTTGCTGGCCTCCTTCCACCTTGCTTGGAGAGCTGGTCCCTGCCTGCCTGACTCCAGCTACATATGTTGAGGCTGTCAAAGAACCAGAAACCATCTTAGAATGCCTCTGGGCTCTTGGGGTGGGGTATTGTTGAGGGGTTTTTTAAAAAAAAAATTCATTTGGTTTTTCAAATTAAAATTTTACAGTCACACGTGCAACGTACAACATAAAAACAAGATTCCAAGGAATCTCTTGGACTTCCCTCCTCCCCTTTGTGGGTCCTATTGCTAGTCATTTCCTTCTGCATCTTTTATGATAATCCAAAATATTTTACCTCTCCATTGTGTCCAAAATTCACCGTTAAACTACAAGTGATATTCCAATCCTACTATTTACAATGGTTTTTAAGGTAACTTATGAATTTCCCCCATTCCTTCTTAAAATTTTGCTCTTCCTGATTTCTGATTTTTCCGGTCATTTTGGCATAATCCATCAACGTGATCTGCCATTCTTCTGTGGTAGGAACTTTATCTTCGTTCCATCTCTGGGCCCAGAGTTGTTGCGGGTTTTTTGTTGGGGTCACAGTTGGAGATGCTTAATTGATATTAAGATTTGCACCTTTATTTTTAAAACTTATAACTTTTAAAATCAAACTTATTGTTTGATTTTCTTGTGTATGCTTTGATCCTGTTTTATTTCTTGCATATGACTGTTTCTGTTCTATTTTTTGTAACTCTGTAAATCTTTCTGTGCTGTAAGCCGCCTTGAGCATGGTTTTAAATATGGAAAGGCAGCATACAAATAAACAGGGAGGAGAGGGCTTATCAATGGCTACTAGCCTTGATGGCTGTTCTCTACCTCCACCAATTGCAGGAGGGGAGGGTTCTGTGGTGCTCAGGTCCTGCTTTCCAGTTCCCCCAGGTTTCTGGTTGGCCACTGTGGGAACAGGATGCTGGACTAGATGGGCAGTTGGCCTGACCCAGCACGCTCTTCTTATGTTCTTATTAACAATTATTATTTATTATTAATTGAATTTGTGTACCGCCCTATACCCGGAGGTCTCAGAACAAAATCAAAATATAAAGCTACAAAATATATAATGAAAATAAAAACAACCCAATAACACCCCCACAAAAAACCCACATATTAAAAGGGCACATGATGTCAATCAAATCAACCAAAGGCCTAGTTAAAAAGGAACACTTTTGCTTGGTGCAGGCGTGGCCAAACTTGGCCCTCCAGCTACAACTCCCATCATCTCTAGCTAACAGGACCAATGGTCAGGGATGATGGGAATTGCAGTCCAAAGTTTGACCATGCCTGGTGCCTAAAGGTGTATAATGAAGATGCCAGGCAAACTTCCCTGGGGAGAGCATTCCACAGACAGGGAGCCACTGCAGAGAAGGCCATCCTCCGGACCTCTCCGGAGCCACAAATCCTTAGACTTCAGCTCCCATCAACCCTGACCAAGGACAATCACCCACCCCTTCTGGGGAGGTACCAGGAAGATAGTTGGTGCCCTGCAGGTTAACCTCACCGCAAGCTTTCTTCATCTTTCTCGAGATCTCCACGAAGATGCGGGAGTAGCAAAGGACCATGATTAGCAGCGGCAGGAGGAAGAGGCAGGAGAAAGTGAACATATTGTAAAGGGTCTCCTGCCAGTGAGCCTGGAAGCTCCCTACGGTGGCGCACTGGATGAAGTAGGTGGGCTGAGACCGGCTGACAGTGTGGAAGACAAACACCTGGAGACAGGACCGTGGGGGGGGGGGGAGAGAAAGAGAGAGATCCATCAGAGTGCTCAATCATCTAAAAAAATCCAGCAGGCATCTCAACGTAGTGGCTGCATTCACACAGCAGTTAATTCCATTTCCCCAACTGTTAATTCCCAGATTATATTTGGCTTTCACACAACTGTAAAAGCCACATCTGGAAAATTAACGGCTTAGCATCCATTTCCATTGGATTTGGTGGCGGGGGGGGAGCATTTACAGCCCCCCTTCACCCGGAAAATCGTGGGAGCAAAGTGACAGAATCTGGGGCAGGATACCAGCATGTGGATCTTTCATGTTTTTGTGGGGGAAGAGAAGCAGGCATAGGAGACTAGCGACATCCAGTGTCACACGTCTGAAGTTTGGCTTTATGATAATTCTTTATTGTCCCATTATCTATGGGTTGTTTTTAGGCGCAAATAATTAATATATAATTCAATGTCAATCCCCTCTTGGAGAAAAGCTATATACTTTCTTTTTATTTTAAAATCCGGAGAAAATAGCATTGGACAACAACCAGCATTGCACCAGTGAGCATAAGATGAAACCTGCTGGATCAGGCCAAGGGCCCACTAGTCTGCCATCTTGTTGTCACAGTGGCCAATGAGATCCCTGACCACCAAGGTCTTCCTAACCTACCTCACAGGGTTGTTGTGGAGATTAAAGGAGAAGCGGGAAGAACTGAATTTGCCACCTTGAGCTCCTTGGAGAAAAGGATGGGATATAAATGCAAATAATGCATATATATATATATGCCAATAAAATAAATAGCACCTACCTGAGGTAACGCTAGAACCAAACTCAAGACCCAGGCTACAGACAACATGACCTTATTCTTCCTCTTGGCCTCACTGACACTGAGTGGGTGCAAGATGGCTGCCCTGCGGTCCAGGCTGATCACCACAGTAACGAAGGCCGAGGCGTACATGGCCACAAGTTTGAGGAACATGAGAAACCGGCAAGCCAGGTCACCAGCATACCACTGGACAGTGACATTCCATGCTGCATCCAAAGGCATCACCACAAAGGTCACCAGGAGATCGGCAGCTGCCAAGTTCATGAGGAGAATCCGGAGGTGAGGCCTACGCTGGTACTTCTGGGTGACAGTCCAGAGCACAGCAATGTTGAAGCAGGCGGAAGAGAAGAAGAGGACCACCGTTATGGCAACGCGGACTTTGGCTGCAGTTGAGAAAGTGGGCAGTTGGAAGACCTCCTCTCCCGGAACACTGCCGTTGGTGGTCCCCCCATTGGACAAGAGCTCCTCTAGGCCGTTGGGTTTCCATTGACTTTGGTTGGACGCGATGGGTAGCCCAGACCCCACCATCTTGCTGAGCTTCATCTGGGTGGTGGTGGTGTTCATTGGGCCAGTGTCAAGCTTTCCCGAGATGGAGATGGTGTCCTGCCCCAAACAAATACACGGATCCTAGTTGGATGTAGGGTTCCCAGTTGGGCTGGGCCCCTACCAGTTCCCAGGGAAGCCCTTCTCTTCCAAGACTGGGGCAGATCTGGCAGGTATAGGGCATGGTTCCCTTGTTCAGACAGAGCTTGAGCTACCCAACTCTGCTCCAAATCGAATGGTGGCAAGGTGTCCTTTCTGTTGGGTCAGCTGACCAGCTACACCTTGCTGCCAGGTGAGACCTCTCTTTGGGAGGTCCGGAATCCCTTGTCTTTGATTTTTGTATTTCCAGTCCCAAATACTCTATTAAATAGAAGAGATTTGTCTACTTAATGCAGTTCTAATGTTGTGGCCATGTCAGGAACACACAGTTCAGTCAGTGGCCAAGATGGTGCTTTCTCAAGGATTTCTCTGTGGTTTATCTGGCCTCCGGGGGAACAGTTCACAGCCCACACATTTCTTTTCTCTTCAGGGCAGTTTTAGTGCCTCTTAAAGCACTGAAGAAGGAGAGCACAGCCCAAGGACCTGCAGTGGGGACAGAATACAGATCAGCTTAGTTCTCTTTGCCATTTCCACCACTACCACCCTGCTCCCTCCTTCCAGGGGCATTTTAACATGTTGCCTAAAAATCAGTATCTAGTGAATTTAACTTTTACGTTTGCATATGCCAGGATTTTGACTTAAAACTTTAGGTCTTGAGGGACACATTTTAATCATCATCATCATCTCTTGGGACAGTATCCAACAAATTGGGGATATATTTTTGTTGTTGTTTAGAGAAAAGGCAAGTAAGAGGTGGCACGCTGGAAGTGTATAAATTTATTTGTTTCATAACTTTCTTTACCAACCTTTGCTGGAGGATCACAGGGAGGTGTGCAATAGCAAAACACAAAAATACATAACATAGTAACAAACAAAACAATCCACTGCAGGGAATCAAGAATGATTCTCCTGGTGCCTAAAGTTATATAACAAAGGTGTCAGGCGAGCCTCCCAGGGAAGAAGATTCCACAAGCAGGGAGCCACTGCAGAAAAGGCCCGTCTTTGTGTTACCACCGTCTGGACCTCATGTGTGGATGAGTCAAACGAAGAAGGGTCTCAGATGATGAATGCAGGGTCTATGTCAGTTCATATGGGGAGAGGTGGTCCTGGAGGTATGGTCCTGAGCCATTTAAGGCTTTATTAGGTTCAAAAGAGCACTTTGAATTGGGCCTGGAAACTAATTAGCAGCTATTGCAATTGGGCCAGGATTGGTGTAATATGCTCAAACGGCAGACATTAGGCTGCCCCTCTCCAGGCCACCAGCCGAAGCTGATGGAAGGCGCACCATGCCACAGAGACCACCTGACCTCAAGCGACAGCAAAGGATTCAGAAGTACCCTCAAGCTGTGAACCTGCTTGTAACCCCATCAAAAGCAGGCAACCTCTCATCTATCTGGTCTAGGGTACTGCCCACTAACATTGCCTCAGGCTTATCTGGACTGAGCTTCATTTTGCTGGCTCTCATCCAGTCCAGGACTTCCACTGCCTCACCTGCAGATGTAAAGGAAAAGCAGAGCTGTGTGCCATCACCATATTGCTGACAACATGCTTCAGAATTCCAAAAGACCCCACTCAGCAGTTTCAGGTAGATGTTAAGCAGCATGGGGGATAGAATGGAACCCTAAGGAACCGCACATTGAAGGCTCCACTGGGCTGAAGAGCACTCCCCAAGCATGGCCATCCAAGAAGGACCAGAATCACTGCAAAGCAGTGCCACCTACCCCCAAATCAATCGCTTCAGAAGGATTCCATGGTTGACGGTATTGAAAGCTGCAGAGAGGTCAAGGAAAATTAATGGGGACATATTTCCCCGTCTCTCTTCCGACAGAGGGCATCGTACAAGGTGACCAAAGCAGTTCCTGTGCCAAAATGAGGCCTAATAAACCCCAACTGAAACAGATTTAGAAAATGGGTTTCCTCGCAGAGTGCCTGGACCTGCCATGGCATGGGATGGCAGAAGTGGACAGAGGAAAGTTTTGTGTCTCAGAACACTAGAACTTGTGGACATCCCATGAAGCTGAACGCTGGAAGATTTGTGACAGGCAACAGAACACACTTCTTCATATGCAGTTTCAATAGTTAAACTTTGGAACTCGCTGCCACAGGAGGCAGCAATTATTTTCTTACGAATTTTATTAATCTTTTTATTTATTACATTTTATGCCACGTCAGACTGTCGGTCTGTCTACCTCAGCACTGCCTACTCTGACTGGCAGCATCTCACTTGGTTTTCAGTCGGGGAGATGGCATTGGGAATTGAACCCAGGACCCTGTTCATGCAAAGCCTGAAGGGGAAGAAAGCCTGATGCCCTGGAGATCTGTTGCAAGGTTTCCTGGAAGGGTGCTTCCTTCCTACGTTCTATAATCAGATACCTCTTTGTGTCTTCCCCAGTTCCTAAACTACCCATCCTGTTGAACGAAAAAATTAATAGACTCCCAATTAAAATGCAACACCCATCCTTGAGGTTTTGTCGCAGACACTTCACCCTACCTGCCCACACTGGCGCTTATTTTTAGCTTAGCTGCTGTGGTTTCTAGCTAGCCAGCCGCTGGTTTATTGAGTGCAGCCGGAGGAACAATGGAGAGAAGCCTGAGATAAGAGGAACAAGAGGGGCCCTGAGCTATTTCCAGCAGCTCCCAGTGGGTAGCCAAGCATGCAAAGGGGATACCTCTTTTCCTTCCCACCTGCCTCCTCCTTTGCCAGGGATGTTTCCTGAGAAGAGTTCCAGTGGCTGCGAATCCTCATCAAATGTTGGGCTGAAATGAGCAGGTGTTACAGGAATTCTAAGGTCTTATATATATATATATATAAAATAAATGTACAAGGCAGACACGTAAGTATATAAACCACGTGTCTGAAATAGTGCAGGAGAACAATCCTGAAGCCATTTTGACTCTCCCAAATTGACCTCAAATATTTCTCTGCAAGGTGGAAGGAAATGGGAAAAGCTTTCCAATTGTCTTTGGGCTGTAGGGGCTTACAACTCCCTGTAAATACAGTCTGGCAAGTATCTGTTAAGCTGAGCACACTATCGATATGCGTAAGAGATTCAGGAACTAAGTATTTACCATCTGAAAGGAATGGCCAGGCTACCCAGAAAAGGCAATCAGATAAGGCATTATTCAGTATCCTGGCAGACAGGAGAGAAGCAACACACTCAAATTTCTACTGGGGACCACCTCTTTCTGTCATGTATGTATGATGTTTTGGGGGGTGGTCTTGAGCCACAGGGTAGGCAATTTCAAAAGTCTATACAGCGGTACCTCGGGTTAAGTACTTAATTCATTCCGGAGGTCCGTACTTAACCTGAAACTGTTCTTAATCTGAAGCACCACTTTAGCTAATGGGGCCTTCTGCTGCCGCCGCGCCGCTGGAGCACGATTTCTGTTCTTATCCTGAAGCAAAGTTCTTAACCTGAAGCACTATTTCTGGGTTAGCGGAGTCTGTAACCTGAAGCGTATGTAACCCGAGGTACCACTGTATAAGAGCTTGCACACCAATGATCGGGGTTCCTCTCCTCCCTCCCTGCGTGAGGTGAGCAGGGGACCCTGTAGCAACAGTTTAATAAAAATCATGCTTACTAGCTGCTTTGCTTCTCAATATTCTCCGGCTGGCCTCTGTTATTTTCCCCTACTGATAGAAAACCTACATAAGGACTCTTTACGGGCTCTTGGATACCCATAAGGGTTAAAGGAGCAGTTTTTTCTTATAACAAAGGGAAGTGGGAAATCCTGCAAGAGGATACAGACACACCCTCCCAAATGCAGACATAGCTATGTTGCTCTGCTCACTTCAGCCTCAAAGAAAAAAAAGATACTGAGAGATGGAACAGGTCCAGAAAAGGAAAACCAAAATTATCAAGGGGATAGAGAGAGACTCCTCAATGAAGAAAGGTTGTGGTTGTCTGAGACTTCTCAGATTAGAGGAAAGGCAAACAACAATACATGGCATGGAGAAAGCGAAGAGAGATTTCCCTCCGCTCTCATAACTAGATCTGGTGAACATCCAATGCAGTCCTTCATGTGGCACATCCTTAAACTATGGAACTCCCTCCCACAGGATCCAGTAGCGGTCACCAGCTTGGATGTCTTTAAAAGAGGATGGGGACAGATTCATGGGGGACAAGGCTATTGATGGCTACTAGCTATGATGGCTATGCTTTGCTGCCACGGTTGGAGGCAGTAACGCTTCTGAGTACTGGTTTCTGGAAACCACAGGGAGGGAGAGCTGTGCTCCAGTGCTCAGGTCCTGCTTGCAGGCTTCCCCCAGGGGTCTGGATGGCCCCTGCGAGAACAGGATGCTGGACTAGATGGGCCTCATCCAGCAGGGCTCTTGTGAGTGCCTTGCAATCATTGTTTCTCATAAAGCTTGGTTTCCGGGCCCTTGATCATCCTGGTCACCCTCCAACTTGTCCATATCCTCCTTAAACTGTGGTGCCCACAGCTGGACTCAGGGTTCCATGCAGCGTTTGATCAAGGCAGAACAGAGCGGCACTATGACTTCCCTTGATCTGGATGCTGTTTTCCTGTTTGATGCAGCCTAGAATGGCATTAGCTTGTTTTGCTGCTGCATCACACTGTTGACGCATGTTAAGCTTGTGGTCTGCTAAGACCCATAGATCCTTTTAATGTGTTCTGCTGTCCAGCCAGGGGTCCCCCATCCTTTTATTTGTGCATCTGGTTCTTCCTGCCTATGTGTAGAACCTTACGTTTGTCCCTCGCATCTCCAGGTAGGAAGGACCGCTGTCTGAGACTCTGGAAGCTGCTGCCAGTCAGTGTCAGGCATACTGAGGTGGATGGACCAAGAGTCTGACTCAGTCTAAGGCAGGTTTTATTGGAGGCGAATTTTCCCTGGCGGCAGACGACAGAACCACAAGACTGATGCAAAATACTCAGACAAGAGTTTTATTACTGCTATACAAACACAAAGCATGTGGGTGTTCTCTTTCTGCAGGCAGTTGCAAACTGCAACTTCTCTCTTTATACACATCACCAGCTGTGCCTAATTAGCCTGGAAAACCACACCCAGAACTCATAGAAAATGTCCTTAAAGTTATCTGCACCCTTTTCCTGTTTCATGACGAATGATACCTAACAGGTTTCTATAATTCTAATAGCCCCAAAGGGGTGGTGCTGGTATGAAAAGATAATAGCTTGATCTTCCCGACACAACTTTCAGGCTCTCATTGACTGCAGAGTATCCATTCTCTGTACCCAAACCATCTGATTTTTTTACTCCCCAACCTGCCCTTTTTTTTTAATAGCTAACCTGACGAAGAATGCAGCAGCAGCGCTCAAAGGCCTGAGCATTACTTGGTCCCTTAATTATATTTAGGGATGGTGGGGAATTGGGTTGGTTTCACATTTTAGTGTGACCTTACCTGATTTGCACTTTCCAGAACAATG